ACTTTGACACCCTGTAACTTTGAAACGGAGAATTTCCGAAACGCAAGGCTTTAAAAAGGGTCATATCTGACCCATTAGAATATTTTAAGCCCAAAAAAATTTCAAGTTTGTCGTAGCACCAACCATGCATCCCTTGTTAGACCTAAAGGGTGTATTGTTTAAGAGTGAAATTATGGGAGCAAAAAGAGTAACATTTATTTACCTGATTGTGATGATTATGATGATAAATATGATGCCTTTTTCATCATTGTCCATTTTCACCTTTAACTTCATCTTATCAACATATTTATCGTCATAACCAGCACAAACAGATAAGTAAATGTTACTCTTTTGCGCACATAATTTCACTCTTAAACAATACACCCTTTAGATAATTTATAAATTGAAATCCAATCCGATTTCTCAATATATTGATATTTCTAAACTTATATGACCACCTTTCTGGCGGAATATCGCTCCAAAATCAAAAGAGTTGACTTTTACAACAAAAAAAGTCATTGTACTTACTTTAACCAAAAGTTACAGTGCGTCGCAAAAAGATAGCATCACCAGTTATAAGGCGAATTGTACTTTACTTTTACACCCTGTATATATTATCTCACTTAATCTGAACATTAAATAAAGTTCTGATTTACAGAATAGATTGATTTCAAATGAAAAAGAGTAACCAAAGTAAACACTCTCATGTTTACTAATTGTTCCTGATTTGATTGAATTGAATAAACATTTTTATAAGAGTAAAAAAAGTATTTATTTGATTCAAATTTTAAATAAATAAATAAATTTTTACATTATACCGAGTAGATCATTTATACTGGCGTAATCTCATCACCTTCTTCATTAATTTCACTTTTCTTCATTTCTAATGGAACTTCATCGCCTTGTGACGGAGAAATCAGTGATTTAATTTTAGTATAGATGAATGGTGTTCCGAATCCTGTCATCAACCCGAGAGCAAAAAATAACACAATAAAAACAAACACGTTCAGATTGTTTGAATCTTTGACTGCCTTGTAAGGTTGTTTTTTTACATTTCTGTCTTCGGTTTTAATGTAATTGTGACAAATATTTGATTCCGTCGTTTCGGCTGCGGAATCCTTCACTGAATATTTTGATAGATTACATGAGCTCTCTGTTTTACTTTTGGGACAGTAATTAAAAGATTGACAAATCTCATCAATAGTATTCCAGTCATGACAAAGAGCTGCACATTGATTTAAAGTCAAATTTAGTTCGGTGTGGAAAGTTTCAGAGACAATTTTTTTGCCAGTGAATGAGTATTTTTGTGTAACATCAGCTGAAAAATAGATTGAAATATGATAATTAGCATTTCTAAATAACCGATAGTTTAAATGAATACTTACGAATATAAATATCACAAGTAGTACTGTATTGAGAAGCTGAGTCAGTGTAAGGTCCATTAAAAATGCACGAATAATCATCAAAACAGAATTGAAATGATTTGCATTGTTCATTTGAAGAACACAATGAAGCACAATGAGATTTCGGACTTAGAGTTTGAATTGTGGAAGCGCTTATGAACTTTCTATTAGGTATCTTGATATAATCTTTTAAATTATTCACACTATAAATTGAACAAGAAGCATCGAAGGACTGCTGCTGGTCTGACATATTTAACGAAGGTATTGTTGATGTAAGACACTCCATTCTATCTGGATACGTACAGAATGCAAATGTGGCACATTTGTTATCAACTGAATGCAAACAGGAACGAGCACAATCGCCTAAATTTTTAACTTCGGATGACACGAGGACATGGTCACGATTATCAATCAATTTATATTGACGATAAACTGGATAAAAAAGTCGCAAATCTTCCCCATTCTCTTGTTTCCTTGATATTGTCTCAATAATCTGAGAAAGTTGATACTGCATGGATTTTAGCCCAGTAATGTAATTAAATGAAATTTTACTGCTTCCTAACGAATCTTGAATCTTATCAAGAGGTAATTCATGGTTGAATCGTTTGAAATTTCGAAGAGGAATATAAGTTACACGACAAAAACTTCCATGGTCCCAATTTTCCTCTATATCATTTATGGAAGTGATCCTAACGCAGGTTTTAGTTCCAGCACAATAAGCGATCGCTCTGTTAATAAAAATACAATGATATTAGATGAAATTAAGAAAATTTGTCAGTTCATCTTACTCGAATTTGTCGGCGACATTAGCATTCTTTTTAAAACAGTCTTCATCATTTTCCGCATAAAAGTTCCGAGATTTTTGAATGAGGGATTTCGTTAGATAAAATTCCTTAGATTTGAATGAATCTGTTTAGAAAATGAAAGATTGACAGAATAAAGATGATCAATGGCCTGGCTTGATTCAACTGATTGAGATAATGATGAATTAACATGGATAAAACTTACATTCAATGGTAGGTGCCTCTAAAAATGTTATGTACGCTATTATTTCACTGTCTTTATTCGCACTGAATTCTAGGTCAATATTGGAAATCCTTGAAGATGAAATTGAGTCTTGCCTTATGATTGCGCCTTTTATTCTATCTAGAATTTCATAATATTTTTCATTGGCATTTGGATCACAATAGTCATCTGTTATATTAAGAGAAATGGCGGTTTAAGAAATGTTATGAAATAAACGATTGAATTTACCTTTGCATGTAAAATGAAATGCCAATGTTTTCCTTGATTCCGGTTTTGGATAACATCTATTTACCTGGAATCTTGATTCATATTCTGCATCAGCAATCTCCAGACCAAAATCATGATATTCTTTGTATTTTGATTCAGTTAATTGATAATGGCTCTGTAATTAAAAAATGAAATGTAAGTTAACATGATCTTATGTAATGATCAAATTAAATAACTCACTGAAGAGACTTGGTTGTAAAAGTTAGTAACTGTTCCAACTGGAATATAGCCAAACATAGATTCTTTGGCATACTGGAAGAAAAGGCGAGAATTTAAGTTTGTACTTAAGTAATAAAAAGTGTGTACAAAATAAAAATCAAAGAGTACTTACCTAAAGATGGAAATGGTCAAGATAAAGATTCAAATCATTCTTATTTTGACCATTTTCATCAGTATCAATTTTTCAAGCATCATTGAGATAATTGAAAGTTCATCAAAGCAACACTCTTTTTGGACATGAAATATTACAAAGTTGTATTCTACAGTTGTATCACAAGCTTTAAAGCCAAAAAGATTAGATTTAAAAATGATTTAACAAAGATTTGAAAACAAAGCCTCAATAAAGAAGAAAATGTGAAAGAAGCGGTAAAGTTGATGTTGCAACTTTTCTTATCTTAAGCTTTTCAGGTTAACCCAAAGAGTAAAGGAGTCTTCCTGGGTTAACCCTAGGAGTCACACATTACTTAAGTATTGAAAGCAACAGCAACAAAGCTTATCTTTGATCTCTGATCTTACATGTTAAAACAACAAAAGCTTCTGAACTTTGACTAGTAAAGCAAAAAATATCATGGCTGTTAATCTTAAAAATTGAGATTTTTCTGTATTATGTTTGATAGAGTGACTTACTGTTGGAACAAAATATTGTGTTGTGACGATTTTATCATATTTCTTTTTGTCGATTGTCTTTCCAAATTCAACTGCTTCCCAAACATCTACCTGGAATCCAGTGCGTTTCTTCTAAAAGACGATAAACGTTAGTGTTTAATTTGAACTGAAATGCAAGTCTAACAATTCAAGAGCTTACATAAAATACTTGGCCTAGGTATTTGTAAAGAATGTTTGTTCCTAAGAGTGCGGCTAACCCGAATCTACGATCATCCACGGAAATGCCCAGAGTAGATAAATCAGCTGGTTGTATCGTACAAATGTGATCTCCTATCAATGAATATACAATTCCCAAGGTGTAATCAATAATTGTTGTACTTTCACCTCCTTGGTTTCTAGTTTTTAAGCTCGCGATTTGATTTGTTTCATCACCAAAAATCTAACAAGGGCGGAAAAGAGTTACATTTTTAAAACGTTGAACCCATTAAGCTTATAATTTTCAACCTACTTCATTCATAGTTACTGATTTTTCGGATCCCCTTTCAATTGAAATAAAGTGTATTTGATTTTTAGTTATGAGAGGAACAGCTGAAAATTGTTTAGGCAAGCCATGAGTTAAGTAAATTGGACAACCAATTCCTGGCGTTGGCTAAAATAGCAAAATAATCCAATGTTATGATATTGACAAGATGAATTCAACTACGGCTGTCAACATGGAAGATTGAAATACAGGGTGACAATTCATAACCGAGAGACTTTTTTTCGAGATAACGGCCGAACGGTACATGCAGTGGCCCTCATATTTTTTTCTGGGCATAGGGGCCTCAAAGGTAAATGTTTGGGCTACTTTGCAGAAGTTCGAAAATTTTGAAATTTCTATGGGATTTTACATAGAAAACATCATTTTTTAGAAAAATTGGAATTTCAACCTCAAAAGGCGATTTTTTTGCATAAAATCATCAGACAGCTACAAGTTGTTCTTTAAACACATTTATTCGGATGATACATTCGATATTCAGAAAAATCGCCTTTGGAGCTCGCGATTCCAATTTTTCTAATAAATTCTATTTTTCTATGTAAAATCCCATAGAAATTTCAAAATTTTCGAACTTCTGCAAAGTAGCCCAAACATTTACCTTTGAGGCCCTAATGCCCAGAAAAAAATATGAGGGCAACTGCATGTACCGTTCGGACGTTATCTCGAAAAAAAGTCTCTCGGTTATGAATTGTCACCCTGTATATTTACCGGGACAATTTTATCCAATTCTTGGTCAGTTAGATACTGTTTGTTAATATCTAACACAAAGCTGCGAATGACTTTTTCATCATAACCAGTCAATTTGATCCTAGCTGGTTGTTTGCTTCCCTCTTCAATTTGCAGATTTCCTTTTGGGTAAAAGTGATTAAGATTACTTCATGAATCATATTTCATGACTTAACACTTACTTTTGAAAAAATAAGTAATGTTTGGGAATTGGTCTGTTTCTGCATTGAAACTTTTCATCAGTGTGCCTCTAACCAAAGACTCTTCACCCGTACTCTAAGTACAAAAGGAAGGGAAACAAGATATGAATATCTGGAGCCAAAAATAAATTAATATCAAGTAACTACCCAGACAACCTGGTCCGCCAGTCTGTATAATAGCGAAGGCCCTAAAAGCAAAATCTCGTTTTCCAATGAACTTTGTACACCAGGCAATTTGAGATTCCAATGAGTAGTGTAAGTACACAATTCACATTGATTATCTGGAAGAGACAGTGAAAATTGTAAATCAAATCATAAGCTTTTCTCGGCATGATACAACATGAAACAATACCAGAGAATGGCAAAGATTAATTGTTTTTTTCTTGTTAATTTTAGCTGTCTTTGGGTAAATCAAATCTTGATCAAATCTGGTTCCCTTACTTGGCAATCAAAAGTTATCAAACCTTACAACAAAATCTTATCTACTGAAAACAGTTGATTTTCTGAGCAAAAGTCTGTTAAACTGGTTACACTCAATGGGTTCAATACTTACCATAGATAACAAGTCTTTGATTGATGGAACCAGTCGAATAATGAACATCCAAAGAGCTGATTGAATCGGATTCTATCGAAATCTTTCCTCGGATATTTTGGCCTGAAAAAATGTACTCCTTGATTGAGTATCTCACATCTGAGGACTTTGAGTTAAAAAACAAGAGATTCAATTAATCAACTTATCAGAGTGTTATTTTTGAAATGTAAGACTTACCTCGTCTATTAATGTTGCTTCGATGATCCAATTACCTTTGTTTAATTGTAGCGGTAGTGCACTTAGAGATTCTGAGGAGATAATTTAACATATGATTAAATTTTCATTGAATTGTTTCGGACAAATCTTACTTGAATCAATTGAGCCAAACGCTATTGAAGTTATAACAATTGTAATTATTATCATTTTGACTCTATTGGGTTTTAAAATGAACCAACACTGGAAGTGAATATTGGACCAAAATGAAATTTTGAAAAGATAATTACGCCCAAAACAGTAATAATCAGTGTTTATGATTGAGTTCTTATTGCAAACATTAGTTTGTTTTCATACATTTGAACCTGATAATTCGGTTATCTGGTTAATTTATAAATAATAACACATGCTAACTTATCATTGATGATACAATTTTGATCAGAGTATCTAATTGTTACACAATCTTGTAAGTCTAACCATTAAAACATTTAATCACAACCAGAATGCTATTATAAAATTAGATAATTTACAGTCGTTTCAATTGAAAATGAATCAATTCCAAATGAGAGACAACCGGGATTATCATGAACCAGCTTATCTTTCAAGTTATATTTCGAACTACAATATAATCTGTTATTTCTCGTCACATCTAAAACACGTCTAATTGTGCATGTGTTCACTATTAAATATTTATATGACATTGGTCATCAACGCTAAATGTTCAAGAAATACCTAATATTGAACAGTGACTTCCAGCTTTGGCTCAAATGTGATTTCTTTCTCGATTATGGATTATACATGCTTTACTCAGATGATTGATTTGCCAGGAGGTTTATATCTTTATTCTGAGACAACCAAAAATATTTATTTTAATAGCTATCAAGTTTTAATTTAAATGTATCAAAAATTAATTTACGGTTTTATTACCGGTTTTAGGTCCAAGTGCTTAAGATTCAAAAATACAATACAGATTGTTATGATTTAATGGTCCCCATCATTATGCTTTTGTCAAACTCTCTCATATGCTATTTTCAAACATTTAGCCGGTGAACGTATTCCTCTAACTGTAATCGTAACTTATTGAACTGTTGAGTTACTCATTTTGACAACTATCACAATCATTCATTCGGTATGGACGAGGAAGATTTATTGGATCGTCATAGACAGGAGAAAAAGGAATTGAAATGTATGTAAACTTGATTTTTTTACAGATAAACTTCAAAGCATTTCTTTTTGTATAAATTTTGATTTTCTAACCTTTTCTTGTCTTCACTTTCTAGCCAAAGTAGTTGAACTCAAAAAAGGAATACCAAAAAATGACAAAAAGAAAAAAAAGGAAATCATGGATGAAATAACCAGATTAGAAACGGAACTACGAGTTAAGCAAGAAAGAGAATTGGATGGATTTCTCAAAACTTGTTTTGGATCTAAATCGGATGCAGATGATTCAAAATCTAGTGAAGGTGTAGATGATATTCCTGCCATTGAAAAATTATCCATTGACGATGATGAAGATGGTGAAGAGTCAGGTGGTGATCAATTCAATAATCTTTACCAAGTCCGTAAAATATCGAAAGCTCAACGTAAAAGAGACAAGAAGGCTCAATTGGAGAAGGAGAAACAGGAAAGAATTGAAGCCGAGTCCAAAGAGTTATACCAAAATAGTGCTAAAAAACTGGAAGAAGATCGATTCAAAGCTATTTTAGATGGCTTAGGACTTTCTCTTTATGATATTCCATCTGATGGTGATTGTATGTTCAAAGCAATCGAGCACCAGCTGAGTCTCAGAGGTAGAAAGACAAATGTTCAAGAACTACGATCAGTTTGTGCAAGTGAATTAAGAAAAAGAACTGCCGATTTCCTGCCATTTCTAATTAATACTGATAGCGATGATATTATGGATGAGGAAAGATATCACAGATATTGTGATAAAATTGAAAAAACTAAATGTTGGGGAGGAAATATCGAATTGCAAGCTCTTTCATACGCTCTGGAAGTCCCAATTAAAGTAATTCAAGCCACTGGACCATCAGTAGACATCGGTATAGAAAGATACTCATCACAACAGCCTCTCATTATAAGGTATGAACTTGATTTCAATGCATTAAAACATGTAGTTAACAATCCTTATGAATACAATATTTTAATCGTCTATGTATCTCATTTTTTTCAGTTATCATCGACATGCTTACCAATTAGGCGAACATTATAATAGTATCATTCCTGATGGATCAAATCCCCACTGAAATTATATCGAAGTTGTTTATACCACTTGTTTACCTTTTTATATTTTAAAGTGGTCACTCGACTCTGTTAATTTTCGGGTTGTTAAAATGAGGCACTTTCACTATAAAAAAATTTCTATTCATTGATAAAACGCATAAGAAAATATGTTAAACTGATTAATTGTAACTTTCTCTTGTGTTGATCGTATTCATTTTAGTCTCTTTAAAAGTTTAACTTATGGGCACATGATTTGTAAAAGCCTTCTAAATCCATTATAAAAATAGAGTGAATTTTCAAATGAAATTTTACCTTTTCCATGATTATTTCTATGTTTTCAATAACTGTAGCTAAAGGTAAGGTAAATGTTTCTTGTCAACTCTAAAACTAGCTAAAACTCACAATTGTCAGAGATTTATGACAATTATTCATTGTGAGACTAGATTCTTGATGTCTCATACAAGCTGACTATTATGTCCTATCTACATGGATAACATGTAATGACATTAACTAAAGCTGAAAATTATGGGTTAATTTTAATGAATGCTTTGAAAAATTAAAATAAATTACGGAACCAATTAAAAATGCAAAAAAAGCTTGAAAAAAGATGAGCAAATACAAAGTTTGTATTACAAATATTTAGTTACCGGTAAAAAGAAAGGCAGGGAGAGAATAACGTGTTTGTTGAGTTTAAAAAGCATAAAAAGCATTAGATGAGCATAATTTTACCGATACCATGTTTTCCTTCTGATTGTCTTTAATTTTAACGTTGATACTCTTAAGTCTTTTTTGATCAATTCTATGATCATTTAAATTACTCATAGTCAATCTAATTATGCCCTTGTCACCAGTTATGATGAGATTTAATTGGTCATCTCTAGCTTCTCGATAATTTTTTCTCATTCACGGTGTCATCTGTGCTGGTGTATAGCTAAAGCTACCTGACTTCTATTTTATTATTCTTTTTGTGAATATACAATTGTCTTTGTTGGTTCTTTATTACTATCATCTATAGTCGCAAAGATAAGGATTAATCCGTATTTGTTAACATATATATATCTCAAGACATTTTAATGGGTAAGTCATTGAAATACTTGACAACTGTACTCCATTTTAACCTAATTTACGCACCGAGAAACTGTTTTTTTGATTTTTTTGGCCTTTTCTCCCCTTCTCCTTTTTTTATTTTACCTATTCTTATTGTATTTCACCTAATTTTATCATATATTCTATTTCTTTTCTTGTTTCTACACCTCTACCCCATCTCATACTCCACTTCATCTCTATATCCTGTGTTGTTCTGGTCCAATAGTTAACTCAAAGACTGATACAAAAGACATGGAGAAGGTTGAATCGCCAAAGGAGGAACGAAATACAAAGAAGTCAGCAAAAAACCGATTATCCAAGTCACTCGTGGTTGATAATTTACAAGAAGACAGCGGAGATGGAGCGAATAGTGGTGAAGATGACAATACATGGGACTGTACTGTATGCACCTTTAAAAATCCAGCAGAAGCTTTCAAATGTTTAATGTGTGATGTTCGTAAAGGAACCAGTACGCGTAAACCAAGGATTAATCCAGAATTGGTAGCTCAACAAGTAGCCCGACAACAACAACACTTATTATTGAAAATATCTCATGGAAGAACTAGAGATGGTAACAAAGAAGGCAATGGTAGGAATGATAGTGATGGAAATTCTAGGGATGGAGAGGATCGGCGTGACTCTAAAATTAAAGATAGTGATGCTGATTCAGGTGCTGAAACAAAAAAGGAAAGAAAACAGACGAAACATCGAAAGAGTTTAAATAATGACGGTAATTCGCCGGGACCCAGTAGTCACAATAATAAAATCAGCAATAGAAACAGCCTTGGTTCAACTGGTAGATTAAAAAAATCAAGGAAGGATGCCGAAGCAAAAAGTCCATCAGTAGCTGCCTTATTGGCAAGTAATCACCCCAATAATTTGGACTCATCTTCATCTTCATCAACTTCATCATTATTATCCAGTGCGACAACCACAGCATCTTCATCTTCCAAAAATGGGTTAACCTCTAAATTGAAAAACATCGATCGCAATAATTGTTCATCAGAAGCCGTGACTGTTAACAATGTAACCGTCATCATAACTGAATTTTTAAGTGATTTGAAGGATGGTCAAAATGATAGAAGTCCTTCTAAAAACGTTCACTGCCTCGGGACGAAACAAAAGAAAGAAGCTCATTGATCTTGTGTTTGGAATTGAAAACTCAAATTCGACTTACTCAAGAAAATCCAAACCTAAAGGATCTCATATTTTACGACTTATTACAATACCTGTATTATTAAGTTTCTTCTGTCTCACCATCTAAATTTAAAAGCCTCTAATCCCAATTTCATTGTCAACAACCAAGCTTGTTCAAAGTTAATTGAATGATCTTAACCTATTACTGCCAAAGATCTCGTTTCCACAAAGAAAGACCATCTGGAATAAGCCTCCTCAATGAAGAAAAAGCAACTTTGAAAATCATCTAATCATTCTCAATTCAATTAATCATTCAAACCCTATTTAAATACCTGTATTTAAGAAACAAATGAGAGTAGTGATTATTTTTCCATGGATAAATGTTAGGGCTTTCAGGAAAAATTTTGTGGCTGCCCAATATTCGTATGAAATTAGACACCAATCATAGAAAGACAAAAACATTGCTCATATCTCTTTTTAACAACTTGTCTCACCTTCTTGATTTCTTCTATTCTATAGAAATCTGTCAATATCATTCCCTGAAAAAATTCATTAGCTTTACTCCAAAACTCATGACGCCTTAACTTACATCCTTTTAAAATTTCTGTTCTCTTACCAAAACAAAGATATGAGTTGTAAAACATGATATTTAAATACATCATTACATGTCTATGAAAATAGTTTTAAAAAATTCACATTTCAATATTTTTTACTCTTAAGATAATGTTATTTTACTATTCATGATCCTATTGATAAAAATTTTACTCTTGCTCAATACACTGACTCATTTTTTTCCCAGAAAACTCTGAAGTTTTCATGAATAAAAATTCCTAGACAATCTCATCAAGTGTTCATGCACTGATGCTAATTACATGGAAATTAAACAAAAATGAATTTGAAAATATGAAGAGTTTATTGTAATGAAAGTCTAAGATTAACATTTTCAATCAGATAAAGAATCAGAATCGGCTCAAATTTTTTACAAGAATAATAATTCCAGATTTTTTTATTTTAAAGTAGACCAACAATTTAGAAATGAAAAATACCAAGAAATAAAGTTATTTAATTATTTGATTACTTATTGCGAAGCCAGTTCACTCCTTTGATTATTAATCAGTTCATTCATCGATTCAATATATTCACTTTTATGCGTCAAAAATTCAAGAAAATGTTGGTTTGAGTAGTCAAAGATTCGCGTTTGTCTCGCACAAATATTTTTGAACAATCGATAAAATTGTTTGATAATTTTTTCAATCTCTTTGACATCAACCTTTTGACAATCATGGGCCAACTGTAAAGTAACCAACAATGAGTTGAGATATGGAACGGAATCACTGTCATACAATCGGGCTCGGAGTTTCAAATTTTCAACGGCATTGGCGAAAGCTTGGTCATTGTACTCCAATGATCGGTAACAAACAACCAGATCATCGCGAGCATTGTAAGTATGCCATGGATCATTAGATTCAGTCAAGTATTTAACTGCTTTGGATAAATATTGAGCTGCCTTCAAGTAATCCTCTGCAGCTAATAGTTTGCGTCCCTTGTTATAAAACGATAATCCATTTGATCGTATTTTGTCATTCACCTTTTTTATTTTTTTCAGATCTTGACATTTAATACATTCCTCGATATTGCTTGTTGAATCACCAGCTGAAGTCAAAGCACATTCATCACAAACGACAGCCTTTGATTGTTCATTCAATTCTGCTTCACATTGCTCACACAAACAATTGAAATAGAAGCTGTTTCTAAGCTTCTCTTGGCGATCTTTCAGTTTCATATCTGGATAAGAGGCACCATAAGAGATTGTGATCTCCGTTTTAGCAGGAATCGGTTTTGTGGCTACAACTAAAATGGATGAGCCAAAAAAGACGGCATGAGCATTAGGTCGGCAAGAATGGTTGAATAGAGAAGTCTTATAAAACAGTCCGTAACCAATCTCTTTGGTCTTTCCCTCGACCAAAGCATCAGGACTATCTGGTACTTGTAATAACCGAAATTTGTGATCATAAAGAGTGAAAATATTACGCGAAATGAGGATCATCATTGAAATTAATGAGCAGACAAGCGGTTTTTCAGGGAGATTTCTATCAAAGAAAGACATTTCTCGAAGCAAGTGGCTGGTAAACAATGAAGTGCACGAGAAAGTTAACAGGTCTGCTTGAGAAACACCCGAAGTTCCTGACTCTAAATTAAGGAAATTGCCAAAAGAGTCGCCATTTTCATTAAGATTGAAATTTAGGGGAAAATCATCTTTGAATCGATCCGCTGAAACAGCAGCTACTCTATGTGGCTCCAACACAAGTAGCAATCGAATGGTGAAATGGCAAATTGAAATGTGTTTCAGCATTTCCATATAATCACATTCTTTACCATGGAACTCCTTCTTAGCCAATTTGTAGCATTCCAGGGAACAATAATTGACTGTTTTACATCCTTGACAAGTAATGCGTTGATTGTCTAACATTAAAAGACATCGGTAGCAATACATAGAGTACATAATTGGAGAGAGCCAGCCACAAAGAGCACCTTCACGGGCAATCACTTTACCAATTGGTATATCGGAATTGGCCAGCAATTGTCGTCTCTTAATCTCGTGATTACCCAAACTAACTGAACTGGAAACACCTTTGAGTGATGGATTTTCAACATAACCCTCAAACATTGGAACACTTTTTACGTGAACCTCAACCAAATTGTCCGATTCGTCCATTAAACGTTCCATATCCTCAAATGGGTCCGGCATATCGTAAAATGTGTTTTTCCATCCATCCTTTTGATCTTTCACTTTATTTTTATAATATTTACGAACTGCGTGTAAAGGTTCCTTTGCCGGGACATCTGTTTGAGACCACAACTTATTAGCATATTTCAAGAACTTTGCCTGGATAGGTTGACAGGCCATTAGACAATTAACTCGCTCTGCGTTTGTTGAGCAATCAGCGAATTTTGCTTCAAATGCTTTACGGTCATCACGAGTGGCAAAGGATTTACGGTAGATCGTGTAAATCCATGTTGAAAATGTATACCATTCAGCAAGCAATTGAACACTGTTGGGTGAATTTTCATTTTTTATTTGACTTTCTAAAGATTCCTTTATAGCAAATATTTTATTCCAAAGTGACTTGTTTTTAGTCATCTTTAAACAACCAGAGAACCCAAATTAACCGGTAATCTTGAAGGAAAAAGCACCAATTGATGATTCAAAGAAATAAGAATTTATGGTTTGCCTGATTAATCACAAAAGACAAATAATCCGCAGTAGAGATGAAAATTACATTTATAAAGGTTTAGAAATGATTGTCACAAATTGAAAGGATAATTTAAACTGTTTCACACAATTAAATAGGTTACTTTAAATAACAATTAATACAGGAATCGATATTACAACCAATTAACTTACAATACATTAAATCAAATTGTTGATTTATAACAAGTGTTTACAGTTATTAGATTCAAGTGGAAGTAAAAATATCTCTCTCGGACGGGACCAGCAGTCAGCAGAGAATTATGTTTACTTTTTATATCTCTCTAAATATTAGCCTGGTGAAAATGCCAATTACAAATAGATAATGATTAATAAATTTGCATCAATGTATCATTTTGTCAAATTAAACAATTGAAATTTAGCTAATCAGCAAAAGATTTTACAATGTTTAACACTAGCCAAAAACAACATTCAATGTTATTTGCCAATGATTGTTTATTTAGATTTCCCATCCCAAAGAGCTTCTAATTAACAAAAAAATCTTTAAATTCTAGCTTACAAATTGTTAATCTAATCAAATTAGCAACACACATGTACTTCAAATCGATTAATTATAGTTTCAAATATTGTTGAGCAAAATTTTGAATCAACCAAAAATAAGTTAACCCGATGATAAGTTCGGGTAAACCTGGAGTCAACCTTGATTCTAGTCTAAATTTGATGTCTAATGAAAGGTAATGAAGTAGTGTTAATATTCAGATTAATTTGAACAATTTGCCATAATTCAGCCTTAAACATGAGGCTTCCATGAAATCCTTACGCATGATCCAGTCAACCAGGAAACCAAAAGATCTGCGAAAGCAATCACCGAAAGTATAGTATCCCATTTTATGGATCTGTAAGACAAAAAAGGTTGCATTTATCAAAAGCATCAGAAGATTTTAAGTGTTACTTTTTATTTTAAAAAATAACTAACAGTAACCAGAATAACTAAGGCTAGTGGTTATAAAGGGAAATAACAAAGGCGCCACTCAAATGAGTAACTTAGGCGCCATATAAATGTAACCAATGGTTACTGAGCTGCTGTGAAAAGGCTCAGCATTACTAGGAAAGTAACCAACTGGTCTCTATAGGAAAAGCATTGATTCAGGTCTATTAATGCGCACTCTTTTTTCCTCCCTTTGTTTCTTTTGCCCAATGCTTGTTTCATCTCGTGAATGTTGATTAAAAATTTAATTTTAAAATCTCAGATTGAGTTTTTCTTTGAGTCTTATTTACCCCAAATCCTGCGATTGTTTGTTTCCAATCATTATTGTGAACTTGTAATCAACCTTTAACCAAACAGGTACGGACATACCTCACCTTTTTTTTCTTATATTTTAGTGGTGTTAATACAAAGGGTTGATCAGAAGATGGCGTTACCGGAATGCAATTTCAATTAAAAAAATGTCTTTGTTTGTCTATCTCTCAATTTTTAAAATAAGCGAGGTATAAATTAACGTGAGGTAATCAAAATTACAATTGGTTTTGTAGCAAAGAGTGTAACCTGTTTTTGCAAATTGTGGCCAGAAAATGGATTATGGTGAAAGGCATGTTATCATACAACAAGCTCAAGATCCTAACACCGGAGAGGTTCTGGTTTTTCTTCAAGGTGAAGATGGTGAGACCGTTTGTTTACCACCAGAAGCTCTTAATGCCAACATAGTTCAAATGGAAGATGAAGGTGGACAAGTTTATACACTTGCCCTTCCTCAGGACGCTGATGGTTCTTCCGTGGTTGTTGTTTCTGAGCCTGATGAAACTGAAGGGGCCATAGCAACTCTTGTAACTGATGAAACTGCAACTGTTATTGCAACTACATCGTCTGCATCTACACCGGCAACAGTTGAACTTGCTGGTACAGTGGAAACTATTGATACTTCGGGAGGAACCATTAACATTCCTTTGCAGTCAACATCTAGTTCTGATGAACAAATAATTGTTTCAGTGACTGAAGGTGATTCTACCACTGAACACTCTACTCAAATAGTTCAATCTTTCGATGCATCTTCATTGGAAACGTTACAAACCGAAGCCATCTCTATTCAAGAAAACGATGTGTCTATTTCAGATTCCAAGACAATTGAACAAGCCGAAACAGCTGAAACCAATCAAAAGGAATCCGATGTAGGTGCAACTTTATCTATAGAAGTTGACGCAATTGCTATAGATGACAGTAAAACAACGGAAGAAGTTAGCACGGTACATGTTGATGAAAATAATAGTGAAGATAAAGAAGCCAGTCAATTGGATAATGGTGATAATATGAATTATGGTTCTTCAGTTATCCAAGTTCAAGATGCAAATTCAACTACATTAGATTCGCTTGTAGCAAATGCCATGGTTACTGCCTGTGATAGTAATTATGTCATTATGACCACTGGTGAAGACGGAGGATTACCCAAAGAAATAAATTTGGCTGATGTCATTAATGCTGGATCTGCCTCTGGGCAGACGATATTTTTACAAACAAGTGAAGGCTTAGTTGCATGTCAAGCCGCTACAACCGGCGAAGATGGTTCGCTTCAAATTGTTGCAGATGGATCAGGTAATGCTGGTACAGTTATCACCACTACTGAATCTGATCAATCATTTCAAGGCATCCCCGGACAAACACTCGCATATACTTTATCATCTACTTCCTCTGGTATTGAATTAACTCCAGTAACTAATGTTGTCTCAGCAAGTACTGCACCAATCAAGAACCAGCTCACTACCGTGTCATCTCGCTCTAGACCTACTCGTCATTCAAAACCCCGAACTGTACCAATAACAACGCCAACTGCACCGGCAACAATGGGTGAAACTCTTCTTCTTCCTTCTAAAAATATCGTTACTTCTCCTAGCTTAGCTATTCAGAGCAGTGCATCGAGAAAACGAACCATCACTACCAGAACAAGGTCAAATGTTAGCGTTTCAATCACTCCATCATCTTCATTTACTACTTCCTCTTCACCAATCATACCAGTCCAACCCGATGCTATTCACTCGTCTTCTTCTGATTTCACCACATTAACCAAGTCATCATCATCTGATGTTGATGCGTCAATTTTGACTGAAGGAGTCTCAGGCCCAAGTCAACTTGCAGCATCCCGTCGCACCTACAGTAAGAGAAATAACATTGTCTGGTTAAACCCAGAAACTACAAATATCTCCACCAAACGTAATGACAAGTTACCTGAGGTGACTCTAAGTTCTGGAGATGATGCTTCCAAAGGGTCAGATGAGTCGAAGATTAATTTACCCGCTAAATCTAACGCTGATCAATCTATATCATCTACTTCAACAAAATATACAGTTAAACCACCGACATCTCTTACTGTCACTTCTCCAGTCACTGTAACTAACGTTCCAACCCTTCGTTCACCTAAAACAGTTACTGAGCCTACAATTGAAACTAGTTCTAATAAAAATTCTCTTAGTCCGACTAATGCATCTAAGGGTATATTCACTAGATCATCAACGGTCAATAAAGATTCCGCGAAAACTAGTGAAAAGACGGACTCAAATTCATCTACATTATCTGGAGTATCATCAATAATTAAAGTCACATCAGTACCTCAACTGGGCCGAATAGTTACTTCCCCTGTAAAAGTTACTTCACCAGTTAAGCCATCTTCACCCACTAAAGTAACCTCTCCTACAAAAGTCACTTCACCGGTTAAAGTAGGCTCACCTATTAAAAACAAAGAATCAAACGATGTTGTTTCAGACTTTGCTCTCGCAGATTCTGGAGACGCTGACTCAAACCCCACACCAGCAACTCCCATTAAATCACCAGAACGCAGTTCTCCAATTAAAGTGACTTCCCCAATTAGAAATGATTCTCCAACAAAAACTAAAGAACCGAAGGAAATTGTGTTAGATGCGGACCCTTCAGATTTGGGCGATATAGATAAAATTCCATCACCAGCAAGTCCTGTAAAATCTCCTGAACGCAATGCATCTGCCAAACCTACTTCACCGGTTAAAATAGGCTCACCTTCTAAAAGCAAAGAATCAAGTAATACTGACTTAGATTTTGTCCCATCAGATTCTGGAGATGTTGATATGGTCCCGCCACCATCAAGTCCTGTTAAATCGCCAGAAACCATCACACAGCAATCCCAAGATACTTTGTCAACGCCCAACAATGAAACATCTGATTCTGAACAACCTACAACCCGTAGCTTGAGAAAACGAAAGTTACCGCCATCGACACCAAGCTCTCCTATTAAACCTATTTCTCCAACAAAAGTCACTCCATCTGCTAAACTTGACTCACCTACGAAAAATGTTGATTTGATTGACACTGGTATAGAATCAAGTATCTCAGATTCCGGCGAAGCTGATGCTGTTCCTCCGCACACAAGTCCAGCTAAATCCCCAGAACGCCCCTCAATCATGAAAGTTACATCCCCGGTTAAAAGTCGTGAAGCCGTTGACACAGGCTCAGACTTTTCTTCTGGAGATGTAGATGCTATTCCACCACCTTCCAGTCCGGTTAAATCACCAGAACGCAAAACACCCAAAACTGTGACAATTATCGAACCTGTATTAGATACGCCTAAAACGCGAAGTTTGAGAAAAAGAAAGTTACCTCCAGTGAAACCAACCTCTCCTGTTAAAAGCACCCCTCCAGCTAAAGTTTCTTCACTGTCTAAATCACGCTCATCATTGAAAAATCAAGAATCTAGTGACTTCAACATACCAGACCAACCAAACAAAATCATCAAAAAAGTCAGTGAACCTGGCACAGAGGTGATCCACTTCGATTCTATTTCTGATAAGAATGAAAATGACAAATCAAAATTGATTTCAGGATTATCTGAATCTAGAGGCCCAAGTGAATACTTTGATTTTACCAATAATGAATGTAGTTTCCATATTAGACATCAATCAGGTAGACTTACGCTTTCACCTCATGGAAACGATGGAAATTATACCTGTCAAAACAAATGTGGCTACAGAACTTCACGTATTAACAATTTAATTCTTCATCATAAAGATCAGTGTACAGTGATTAAAATGCTATGGCAAAATGAAATCAATAAACAAACCCAAAAAACTTATGTTAGGACACCGCCATCATTGATGGAAAGAATTTCTTCTAAAAAAGATCATTTATATGATTCAGATATTTTACCAGAAGAAGATGATCATGATGAGATGGAGGTTGATGTTGAATCTGAAGCTGAAACTCTTCCTGATCCTGTGCAGTCTCGAATGTTTAGCGCGCTTACCTCGAAAAACGCAACAGATCAAGCCATGCATTCTGATGTTGAAGACGAACCAGATAGCGAAGATAATAATGTTAAAAAGAAGTTTGGATTTGAACCCAATGAAATTGTTTGGACTGCATGGTCAGATGTTCATTGGCCTGCTCTTGTTTTGAGTATTGACGATACGGGCGAAAATGTAACCTTACAGATGATCGATAATCCTTCTAATAGAAAAAGGTATTTAATTCTTTCTTTAAAACTTAATTTCATTTATGATTAACTATGATTTCTTAATTTTCAATTTCAGTTTGACCGTGACAATTGATAAAGTTTATTCTTTCAATGATGCTGAAAGAAATAAAAAATATTTATCTGAAGGAAAAAGTATAACTGGGGACTCTATAGTTAGAGCTGTACAAAAAGCTGAAGATTACTCCAGAAAACGATGTCTTGGAGATGAAGTTGGTGCTGCAAAGCTGTTAGGAACCTTGGACGGCCATTCCACTCGTTCATTGGAGGAAGAAAGTGTCAATGATGATAGAAATGATAATTATGATAACCATGAAGATGACATGGAAACAAATGATAAGGATCCCAATTACTGTCAATTTGGCAGCAGTGGAATTGATTCGGATCCTAATGATGATTATTTAGATTTTCCTTCATCTGAGACAATTGCTCAACTTAAAGAGCGTAGAAGAACACAAAATGCTAAATTATTATTGAGCATTAAAGAGGGTAAAGTCGAAAATCATTTGTTAGGTGTTTACAAAGAGACTATTCATAGTGACAGACATCAAAAATTTAAATCTGGATCGGAAGATGACAAAAACCAGCTCAAAGCTGTTCCATGGTTCGGACCATTTGACGATGAAGACCAACAAGAAGAAATATATGACTATTGTTCGCAATTGTTTAAAAACAATTTTACATCAGATGTAACCTTCGATATAGTTGCCTATTTATTCGAAGTTTGGGTTCCCGAGGTAATTTTTTATTTTGTCATTTGATTACAAAATTATTTTTTTTCCCAACAAAGAATCTAATTTCTTTTCTTTTCTTACCTTTAGGCTATTGTCAAGGCTATATCTAAAATTCGCATGGTTGATATGACTGAAGCTGAAGCTATTTTCGCAAAAGGCGTTATTTTAAGCAAAAGTGAAAAAGATGAACTCGAGAAGGAAATTCTAAAAGAAACGGAAAAGAAAACTAATAATAATCAAGAGCAAAATGATAAGCCTTCATAGTCAGATGAATTGAATCTAACATCAACCTCACCAACACAAACACATCAAACCCTTCAGAATCCAGCATCCAATTGAAAATATATTAGGTTTAGTGAGCTTCTAATATTAACTAGACCTATTATCTCTATCTCTATTTCCCTCTTTCTCCTCTTCCTTTTCTATTCTTTATCTTTATCTCTCCTTTTCTCTTGCTCTTTCTTTTTCTTTTCTTTTTGTCATCATGAAAAATAAAACCTTGCTTCACCGGACTTTAATAGTATAATCATTCCGTTCTTTATATATTTAAAAGTGGTTAAAAATTTTCTTATTAACGTACAGTGATTATACACTTATTTTTACAAATTAATAAGCGCCATCAACTATACTACCAACGGTAGACAGTCTGCTTTGGTAGTATAGAAGCTGGCGCTGATCTTTTTGTAAAAATAAGTGTATAATCACTGTACTTTTTTTTAAAAAAAATAATTATTCGGAGTAATTTCGTAGTGCTCCGAAATGGAAAAGATAATTCATGATATCATGATTAAAGAAATAGTCCCATTCAGTCCATTTTACCTTTATAATAGCCATACCCATGATTTTTTGTGGGATTCCAGGTTTTCTTATTCACACTAATCGATACTCATCAGTACTTGAAGCTGTGATTTGACTTTGAATCCAGGAAATTGATGATTGAGCGTTATAATGTTGACTTAATTTTCTGTAATCATATCAGTCTCGCTGTCCATTCTTTAATATCAATTGGTTGGTTACTGAAATCCATGCAATTCAATTCAAGGTCCAATAATGTCAATTCACAAAACTGTGTCAAATCAGTGGTTAGCTATCTGGTCAAGCTTACAAAAATGAAATAAAGTTATAAATGTTTACATCTTCTCCATAGACAATCCCTCTATGAAGATCCTGAACCAAAAGGGTATTTTTCAAATTATTGATCTGATAAAGTTCTGTTACAGCTATAAACTAAAATTTATTGAACTTGTCTAGATTAATGTTATTGTAATGTAAAACAAAAATACCGCCTCATTTTTTATTGACTCTCACTAAAAATCACCCATTAATACCAACAATGGACAATCAAGCTGCATTATGAAGATAATGACAATATTTAGTGGCAATAGTTGAACAAATGTGTCGATATTTATGAGCAAATTCATTGTTAATGATAATTCATTAGAGACTGTTATTTTCAATTAACTGTTGTCTCCAAAAATGGCCATTCAATAAACCAAACAAGGACGGAAAAACTTTCATATCTATGCCTGCCTACATAGGAGTGGTTAGTTGATTGTGAGAGGGAATCATGATGTTGTTGATGATGATGAAAATGATGAAGATGATGAGATGATGATAAAAAAGATAAAAGCGAGAGAGTGAGAGAGTGAGAGAGTTATTTAAATAGTCTGAAGCTTGTCACACCGGTTCATCTTTGCCAGCACATAACAGACTAAAGCTTATTTAATTACATTAGTTTCATCGGTTTCATAGTTCATTTTTAATTGATTTCATTATTTTGGGTAAGTAATAAAATTGATTCAGATGCAAATCAATGAATTTTTGTCCTTCTTTTCCTATTTTACTCGAAATACTCTTGAATTCAAACTTCCCTCGTCATCTAATTTCCCTTCTTCACTCATTGAGTCTCTCTTGCTGCTTAACTGTTTGTGATTGTTTACAATTCACTGGTTCATCTTTTTTTATCTTAATTTTGTTTTTCCTTTGATTTATTTTATTATACTTTCGATTCTAATTTTTGTTTACACTTTTTATTTTACACTCAACATCAGCAGTTGATTGACTTTTTTACCATTGGAGCCGCTGTTATTGCTTTGATTTTTCATCTTTAGCCAGTCAAATCCACTCTTCTGTCATTACAAGTGACAAGTGATAATTTGTGTACTTATACATATATATATTTGTTGTAATTGATTTTCATTATTAACCAATCATCCTAATTTAACAATGGCCAGTTTCCGCAAAAGCTTACTAATAACTGATGAACAGAGGGAAGAGCTGTGTGAAAAATTTCAAACGGTAAGATATAAATGAAGTTTTTTACCTTCTTTCTAATCAGGTTTCTCAAAAGTCCTCAAGTCTATGGTGATCAACACATAAAACAAAAACCAAGTATACTCTTATAACAGCCACTTTCATTTCAATATTTTCCCTTCTTTACTCATTTTACTATAATTTTTGTTGAACTGTCGTTGAGCATAGGATTAAGTTGACAGCTTCTAGTCAGATTAAATTTCATCTTGTTAATCTAATCAATAAATCCTCAGCCACTCTTTCGTCCATGTGTAATTATAGTGACTTTATTGCTTCTAATCAATTTCCAACTCTAATTATCCATATAAATCAGGTTGTTTATCCATGGAAAGGTTGATATGAAAGTATTTCAAATCGTGTAAAATTGTTATTTCAACGGAAAAGGCTACATCTTCAAACCGGATCAACGCATCCTGCTATGAATTAAAAAACGTTACGAGAAGCTTTTGTAGACAGTATATTTTGTTGAAACGCCTATTGAAAATAGTATTTTAATTTCAGGTATTATTTAACAAATTTTCCGGTCCTATGCAGTTTTATCTTTCATTTTAGTATTTAAATATGATTATCGCGCGAATCAAACTCCAATATTGGAAAAGTTATCATTAATGTTGAAATCGGGAAAGATGGTTTGATTGTATATTGCCATTGCCTTTAATAGAGTGAAGCTAACAGGAAAAAGTAAAGTAAATATAAACATATGCTCGATAATTTTCCATAAAAATATGATTAAAAAGTTTATTTGCGTTTAACTGTTAGTAATCTATTTTTGTTGATATAATAAAATTAATCCTTCAGTAACAATAGAATTGAGGGGAAAAAAAGTTCCAAGTGAAAAAAGCTGTAAATAATGTAAATGAATCATGATTTTGTGTGATAAAACAGTGAAATGTTTTCAACATTACATAGAGGGTAACAATTGATAACGATTGTAACTCACGATTGTAACTAACTTGATTTCATTGAATGCTGGAAACACTTATTACTCACTATTAATCTAATTTAACTCGTTGATAAACAACGGAAACCATACAGTGAGCAATCATGAAATCAGAATTTTTTTTCAAGTGGTGAAGTATAGTATCAGCAATAAATTGATTATCGATGAAAAAACAACTGTCTCATGTTTTACCTCTTCATTGATTCATTTCATTATTTACCATTTAGAAATCTTTTCCCTTCAATTTTATCGATTGTTGGTGAAAATTCAACCCTTTAACCTGTTCTGAAACAATTGATGAAATATTTTAAGCATTGAGTTAATGCATAGATGACACGAATCAAACCTAGACTATAATGAAACAAAATCCGCATTTAGCTTGGGTTTAAGTAAATTAGCCATTGTATTACATACAGTTTTAATATTAGCTCATCTATTCGTGATTACTTTTTATTTACTTTGAACATTTTATTAATGAATATTATTTAACCTCTATTTTTACAGATCGATCAAGATGGAAATGGTTCTATCGACATGCGAGAATTGAAAGCAGCTCTGGATATTGTTGGATTTAAAATACCACAATGGGAAGTCCGTCAAATGATTAGTGAATTAGAGAAGCAAAAGAAGATACAAAAGGAAGGAAAATTGTCTTTTGAAGAGTTCCAACAATTATGTTATGACTTGAAATCAAAAGATGTTGCCAACACATTCAAGAAAGCTGTTACCAAGCCTGAAAATTTGGAAACCATCGGTGGAATGTCAGCTGCAAGTTCCGCTGGAACAACTCATTCAGTTCGTCAAGAGGAACAAGTGGCCTTCTCTGATTGGATTAACACTAATTTAAAAAATGATCCTGATCTTAAACATGTTTTACCCATTGACCCTGAAGGAAGGGAATTATACGAGAAAGTAAAAGATGGTACTCTTCTGTGTAAAATCATTAACCATTCATGTCCAGAGACAATTGATGAAAGAGCAATTAACAAGAAAAACTTGACCGTTTATACAAAACATGAAAATTTAACTCTGGCCCTTAACTCAGCTCAATCAATTGGTTGTAATATTATTAATATTGATGCACACGATTTGAGCCAAGGAAAGCAACATCTTGTTCTTGGTTTATTATGGCAAATTATTCGTATTGGTCTTTTTAATCAAATCACTCTTGAACAATGTCCTGGTTTAGTTAGATTGTTAAGACCAGATGAAGAACTGTCAGACCTTAATAAACTTTCTCCTGAAAATATTCTCATTCGATGGGTCAATTATCATTTGGAAAAGGCAGGAGTTGACCGAAGAATCAACAACTTTACCGGAGACATTAAAGACTCAGTTGTGTATACTCATTTAATCAAACAAATTGCACCTCGAGGTATACCAGTCTCCATGGAAGCTTTAATGGAACCTAACCAAGTTGATCGAGCTGAAATTATGCTTAAACAAGCTGACAAATTGGGATGTCGAAGTTTCTTAACTCCAAATGATGTTGTTGAAGGTGTTTACAAGTTGAATGTTGCCTTCGTTGCCAATCTTTTCAATACCCATCCATGTCTTGATAAACCTGACGAGCCTTTAGAATTGGTTGATATTGAAGAAAGTAGAGAAGAGAAAACCTACCGAAATTGGATCAATAGTATGGGTGTTTCTCCATTCGTCAACTGGCTTTACAGTGATTTAGCTGATGGTCTTATTATATTCCAGGTTGGTTAATTTTTAATTTTCTTAGATTTTCTTAGATTTTAGATTGAGAATGAAAATAACTCATTTTTTCTACATTATTCAGTTATTTGACATCATCAAGCCTGGAGTTGTCAACTGGAAACGAGTACACAAGAGTTTCAGCAATCTTCGAGGTTTCATGGAAAAATTGGAAAACTGTAATTATGCTGTCGAACTCGGTAAACAATTGAGGTTTTCGCTCGTTGGTATCGCTGGACAAGATATTGTTGAAGGAAATCCCACTTTAACTTTAGCCTTGATTTGGCAATTAATGAGGGCTTATACTTTAAGTATTTTAACACAATTGGCCTCAAGTGGTGATGCTAACAGCGAAGGAAGGGCCATAGTTGAGAAAGAAATTGTTGACTGGGCAAACAATAAGGTTTGTTAATATTGCTTATCTGTTAAGTGAAAATTGATGTCCGTTTTTTTGAATTTGAATCCAATTGACAATGAAAAAACAAATATCAAAGTATGAAACACGACAATGAATAACCAAGAGACTCTTGATTTCATTCATTCAACCATTGATTCTACTCACTTTGAACTATTACAATTAAGTCATTGCCTGATAGAAAGGACATCAATTTTTACTCGAACTAATAGTTATGAGAAAAATAAAATTTCATTACTAATTATTCCTTTATCTTACTTTGCAGCTGAAAGAAGCTGGTAAAACTAGTGTAATCAGAAACTTCCAAGACTCTAGTATATCAACTGCAATGCCGGTGATTGATCTCATTGATGCCATTAAGCCAGGATCAATTAATTATAGTCAAGTTCTTACAGGTTCTTCTGCTGAGGTAAGCTTTGATTTTACAATCATACAATCGATCATATTTCAAAACAATTTTATCTCATTTACAAATAATTAACGTTTTTAACATCTTTCATTTCAACAGGAGAAACTCGCCAATGCTAAATATGCCATTTCAATGGCTCGTAAGATTGGGGCCAGAATCTATGCTTTACCAGAAGACATTTCAGAACTTAAACCTAAAATGGTTATGACTGTTTTTGCGTGCCTTATGGCCAGAGATTACATTCCAAATATGGGAAGTAAGGCCAGTCCAGCGGAGTAAATATTTGTATAAGCTATCCATGGATATACAGTATTAAACAAAAAAATGACCAACTAGCTGGAAATGGAAATCAAACTATACATTATTTTTATTTTTACATTATCAACATTTTGAGATGAAATTGAGAAATGATTCCTATCTGCTTGAAGATGAAATTCAGTTTTTCCGATTTTTTTATTACTGATCTATTATTTTTTTTCTAGATTGGACCAAAAAACTATAAAAGAGTGAAAAAAAGAGAGAAAGAGACAATCATTATAAATCAACTTTAAAAGAAATTGCGTTTTCTTGTTTAATTCCCTTGTCCAAATTTAATCGAGGAATTCGCCTTTTCTCTATTAATTTCCATAAACTAATCATTCCTTTGATATTGATTATCATGTAATATGAGGGGAGCAGCTTTGATGCTGTGCATGTATTGATCACAATAAAAAATTTCAACGTTTTTAATTTAATTAGTCTGTTTAAATTCATTGAGTTGATTACCATTTCCATATACTATTTTCATTTCTTACAATTGTTAGTTCAGAATTTCTTAGCCAGAAATACTTCTAAAATCTAGATACGGCAGTGTTAAATAACACATTGTGATATCTTAAACGATAACTTGTATCTACTATTACATTGTGTTCAGCATTATTTGTACAACTTTAAAATAACATCATTCAATTTGGATGAAATTTTATGAACTTTACTTTTCCCATATTGGAAATGTGTAAAAACGAATAATCGAAATTCTTAAAACTGAGTGAAAACTATCTCAAAATTTCCTTTATTTATCAAGAAAATACATTTGAGTACCTAAAATTGTCCATTCGTATCTAGTTTGAGTATTAGTCTCCCTATCTCGTATCAATTGAAATAGCCTTAGAATTCAATTAAAAAATTAGAGGCTGCTGCGATCATGAAAAATTTATTTCCACTGAATACAATAAATTGTATCCACATCCAGACTAAATTTTTAGTGAAAAAAAACATCTTCAATGAGACAGCTAAAAATTGAATAAAATCTGATTTTAAAACTTAATAAAATTTCATTGAAGTTTGAACTTTGAATGTAATTTTATCAAAAACCTTCGCTCAAAGAAATTTTTTTAATCACACAAACGGTTCCAGTTCTTATGCCCCTAAAAGTTCCTCAGGTCGCAACTCTTAACTAGAGAGTCAAAGTTTTTGCATCCATTAATCATCCAACCAAAATAAGTTCAACTAATAAAATAATTTTAATCCTTTCACATATATTAGAACCCTTTCCATTGCTACCATTTTTAAAAATGACTAATTGTAGTTTGACTGATTAGGATACAATCAATTGACATCGAAAAGACTCAAATTGGTCGTCAAAAACCATCGTCAGAATGCGAAACGGAAAAGGTTGAAATCTTTAGTTTGCGTCACTTTGGTAAGATTCAAACGAAACATTGAAACGAAAAAAGCACTTTCATTGAGAACAGGTAGAAAATTTTCGTTCGAGTTGAGAGTTAAACTTTTGTTGACTGTAGCTTCGTAAAATTGATTTCATTTGTTTAATTAAAAGGCTTCCGATGGACATTCATTGACAAAATTGAGTTCAAAGTTGAAACCATACAATTTTGTACAGTTTTTACTTTACTCTACTTGAAAGACAGTTTCACATATACTCTTAATCTAACAATAAACCATCAACCTGAATAACCAGAAAGTTTTCCCCCAAACACGATGCTACAAAATACAGATTCTGCATTCCCCCTGTTCAAACGGGTATTTCACAGTAAACTGAATTCTGGTTAAGTTGTGACTATTTTTCGGACTTGTACAATGTAGTTCAATCATGATATTCAGGCTGTGTGAAAATTTTGCTTATGAATCCTTTCAATTTGGTAATAATTTTCACACTAACATTAGTTGTTTTGACTTGATTGTGTATAGATAGATGAAATAATAATTGATTATAATCAGTGATCAAAACAAAGCCTTATTGACGGATAAAATAAATATAAAGTATGATTTACAATCAAAAGCCCAACCAGTAACATTAAGTTAACGAAATATTAATTATAAGTGAAAAAATCATTAAATAAGCTTCCGTATTGATTGTTTACTCGATAAATTACAAAATTTGATTAAATTATCAATAGCGTAGATCAATTTCCTTATTTCCATCTATTATGATGACTATTAACTGTGAATCAAGTAAACACAATTAAACCAAGGAACTAGAATAACATGATAATCAAAAGCAGAGTAAAAAATGAGAAATAAAAAGAAGCATCAAACCAAATGTAAAAAATAATGAAGTCAAGATCTGAAATGGTCGCTTTTTTGGATATTTCATGACCTTTGTTTTTTTCAATTCAATTTTCTGAGAAGCCAATTAAATAGTGACATTGAAAAGGGTAAATTACAATTAAAATGTATATCAATTGGTTGTCCAATTAATAGAGATGAAAGATATTGTTTTGATGTTGAAAAGGTTTCACATTGTTATTGATGGTAAGAAGCTGAATATAAACATTGAATTGATTATGATGAAACAATGAATTTGGATGATCATCCTGATGATATTGGTGTTGTTAATGATGATGATGATGATGATGTAAATGAATAATCCTGTCAAGTGTAAACAAGAGACAAAAACACAAGACAAAAAAATGACAATAATGTGTTGAACTTGTTCACTTGATTACTACGCTTCAATTGAGTTGGTTTTGTTGTTAAAAAAAGGCCGGTAGCTTGAGTGATCACAGTTAGTCTTATAACAATCAACAGTTTTCATAGAAGTTTCTGATCATCATTATTATCATTATAATTCTTGTTCATCTCCTCCTTTCCCTTTTTACTAATAATATTTCTCACAATCTATCCTCTTCTTTCAACAACAACAACAAACACCAAGCAAGCAATAAACAAGAGTAACTATGATTTGGTGAAATGATTTGCAAACCAGGGCAATCTAAAAACCTGTTAACATTCATTATGTCAATCATATTTATGTGTATATTTAGAGAGGTAAAATCTTTAATTAGAATTGGCTTTTTGAAGAAAAATTTCCAACAAAATAATAATGTTTATAATAATAACAATAATAATTGTGATCAGTATAATAGATAGAAGCACATTGACCTTAGGTCAGTAAAGCAGTAAACCAAGAAGAGTAAATAATTGATGATAACTGGACAGTAAAAGTGGGAGTAATGTATGTGGGTGAGGTAAAAATGATTTTCATTAACCATAGACTTGACCGATTAAGAATCAACTGGCGTTAAGGTGAAATTTAGCTATCGCTTGATTCAGTTTAGTGGTGCAAGGATGAGCTCAATGATGATTGTTGTTATGATGGTGAAGATGGTGACGAAGACGGTGAGAGTATTAAAAGAGAGGGAAACTGAAATTAGCTAAGTTTTGACCCAATTAAATTGGACAACCTGCTTCAGGTCAACTTTTGCTAGCGTTAACAAAAAGTAAGTGTTGTAAATTGTTTGCGCGATTAGCCCACCTTCTTTGCCTCAATTGTAAGGTAAACAGTTAAAGTTGGTTGAAGGTGGAGAGAAAGTGACGATCAAGTGTAAGTGATGATGATGATGATGATGATGATTAGGAAAGTAGAGCTGATATAAAGGCATCTTTTAAAGCCAATAATCAGCTCATTCTGGCTTTTGCCTTTCAAGAGAATCATTTTAACTCGTGCTTCGTTCATAACTCAACTTTGTGTTTGTGTTTACAAATTAAACATATTTTTGTGCAATTTCTGCCTCATTTGCATACATTTTGTTGATTTACCTTTACAATTTTCAATCTCATCAACAAGCCAATAAAGGATGTATATATTAAAAGCTATCGCAGGTAAATTAATCTTTTTCCCATTTACAGCTCTATCAATCATCTTTGCCATTCTATCATCAGATGTTCTCGTTAATTGCTTCGATCGATTCATCTATCAATGTCTTGTCATTTCTTCAAGATCTAGGTTTATATGCTTTTAAGTGATAGCAATTGTTTATGCTAGTGTTTCACATCAGTCTAATAATTGACAATTAATGCTTGATTATTCCAGCAGAATATTCATTTTAGCAATTTCTAATTCATTATATCATCATGTTTGAGGGTTTTCATCGATATTAATATTTTTTAAGATTAGCAGATGATTTAATAGATTAATTGAAGCTTTAATTTATCATGTTTTTGATTTTTCTCAAGATAATTTGAACTGTCCGCTCAAAAAAAACGTTTCAAAAAAGCTAACATTTTAACCGCTAAAAACAGTAAGCAGAGAGATTATTGACCTTTAGTTATGATTATTAGTCGTATTTATGGAAACTTTAATCTCGTTATACTTTTTTTATTGCTACAATCAAATTATAGCTTTTAATTTTTGATAATATATGTTTATTAATTCACTCCGTACTGCTATTTACTTTTTTATATGTGAAACGTAATATTTGAATTTATTTCCAATCTCATTCATTGTTTTTCTGTTGAATACAGTCTTCTGTTTAATCGTTCTTGTTCGTGGAGAGCCTGGAAGGTTAGTGCCTATTAATGGTACCGTCGGTGGATCAGCCACAGCAGCAGAGCCATTAGAAGTTGGCCTCGGAAGTCAACCTTTGGGAGGATCTGATGCCAATGACACAATGGAATTTGATTTCGTAAATTTACCTGGTTATGGTGTTGTAGATGATGCCAATAGTACAGCCAATGGAAGTTTCTCATGTTACGAAAGGCGTTATGGTTATTATGCTGATGTTTCTCGTTCTTGTCAAATGTTCCATCTCTGTTATCCAGTTCGAGAACCAACAACAAATTTAATATCTTACCAAAGATTTTCATTTGTTTGCTCAGACAATGCTTTCTTCGACCAAGCCCATCTAGTTTGTGTTGAAAATGAGACTTCAATTGCCTGTGAAGACTCTGAACATTATTATGAACCATCTAACGACAGATTAATGGAATCACTTCAAGCCACCCAGCCTGGTATGTTTGCATCAGAAGATGAATCTAACAATGGAACATCAGCCGACTCATCACCATCATCATTGACATCGCAAGATGCACCATCAGCAGCAGCATCTGAACAAGCCTATCATGTTTACAATTTATACAATGATTGGTATTAACAAGTTATAAAAATAAAAGGTATCAAAAAGGTGGATTGATTGAAAATAGGTCTCTTGGTGACAACGGTATCATTCATACAAGTATCATCATAGATTGACAATTGAAGATTCTTGGTACGGCATCCTTATCATCACCAGTTAAAGAAAAATAAAGTAAAGAAGGTAACACCATCATCGGCAAAAAATAACATCAACAACACTATTCGCATCACCTAACCTCATTCAGTGTTCCTATAAAAACATTTTTGGCCCGACTTTTCTTTTCTTTACTTTCTTTTTCTTTAACTTCTCCCTCTTGATCATCTTCATCTTCATCTGCTTTTTGCTACTTATTTCTCCTCTTGCTGATCTCTTGGGCACTTAGCTTACTGTAAATGTGAACCTGATTTAGGTCCAGACTTTGTTCCCTCTCTTGTGGCCTGTATACCCTAATTTTAAATGGACCCAAAAATATCGTCGTCGTTATATTGCAATCCATTTCATTTTTTATTTCATTTAATACCATTCGCTCAATTCGCTACATAAATTCAGACCAATCCTTCCTGTAACCACCTTAATTTCATTTCAGTTTACTCACTTTCCCCTTCCTTTCCATCCTCACTCGCTATCTTCCTCTTCTTTTCCTATTCTTACATTTTCTCCATCTCATCTTGAGTCTGTTAAAAATTATATTAACGCTCAACTGATTTCATCAATCATTCAATACTAATGAAAGTGTTATACGAATTACCTGGCTACTCTTTCGCTATTTCACTCTCAAGATACCTTTTTTCTGATGTTAAAAAGGTACAAATGATGTTCTCATAATAACCATCTCAATGCTATTACATTATCATTATTGTTATTATTTTCAATCATTATTTTTATAATAGTTATTGTTATGTTATGCAAATGCACTTTTCTCCATGAGCCATAAAAAATATACTTTGCTGTGCATTCAAATCAAGTTTTCAATAACATTTTTTTCTTACATTTTTCTCATCATTTTCCTTTTAATCATCCGTAGTTTAAATTGAATGACCTGAACAACCATTAAGAATTTATTGATAAAATTTACTCATATCAATCATTAGCTCGCCACTTGAATTGATCAATTGAAAATGAGCCTACAATAAACTCTTTGACAAACCAGTTTACTTGAAATTGATGACAAGAAAATTTGTCAAACAAATAATCACTATTAATAGATTCGCGAGATTACATGAACAACAATCGTCCGTATTGTTGTATACAATGTTGATCAATAATAAACAAGCAAAGTCTCATGGTTTAACAGTCAAAGTATAATTAGACTGATTGGAAAGCCTCAAATTTTAAACCATTAATGTTGATTAATGATGTTGAAATGAAAGGCCAATCGAAAGTTGGAAAATAAATGAACACAAAAAGCAGCATTATCATTACTGTTGTTCAAATCCCACTGAACTTAACCATGCAAAACTGTCAAAGTGTCAGACGGTTTGATTAAACGAACCTCGTCGACCTGAATTCAATTTCACTCATCCATATGTTGAAAACAAGAGCAACAACAATTACAATTTAAACCATTTTCTTACCAATTTAAGATGATTACAATTAAAGGAAAATAAGTCTTCTTTGATTATTATGCTCATCATCATCAATTTCATTGTTGAAATAGTCAACCTTTTCAGTCAATTTTCAGGATTAACGGTTTTTATTGAGTAAATTTGAACGAGACAACATTTAAGATGCAGAAGGCCTAATCAAGACAATAAAGACAATAACAAATCATTTGATTATTGGCTGATTGATGAGTGAAAAACTGAAAGCCTAACATGATTGAGTTTATCATTTATTGTAAGACTTGAATCAAATGTAATTTAAATAGCAGGCTGATTGGGTTAGAAATTGATGAACCACACATTCATTGCTAATGAATCAATTGGCAACTGCTGCTTTCATATTGTAATTTGCTTTGTACCCATTATTGAGTCTATTGAAGCATCTTATAATCAATCAGACAATTGATTAATTGTAACAAAGTAACTTGGAATGATAAATGTTAATAGGAAAGGATTGAACAGGATACAATTGAATCGATGACAATTGTAATGCCATTGAGTATCAGCTCATTAAGCATTGATGATGAATTAAATCACCAATGATTCTTCAAGGTTAATAATAAACCTTTTGTTGAAATAAAATTGATTGTTGCATGAAAATTAGTCAATGTGACAATACCATTAACAATTTGATCAATCTTACATGTAAACCATGTTTGAAATTAAAGAGAGTAGACTACTTTTAAGTATAAGTTATGGTCATTTATTGATTACTATTGGGAGTTTAGGTCTAAAGCTTGATTTGTCCATCTAACTAGGTTGTTATGATTATTACATTGAGTTATGTTCAACAATTAACATGGTTAAAGTTAAAGGTTACTCTAAACTTCAAGGCTTAGGAGTTAGGCCTGAAGATGTTAGGATAAGGACGACAGCTTTCATGGATGGACAATCAAAGGTAAGTTAATTTCATTCAATTGGTTTAATCATTTAGCTCAATATTTATGCTTTTTTTTAATTTTAAGAGTAAATCCAAATCTAATTATTCATATTCAACATGGATTCGTCGATTGATTGGAGTTGCTTTATTTACTTATGCATTTATTCAATGCTTTAAACAAATCCGTGAGTTGACCCAGGATTTCCTAAGACATGAAGTAATTGAATCAGTTTCGGATCATATTGAAGATTTTGTTGAACCACCGAACTTTTCCTTCTGCTTTGATTTACTCTCAACAATCAATTCAACTCAATTGTTGGAACGTCATCCTTCAATAATCACAGAGATTGAACAAATCCGAAGAGAGGAACCCCAATATCACAATTGGTCAGCAAATGCTATAATTCATGATTATACAAAAGGTAACTAAAGATTTTCATACTTAACCAAATTTCTCGTACTATTTACAATCAATTTGATTGTTGTTTCTTAAATTTGATTCCATCTTTGATTAATTAGCTCTTATAAGCTCATTAATAGTTATTTTGCTGGATTAGTATCACACATTAGTTAGTTGAAAGTGTCAACATTAATATCAAGTGTAAAAACACTAAAAATTAACATTATGAACACATTGTAATTTAGGTTTTACATTTTGGGTTAAATGCTCGGTTCACTAATGTAAACGTTTCTATTTTGTTTTAAGGACCCAGATTGGTTTTCAATTTAACCTCAGCTGAAATCTATGACCTTTTACCGCGTTTCAAAAAATCTCTTTTATCCTGCCAGTATTTGAACACAAACTTGAAGCTGGGAACATGTAATTGGACTTATTTCACTGAATATTTTTTCAACCAAATGGTTTGCAATGAATTTATCTGGCATCCAGTCAATGCTAAACCAATGGAAGAGATTAAATTTCCTTATGATGGCATCAAGATTCCTGGTTTTCAAAATACTCGCTTCTTGGCTCTTTACCTTGACTTGTCCCATCTTCTCAATGTAACCGTTATGTCTGTCATGGCTCATTCTTCTGTCGAAGTATCCTGGGACCCGGAATCATCGACATTAGAAACTTATCCTGAATACGGTGAAGCCAAGATATATGGACTGTCTTATCACAAAACTTCGCGAAAATCACTTCCATCTCCATACCAATCAAACTGCACTGACTTCAAAGATTCCCCTTATTTCTCGAGACAAGATTGCCTTAAAAATTGCTCTGTAGCTCGTTTCATAAACCGGACATCACGACTACCCAGATATGCCATTGTCCGATCTTTTGATAACAACAAAATCCTGTATGATTACGAGGAGCGTGAACGCTATCAAAGTTTAATTCAACAGCTGTCTGAATATTGTAACAAAATTTGCGGAACATCAGATTGTTACTCGGAAGATTTCAGTCTAACAGTACTCTATTCACCAAGACAGTCAATTCAATCTGGGAAAAAGCTGATCATTCATATTTATCCTCCAACAAAGCCCGATACGGCGATAAATACTTCACCATCATTGACATTTCAATATTATTTCGCTTCCATCGGTGGAACGCTTGGAATTTGGTTTGGTTTTTCATTCTATTCGTGTTTGATTTGCCTCTTTGATACCACACCAAAGTTGATTACAACAATTAAGAAACTATGCTCACACAAGCAAACACCCAACAAACCAAAAATTGAAGTTAACCTGATTGAACAAACTGAGGTTAAACAACGATAATTTCACGTTTCGCTGTATTAGATTATGTTTTAGTTCCTGTGGTTGCTTGAGTATTTGTATCAAAGGTAACTCCATTCACTTATTCACTAGCCAAGGAATTGACATCTTTAACACTTGATGTTGGACTCACAATTTAAGAAAAATAATAAGACAAAATGATTATTATTGTTTTGAAGTATAAATAAATATGTGTAATTTAATTGACCATTGTTTTTGTTATATTTGTACTGAGTAACTTCAAGATGTAAATTAAGAAGGTTTAGTTGAAACAAGCTAAAAATATGTTATTCAAGTTAAACTGTTAGCGATGAGAAAGTAAATTTAGGAAAGGCCAGCTTTTTGATTGATGTTGAGTGTTGCAGATAATAATCCGTTTGAACATACCAGATGACTTGAGACTATTATCCAGGTTTTGTATTGTCAAAATTACTTTATCCATCGGTAACAAACAGTACATTTTGGTCATTCAATAATCATCTATCGACGTCTGTCAGTTGAAAGGACGATTTCACCTCCGAATCCATCCTTGCTTACAATGTTGGCTCCTTTACCTTTCTTGCCCTGGAAAAATAATGAAGTAAGATTATTGTAAGCATCATGTTATCATGAATAGGATTGTTTTATAACTTACAGTTTGGAGGACGAGTTTGTCTCCATTGCTACCTTGGAGGACAATGTTGGATCGACCTTTGTCTACAAAAAGCAAAAATTTGAATGAGTTTTCATCAAGAAAGTCGCGATTTGATTATCAACTTACCACCGGCTTGAGCTTCCATAATGACACCGATTGAGATGAGAAGGACACAGATAAGCATAACTTTGGAGACCATTTTGATTTTTGGAGTTGGTTTTGTTGTTGAGTTGAAAGTGAAAGTTGTTTGTTTGATTGTTGAAAGTAAACTGATTGATTTTGTCCTGTAAACACATGTATTTATATATGAAAATATTTGAAGCAAAAATGATTACAACTGGAGCCAGTTATGGTTCAACGATTTGTTGATTCCTTTGCAGACCTTTAGTCGTTTACATAATATGGAGAGAAACATATAATTATATTATGATGATGATTATTATGACATCAAACTAACTGAAACCAATAAAGATCAAAAAGACAACAAAATACATATTAATTATAACGACATCTAAAACTTGTTAACCAGAAAAAGTAGCATCGATTAGTCAAATTGAAGGTAAACTGATATTAGGTTGAAAAAAAAGACGGAAGCAAAATAATGTAAATTAACACGATATTTGTTAGTATTGCCCAAGATTCTGTTTCTTGATTGTCACAAAAGATTTTAACTGTCACTTAACACTAATAGCATGATAATCAGTCTTGAGAAAGGCTAAAGAGAGTGAAAATGAGTTGAAAGGGTAAAAACTAACTTATGAGTTTAAAGTTAAATGCCTGAAATGGTTTCCTCTATTAACCCGATTGTTTTCAATTTTTTTTACTCGTAAACTTAGGCTCAGTCCAATTAGTTTTACCGTCAATTCATTTTATGCTTTCCCTTTTCACCCTTCAGTTAAGCAAATTTATATAAAAATATGCTTCTTTAAGGGCAATCAATTAAGGTCAATCATAAATACGTTCACTTCGTAATCAGGCAATCAAATGATAATCTGTTCTCTGTTGGCTATACTGGGTTATTTGCATGCCGCAATCAAAGATTACTTGTTTTTAATTTAATGTATTAATCACTTTAAATCCGTATAATATTGAGTAAAATAATGATCCTTGATGATTTAGCAAGAAAATTGTCACAATTTGATCAATTCCTTGTGAAAGTTGGTAAATTATGTTAACAAGGTTAGAATTTTGATATTAAGATCTTTATGTATTTTATTGATACAAATAGATATCACAGATGAATAATTGTTGATTGAATTGTTGATGAATGGTTTGTTTTGGTGAAAAAGATGAAACGAATAGTTACGTCAAAGCATCGAATGCAGCAAGAACATTCCAACTATTACATGATAGGGCAGAAATAAGTGAATGCTCAGGTTTTTGGGGCAGCATTTCTCTAAGTGATTGAAGTTTGGTCTCAAATTCACTGAAGTTAGATCGTTTTTTGGAATCTTTTGATGCAAAAACTATTGTCCAGTAACGAGCGGTTTTCCGAAAGAGATTAGGGTTATTTTTATATTGAGTAGCAACTGATGAGTCCAACGGATTATTAGGTTCAGGATCTTGGAGAAGTGATTGAAGAGATAATAACACTCCACGGATGGTTAAAGCAGCTGCCCAATTGTCATCCAAAATATCAAGACAGATACAACCAGTGATACTTGAAATATTTGGATGCCATACATGAGTGATGAATCTAACTGCTGGCGGTGCAAAAGGGTACTTTTTTGTCAGTTTAATGTCCACTTGGAACATACCATCGGAATAAGGCGTATCTGGTGGACCAGCAATACTTGCTACCATATGAAATAAATCATCATCAACGGTATCAATTGTAAAACGGTTTTCCGCGAAATCAGGATGACTTCTCATTTCTTGAAGTTCTTTCTTCAATCTTTGTGACGCAATGTCTGACATTTTAATAAAAATATTTTCTTTGGTGGTTATTGATTGGATTGGATTTGTTCTAGTTTTCTTGAAACTAGAAGCAGGTCTCAATAGCCCACCAATCCAATAAATCCAGTAGAAAATACATGCGTTTTTGAACAATAATGGAACTCAGCTTATGAATTAAAAATGGCTAAAGAATCCTTTTGTTTACTCCTAACAATGGCCATTTGAAGTCTTAGAAACCATATTGTTGATAAGAGTAACATTATTTCAATGCAATGTTTATGATTTTTATGTCATCGTATGGTTTATCTTGTTGATTAGTTTTGACTTTACTGATGTTTTGACAAGTTTCCATTCCTTTCACAACTCGACCAAATATAGTATGTTTATTGTCGAGCCATGGACATGGTATAACTGTTATGAAAAATTGAGATCCATTTGTATTGGGCCCTGCATTGGCCATGCTTAAAGTATAAGGTTTATCGTGTTTCAATGATGGATTAAATTCATCGGCAAAATCATGTCCCCAAATCGATTCTCCTCCGGTTCCCGTTCCTGTTGGGTCACCAGTTTGAATCATGAATTGTTTTATAACTCTATGAAATATATGACCATTGTAATAACCATTTTTGGAATGTACACAAAAATTTTCAACTGCTTTAGGAGCTTCCTTAGGAAACAATTTAACATGAATATCACCCATAGTTGTATGAATCACAGCTGCTTCAAATATTCGAGATCTGACTGAAGATTCCATCGCTGCAATCATCACTTCTTTTGGAGGTTTTTCATTGAATATGTCTCGTTCCCCGACACCATCCTCATTAGCTTCTGGATCTCGTCTAGTAAAAATATAAAAACGGCCTTTCTTGAAGCCGGTGACAAATAATGAAGGATCAGCCTGAGATCTTGCAGTTAAATTTTGATTCTCAGCTGTTAAACTGCTCAAAGTTGCAGCGCCATCAGGTTTATTTGGAATACCTTGATATAAAGCTAAACCAATAGGACGGAAATTTTCTCCTTTACCGAGCACTCGATGACAACGGTTGGTAGACCATGCAACAACTTTGATCCCGACTGGAGTTGGGTATATTAAAAAAGTTCCACTTTTATCAAAACAAACAGTTTGGTGAGTGAAAGCTTCTGATCGTTCCAATTCCTCTTCAAGTGCTTTCCTTCGATTGTACTCATAAGGTGGTAATATCTTTTTCTCTGCCTGCAAACTACTAAACACGGACAAACTTTCATCAAATATCCGGATAACTTTTCCAGTTTTGAATTTAAAAAGACGAACTTTACGATCTGAGGACAAGGTTGCAAAATGGAGTCCATTATCAGTGAAAGCTAAGTCATGGATGGCTGTTTCAGCTTTAGCAAGCTCATATAAATCAGTATCAGTTTTGTATTTGAAGTCTACTCGGTCATCTGGGAAAGTATAATCATGTTTAGCAGAAGACCAATATTCAATCATTGATGACTTATCTACTGAAATAACTGTTGAATACACCTGATTGAATCTTATAAGAACAACTGGCGCTGAATGAATTTTTTCCAGCTTTTTTATAGGCACTTTACTTTCTTTGCCATCGTAAATGTAAATATCTGGTTTATCTTCTCGTGAAAGAGCAAGGGCTTGCAAAGCATCACCCGGCGCGTAAATCCATTCACATGTTAGAGGCATAAAATCCAGAGTGAAAAGGTTAATCATATCAAAATTGATGACATCAAAAATATCCATAGTCAAGTCTTTTGATATAGATACAAGGAAAGCTCCATCGCATGAGGCAGCAATATGAATAATGGGTCCACGATGAGCTTTGTAATGTTTAACGAATTCAATATGTTCAGGTACCTTTTTCCAAAACTTGATAACACCGTCAGATGAAGCTGTAATAAGAAAATCAGTTGAGCGAGTAACAATAACATGAGTTATAGTATCCAAATGCATAAAACTTCGTTCATAGTTTTCACTGTCAGGCAGATTGTCTAATAATAACTTTTGCAACGATTTCGAATCTGATTTACTCATGGTTTTTGGCGATTGAGTTGATCTAATTCACGAGTTTAACAATTAAAAACCTCTTTACAATTTTTTAAGTTTACCTATCGATACTGATGTTGGTATCGATAAATTTTGTAGAATCATGTATCGATACTATTGGTTGCACAAAAATTTACATTGAAACATTTTTAGTCTAAATCACTTGTTAATTTGATTTTCAATTCAATTAAAAAATTAATTAACATTGATACCTGTCCTATTGCTTGAGTAATACGTTCAATGAAAGGAGAAAGTGAATAACTCATCGAAAAGGACACTCGTTTCTCAACATGTTGCAACGTAATTTTCTCGTAATTTAATGTTGCATCAAATGATTATGCATCTGATCACATGTTAATATTTATTTTCATTTATTTCAAGGTTTAATTTATTTCACTGTGAAATCAATACGCAACTTAACCGGTACTCATTCAACTCATAGCTTGACAGTTTCTGGTAAAACCATGGATGTGAAAATTTTATCAGCATTATCTGACAACTATATGTATTTAATTATCGACAAGGATTCCAAAAAAGCTGCAATCGTTGATCCAGTTGAGCCTGACAAAGTATTACAATCTGTCAGTGAAGCAGGTGTTGAATTGACTACTGTTTTGACCACTCATCACCATTGGGATCATTCTGGAGGAAATGCTGAATTAGTTTCTAAAGCACCAGGCTCAAAGAGTAAAGGAAGAAGAGAGAGCAATTCAATACTAACTCTGAACCAAAATTTTTTTTTGGTGTCAGAAGATGGCGCGAGAAAGAGCCTCTTTCTTTTTACTTTCTTTACAAATTTTTTACTCTCTTTTTCTCTTTCATTTCTCTTTCTTTTCAGCATTTAAAATTAATTCAAGACAATTAATATCAACATCAGAAAAGGCTTTTTTGACTACTTTTCAATCTTTTTAATGTTATTTTAATTGATTTTAATGATTTTGATGCTATGTTTTCTTATTTAATGATAAATTTGTGATGATTTAACAGAATAATGTCACTTTAACTAACTAAATCTAAACTAATCAAGCAAAAGTCTACCAAAACGTTTTAATAGTCATTGTATTAAGGTTTCGGTAATATTTTGGTTACGATAAACTTTTCCTGCCAATAAATTCTGAATTTATTCTTTTCATTGGTTAGATTCATAATTACATGGTAAATTCGTTAACCGTTAATATGTCTAACATTATACTAACGACAATTTATTCACCATGAGCTTTATGTGAAGGTGAACGCCCGTTAAATCAATGAATTCAGAATCTATTAGCAGAATAACCAAAATAGTCCCAAACGCTAATTGAATGACTATTAAAACTTTTTGGTAGACTTTTGCTTGATTAGTTTAGATTTAGTTAGTTAAAGTGACATTATTCTGTTAAATCATCACAAATTTATCATTAAATAAGAAAACATAGCATCAAAATCATTAAAATCAATTAAAATAACATTAAAAAGATTGAAAAGTAGTCAAAAAAGCCTTTTCTGATGTTGATATTAATTGTCTTGAATTAATTTTAAATGCTGAAAAGAAAGAGAAATGAAAGAGAAAAAGAGAGTAAAAAATTTGTAAAGAAAGTAAAAAGAAAGAGGCTCTTTCTCGCGCCATCTTCTGACACCAAAAAAAAATTTTGGTTCAGAGTTAGTATTGAATTGCTCTCTCTTCTTCCTTTACTCTTTGACCAGGCTTAACTGTCTGTGGATTTGACGACAGAATCGGAGCATTAACTAAAAAAGTCAATCATGGGGATACTTTTTCGATTGGAAAATTGAAGATTAATTGTCTGTATACACCTTGCCATACCAGCGGACACATATGCTATCATGTAGTCCCACCATCCGGTGAATCAGATGGCGCCGTTTTTACAGGTATTTTTTAAATCGAAACATCAATGTATCTTAACTTTTGCTTGAAATGATTTGAAAAATGTACATCTTTACAAAATTATTGCAGGAGATACTCTTTTCCAAGCAGGATGTGGTAAATTTTTTGAAGGAACTCCGGATCAAATGTACGATGCGTTGATTAATAAGCTAGGTTCATTACCCGACTCAACAGTAAGTTAAGATCACCTTACATAAATGGTCATGATTCTGATTCAATATTTCTTTTCAATCAACAGAAAGTTTACTGTGGCCATGAGTATACGGTATCTAATCTAGTTTTTGCTCAGAGCACTGAACCATCCAACAAAGATATTCAAGATAGACTGAACTGGGCTAAGGTAAAATCTTGAAAACTTGTATCTAAATCAATCCAATTTAATAATTTTCTTCTTCTCTGCAGGTCAGAAGATCTCTTTCTGAAACAACCATTCCGTCAACTATTGCCATGGAGAAGCTGATCAATCCTTTTATGCGAGTTAAAGAACCATCCATTCAAAAGTATGCAGGATCCACTAATCCAGTAGAAATTATGGGAATTTTGAGAAATGCTAAAAATAATTTCAAAGCTTAAAATCAAATTTTACAGCAAATAATCCTGTTCATGTTTTTATTTGTATCTTGTAATCCAAAATTTAGTTATTTTTTCTTTGTATTTCAATATTCAAGATATGCTTTACATTGTTAGTTTAATAATAAACAATTGGTATTTCATTAGGAATATCTTTGAGTTTTGTCACTCTCGGCCTCCTGGGTTGGGCAACAAGAACTTCAATCGGCTTTGAACTGACTACCTTAGCTTTAGACAATTTAATCGTCGAGTTATTTTTCGGCTTTTTTTCTCGCACAAACAGATTACAATAAAAATTTAACAACTGTTCTGAGAGGGAAATTAAAGATAAACCAAACCAGAAATTTAAACTGCTAGCAAAGTAAATCAACAAATCAAGTAAAGTGTACTCAGGGTAATATTGATTAAGTTCAAATGGAGTTGCTGGAGCTCTAACTACAATCTCATAGATTCCATCTGATCGATGGATCGTGCGAAAACCAATTGGGTTGAATATTTCTTGATAGCAATCAGGTCTATTTGCTTGATGAGAACAATATTTACGACAATACTTGTAGAATTTTCTCTTTTTTTCTCTTTCAGCTTCATTCGGATTTAAATACTCATCATAAAATTGGCGAAACCCACTCATAAGAACCCTTGTATCTTTAAAATGTTGCACAGTCCCGTAAAAAGCTGTTCCAGTTGTTGTTGAAGATGCATTGTTTAAACATCTGTCGAAGTAATCATCTCTTGACAAATAACCAATCAATGAATAATTAAAACATGATATCTCATAATCGTCTTGGATTAGTATGTTGATTATTTTAGTGTAAGTGATTACATAGGTTGCTGGGTTTTCTTTGGTGAAACCAATCCGATATGCCGATTGTTTCTTTCCGTGAGTCAAATGGTTGGCCGCAGTAAAAACTATATCAACTGAAGGTGCCATCATGGTTACATTCGGGCTCAATTTGATCCTCATCATATCTCCATTGTGAGGTTGCTGTAAAATGTCTGCACGTACATATTCAAGAGGTTGTTTTGTTTCATTAAAACATCTTATTGTCAAACAAAATGATGGTTGGCGAAAGTAACGTGTTATTTCACAAGAAGACTTAACATCTACTCGGCGTTGACCTGTAATTGAATCATTAGTTCGGTAAATGGGTGTCAATTTGATCATAGGAGTTACACGGCCAATATCCTTTAACAGTCCTTTTAGTTGGCTGGTTGTTAAAGTGGCTAGAAGGGAATAAATTTCTGTATAAGTATCACGATGAGTGTCATAATCATCAAAGAACGGCCTATTTTTCAGAATAGCACTGAAATTTTGAAAATGCTGATCAGCTATGGTCAAATTGATAAGACCGAGGAAGGGAAAACACAAAGAAACATTGGGTAGAGTAAAAGTTTTTGGAGTCGTTAAATTTACTTTGGTTGTGATTTCACCGTACAAATAATCAATTGCAATTGAATAAATTTGTACAGTACATATAGCCGTTATTAAGAGGTGAACCAGAAAACCAATACGCTTACGAAGAGCTGGAGATGATGAAAGTGTAACTTGGTTCAAATTATCCATTTGAAATGTTAACAACAAGTGATTGAAATCTCGTATTCAGTGAACAAATTATGAAATCGATTTGCTGCTAAATTGATAAATTGTATCAAATTATTTTCATTTACTATATTGATTAAATTCGAGTCATTCTTTGTACATAGAAACTTTCCTGGTAATCATTTCAACCAAAATTAATGATCATTTTCTGTTTTGACGTAATAAAAAAGTCTAATATTGTTTGTTGTTATGTTTTGATTAAATTAATCATACAGTTCTTTCAAATCGATACAATTTCAAACAAAAGATCAGCTCTTTGATTTGAAGATATTTACTAAAAATTACATTTCAAAACACAGAGCTTTTAAAGACATCAATCGATAAAAATGAGTTTGAAAAAACTTCCTGAGGGTGATGTTTGGTGAGTTTGATGGCTAACACATTCCTTAGTAAATTAGTCAATTGATTACTGATTAATAGATTTTGATCCATTCAGCATCTGAACTCAACTAAATGAAATTTCACCAAATGAATTGAGTTCTGCAGTCAATAAATGATAAAGGTTACTTTGTATGAAGTTAGGCTTTAACAGTTGAAGTATTGATGAAAATTAGTCTGATTGTTGGTGAATAAGTTTACAGATTGTTGACAACGGCAAAAGTAAAAATTTAAGCCAATGATACGCTTGGTATTGGAGTGAAGATTTGAAGTCTTGAATAATTTAAAATCCCATAGCAAGATTGATCAAACAACAAAAACAACATTCACGTAGAATCAAGTTGTAGTGTCGCAAAATATTATCAAAATATAATGAGTCGATTAATCAAGAACCACTGTCTCAATGGCTATCGAAGTAATTAGAGAATTTGAATGATATGAATAATTGGTAGATTGATTGTAACCATCGCGGCAAATTAACCAGTTTTCACTGGATTTTTCAAGAAAATTTAAACGCTTTAAACAATTTTTCGGGTAAAAAATATCACTAAATATTTTATTATTATTGATTCTTGATAATATTCAAGCTTGTAGAAATAATTTAAAAAAAAATTCTCACTTGCTACATCACAATCAGTTACAAATAATGAGCACTTAAATTGTTTCGAATCAGGAATGAACACGATTTGAGCTAATAGCTTCTCGCCTGATTCACGTTAAATTCATAATACTTGGCCAAAATGTTTTTTTTGTTAATTTATGTTGCGCGGACAATGAATTTCTGAAACACAGGAAGACATTGACATTTTTTGAGTTATCAATTTTGTTAGGGAGTTATTGAGGTGTCCATTGGGATAACATAGCCTTCACGGTGAAGATGATAGAGTCTCTTTTCAACAGCATCCTTATATCGATGAAGAAATTCCTTATCGACAATCATGTTTGGTTGTTGCGATAAACTGTGTAACAGTATTTGAGCTGTTTGATATTTTTGAATGCACTGAAAACGAGAATGAAAAAAAGGTGATTAAAGCCGTTCGATTGAGCAAAAAGGAAAAGAAAAACAGGAAAATTCAATTTTTCGGGGAAGACGAAAAGAAAAGAAAATCGAATAATGAATTGAAACTTACTACTTGCATATCACCAATCAATTCTTCAGTAGCTGCTGATTTAACCATTTGAATAGCATGATCATAGATTAAATTGTCAGCAGAAACGTTTTCCAAATCTTGGCTATCCGTGGAAGCTAATAGTGTATCCTGAGTTAGAGCTTCGCAATTCTCAATGCATTTGTAATAGAGTGATTTCAAGGTATTAAGGACTGTAAAAAATCGAGAGAAAAAATATATTATTCGTTAAGTTGAGTTTTTATTTCAGCAGTGATTTTCCCAAATAAATCAGGCCAAAAATATTGTGAGAGTGAAGGAAAAGACCAGTAAGAAAATCGAGAAAGTTGATCTTAAGAAGCGAGATAAAGAAAGCTAACCTTGTCGAACTGATGATGATGAGGTGAGCTTTCCAGCGGTAATCTCAGATCTTGAAAGTGACAAAGCAGATGAAACAAAATGCAAAGCTCGAGTATAAAGAGCAAGTTTCTCCGCTTGCCTTTGACTTGGTAGCGTTATCTGAATGAAGATACAAAAGCAAAAAATATTAATAAAGACAAAGTCGAGAAAAAAAAGATATTTGCAAATACTTGAAGATTGATAAGTAAGAAAACTTAACAATAATTGGACAATTTTTTCGCCAATCTAAAACTATTTGCCTTTTAATTTTTTTTGAAAGCATAATTTCATGATGATCTTACCTCTGGTATAGAGCTCTCAGCCAAGAGGCTCAATGTATTTTCACGATGCTCTGCCAATTTTACAATACATTCAGCCAATGAAGAAACAAAATTGAGCCGGGTGAGTGTTTCGTTATGCTCCTTGTCAAGTAAAGTTTCCTCGGGTAATTCAGGCACATCAAAGCGACGCAAGTCCTCGAGAAAGCGTAGAGATGCCTCAGCAGAGTTTCGATCAGAAAATTGAGCGTAAATTGAGTAACCTCTTTGGGGTTCAGATGAGCCTGAAGGATGATTGGGAAGTGCTAATGCGTTTGAACTATTGAATCTGCCAATATCTTTAAGTAGAATGGCCGCCTTATGGCCACTTGAGTGTGATCCAAAACTAAAGCTATGTCGATATTGAGGAAGACCTGGTCCCCGTCCTGGTTTTTCAGGACTATCATGAAAAGTCAATTTCATGAGAGATGAGTTACATTGAGAAACCAGAGCATTACTGGTTGCTGAATGAGATTGTGCATGGTGACCAAATGGCCGATGACGAAGATCTGGAGAGCGAAGGGCAGGTATGTAGGTTAACTCGGCCTTACCACTCTGAAGATCTTTTATATTGAGAGGTGCACTACAACGACGATTAGCTGTAAATGAGCCAGAGACTAATCCGGTTGGAGTGCCAATGATAAATTGTACTGTAGGTGGTGATAGTTGACTGATGTCAGTGATGAAGCGATTACTTGAGCTTCCAGAAGAATTTGAATCGTATTGTAGGCCAAATTTTTCGTCTAAAGAAAGAGATGATCCTCCCTTTCCACTGAGGTTACGATTGCTATTATCGGAAGTATTGACCGAAGGGAGATCAGATCCGCTATCAGTAACAATTCCTGATGATTGATAACTGTTACGGATATTAGCGTAAACATTTTTGTTACTGGGAACAGGCTTAGATTTCTTAAATTTGTTAATATAAGAAATCAAATCAGTGGACATGCTGTTGACTGAGCTAACCTTCCTTCTTCTAGCAGATTTAGTTGGCATTGGTTTCGTATAACTGATTTCAACAGGTTTATCGTCGAAGCCCGTTAATGGGACAAAGACAAAATCGTCAAATTCCCCTGGGTCTTCAGCATTTGTTGGAGCAGGAATCTTCGGCTCGCTTTTAGTTGGCAATCTTGGCTCACTTTTAATTGGAGATCTTGGCTCAGTTGGCAATTCTGGAGGTTTACGATGGCTTGTTCTGGCTGGTTGATGAATTTTTGGAGTTTTTAGAGTTGGAGGTGGTGGCGGCGGTAGCGGTGGCGGTGGTGGTGGTGGAACTGAAGGAACAACTTCAACTTGTGATTCGACAGGGGAATGTCTTATAAAATCATGGTTAAAGAATGCATCAAAATCCATTCGATCTTTTGGATCACGTTTAAGCAGGCCATTGAGAAGATCTGACAAATATTTTGAAGTTCCAGGAGGAATTCTGATCCAGGACAAAATTAAAAAGAAAATTTTGACTGTAAGAACAGAGCTTTGGTTTGCTGAGAGTTTGACATTTTAAAGTGGATAACATAATAGAACAATCAAGATGTAGAAAAAGTCAATGACATTCAAAATTAGTTTGAGCATCTTGACTTAATTAAACTACCACTCAATCTCTGTGCTCAGTAATTTTGTCGAAATGGTTTAAATAGCAGTAAATATCATTAAATCAGCAAACTTCAAACAAAACAGGCAACAATGAGAATACAAAAGAAATTCAAACTACTGTGTGAAAATCAATATTTTAGAGCATAATGACTGAGTCACTATAACGTTTGAGATAAAATTAAAAAAATGACAGGAGAAATGCAAGAGAAAACCTTTGCTTCGATTTCAGAGCTTTGTAATGATAGACGCTATAATCAAAAGTAACAAATAAAACATTTAACAAATTCGAAGCAAGTATTCTATCATTTTAATAACAAAAGACCGATCATTTCAATTGTTGCGTCAACTGAGCAAAGAGATCAAATAAGAAAACCTTTAAAGGTTAGTTATTATTAGTTCAATGTTAATAATCTGTAGCTATTCATTTCTGGTATCTCAAGTCAAGCTCTTAAGGTTTGCAGATTAAATAGAGAGCATAACTTGATGCTATTTGCAAGCTTATCATTATCTTATGTTATTATTTGAATTAATTTGACAAAACAAAAGATGTAGGATTGGTTAGATAATTTGTTAAAAATAAAAGAATAACTAACTTTGGAACCAAATTAACATTTTTCTCGTAAAAATGTTTCAAAGCAGGAGGCGATTTGGCATTGAAGGGGGCCTTGCCAGTTAAACATTGAAAAACGATTGTACCGATACTCCAAAGATCAGCTTTGGCACCGTATTGGAGAGACATAATTACCTCTGGAGCCATGTACACAGGAGATCCACACAATGTAGCAGCCATGGCTCCATCAAGCAGGAATCTGGCAAAACCAAAATCGGCAATTTTTAGGACGATCTCGTGAGGGCTTGGGCAGGGTTTCTTAGAACAAAGAAGAATATTTTGAGGCTTAAGATCACGATGAACTATTCCTTGTTGATGGAGAGCTTTCATCGCCTCGGCAAGCTGTTTAAGAAATAATTTAATGGTATCTTCACAAAGACAACCCATCTTATGAAGATAATCAGCCAAATCAGAACGGTTACAATATTCCATGACAAGATAAACATGGTCAACTGTTTCATGGGCACCATATAAAGCTACCACATTTTGATGGTGTAGCTGAGTTAACTGGCCAAGAACATTAATTTCTCTAGTTAAAATATTTTTACTTTTTTGAAGATTCTTTTTAGCAATTGCTTTAATTGCGACTGGAAGATCTTTACTTTTATGTTTACCTTTGTAAACAATTGCAAAAGCTCCATGTCCAATGAGATCACTTTTTTGATAGGAATATTCACCAACATCAACGACTTTTTCTTTGTCGCTTTCCATGTTGGTAACAAATTCACAAATCGAAAAATTTAAAATTAAATTAAATAAATAAATCACAGATGCTTAAAAAAAACAAAAAACGTATCAAAATTAATCAAGACATTTTGATTTGAGATCTTTCGTCTTTCCCTACCAAAAAAACAACAAAGAAAGACATTAAATAACTTTTAAAAAACTTAACAAAAGCAATTTGTGCTCTCTAAATCCATGGTAACCAGATTCAACCTCGAAATTCAAATGGAGCATTACAAACTCGGTTGAAGCTGTGATAAAATCAGTTTAGAGAGTAACAATACCATGAGTTATAGTATCCGAATAATTAACTACTTTTATTGATTCACTGTCAGGCGATTATCTTAATACTCTTAATAATTCTGAGTCTAATTTACTCATGGTTTTCACCATTTGAGTTGATAAAATTCAAGAGTACAAAAATCAACCTCAATTTAACTCTTAAATTTACCTATCGATACTGATGTTGGTATCGATAAATTTTGTAGAATCATGTATCGATACTATTGGTTGCACAAAAATTTACATTTAAAACATTGTTAATATAAATCACTAGTTGATTCGATTTTCAATTTAATTTCCCTGCAAATTTAACTTTAATTAGCAACCTTAGTTATTTAAGTGATTCTTTCAATGGAAGGTAAAAGTGACAAACCCGTTAAAAAGGACACCAGTGGGAGACCAAGGATTGCTACATTGGGTTCATTGAATCAACAACAACAACAACAGTCTAGTAGTGATGATGAGGGTCAAGCTTTTTATGTTGGAGGATCAGAAAAGTCAGGTCAACAAGTTTTAGGTCCTAATAAAGAAAGAGCTGACCCTAATGAAGTAATTAAAAATGTTTTCAAGGCCGCTAGAGAGCAAGGAGCTCAGCCTATAGAGCCAGAAAGTCCTGAACAAGCAAGAAAATTTGCTGCCTTTAAAGGTGTGTTATCAAATTTGTCACTTTTCGATAAAGCTTTGAATTGTTTCTTATTGTCCTTTACCATCTCCTAGGTAAAGGTAAAAAGCTTGGAGATGATGAAGAAGGACAAGACGAAGCTGCTGGAGGTGAATCAAGTCCAGAAATTGATCTGAAACCCATTACTATGGTGCTGAAAATGTGGAGAAATGGTTTCAGTGTTGATGATGGACCTTTACGCGCTTTTCAAGATCCTCAGAATCGCGAATTTTTAGAATCAATTACTCGAGGGGAGGTACCTCGAGAGCTATTACGTATGGCTCGTGGAGGTCAGGTTAACTTAAATATGGAAGATCACCGAAACGAAGAGTACGTGCAAGTCAAGCGAAGAGTCAAGGCTTTTGCCGGAGAGGGTCATCGTTTAGGTAATGTTACACCTGAAACAATTGGAGCTTCGGGTTCTAATTCACAAGCTTCTGGTGACAATAAAGCTAACGAGGAAGAGGCCAAAAAACGTTTGAAAACTGACGAATCTAAACCGACCACTAATATTCAAGTTAGATTATCAGATGGCTCTAGGTATGTTTTTAATCAAGTAAAAATTGTGTGATTTTAATGCTGCTTCTTTGTTCTCTCCACAGAATTGTTATCAAAGTTAATTTGGATCACACTGTTCAAGACATTCGCAGTTATATTTGTGATGCTCGTCCAGTCTATGGTCCCTTGCCTTTCATTCTGATGACCAATTTTCCCACTAAACAACTAACGGATGAAACGCAAACTGTTTCTGAAGCCAATCTTCAAAACGCCACTTTAACTCAAAAATTGGTTTGATGGAAATGTTCTGATTCATTATTTTCTCTTTCCTTTTTTCTAACTCAAGATCTAATCAATGGACATGATTATTGAACAAAACAACGAATCTTTGATTAAAATGTTTTAAAAAATTGACTAATTCACTGTCCAAATATAAAATTGATTGCTTACAGTACTGTTTCACTCGGTGTTTTATTTTTCTGACTTACGAAAAAAGGTGTAACATTTATTAAACTGTCCTTTTTCAATTGTCAATCTAAGGAGCAAGATCATGGTGATTTAGTATGAGCATCAGAAATAGAGATCATAGCGTAGCATTTTAAATATGAAAAATATTGGATATTTTTTAATGGAAAATATTGGATTTGTTTTTTAATGCGAAAAATGAGATGAGATTCGCAATTTTCAACTAATTGGTGTTCTATGAGAAATAGGATTCAATAGGATATTTTCATTTCGTCTTCTTGGATCATTCAGTAAAATGCCTAAAAGATGCTGATTTATATATGAATCGATAAGTTGAATAGTATAAAACTAATGCTCAACCGTAGGCTGCTGCTTTCGAAACCATTTAAGTCATCTGATTTGAATCATAATAATTGCCAGAATTACCTAAAATAGATTCCTACTTGACATCAGTAGAAGCATCTCATTTGAGATGAGCTTCTTTAGTGCACCTTTCAATCCATTCTTCAAGCTGCTGTTCGTCTTGTTGACTTGGATTTAATTGCACGACGATAGTTGTTGAAAACAGGAATGGGATTAAAAGTAGCAATGTTCTCACCAAACAAGATAAACTAAATATTGATTGAGATATCCATTCTTGGTTGCCTTGAAAGTTATAAATGTATGACAACAAAAACGTAACTGAGTAAACTGAATCTGAACACGTGTTAAAAATACAGACTGTAGCACCATTCAAATAAATGATGGATTATGATCCTGATCATGAAGTTTACTTTGTTTCCTCGATTACAAGACGCTCTATAAGTCAAAACAGTTTACCCAGAGAAACATTAAAACCAGTCAGAGAACAAAGGCTTGAAACCAGCTAAGTTTACTGCAGAATAGATTGTTATTTGAAATTCAAGGAGATATTCAATGATTCAGCAAAATGGCGGTAATGAATGTTGAATGTTGAATCGCTTTTATGGCGCCACATAATTGCCGCCGCAGTGAACTGTTTCCATAGTAACAGTAAGCCATTTAAATACAGTTGTTTATTTTCTTTTGTTCAATCTTTAAATCTTGAGTTCACCAAATCTCGTTAACTTATTGTAAAATTTAATCATGAGCGGTTCAAATACTTCTGAATTGGATATTTTAAATGCTTCGCGCGGTGTATGGCTTGTCAAAGTACCCAAGTATATGGCAAACGAATGGCAAAATGCACCATCAATGAGTGAACTCGGTCGACTCAAAATTAACAAGTGAGTAATAACTCGAAATTTGGATTTAGCTATGTTTCTATAAATGTCTCTCATTTTTATCTTGATTATAATCTATGTTAATTATTCAAAAATCTAGTCGTGGTCCAGCAGGTAGACCGGAAATATTTTTTGACTTGTCAAACGAAGTCTTGGAGCGAGCTAAAGCAAAACCTGAATCAAAAAATAGCGATACACATATACCTAAGGAACATCAATTTGTTATCAGTGACATTTCTCACCAGCATTTAGCTGTCTTCTCACATCCTAAAGATGACAGAAGCTCAGGTCTTATTTTAGAAGGAAATGTGGTACAAAAAGGAGAGTGTCGACCAACCGGCGATAATAATTACATGAGATTGAAGGCTAAGCAAATGGAGAAAGCTAATAAACCTCAAAGAACAGTATTAAAGTTAGATCAAACACCGATCAGCTATCTCCCTGTTTCACATCACAAAGTTGAGGTAATTTTTAATCTTTTTATCATTTTGTTATCGTGTGTCATTATTGATTAAATTTTTTTTAATCAAACTTATCAGGTCATGAATGAGGCTAAACGTAAAGCCGAGGGTAAAAGATCTCGAGAAGAAAAGGACAAAGTTATGGAAATGCTGTATCAGGCATTTGAAAAGCACCAGTATTATTATAGCAAAGATTTGGAGAGAATTACAAAACAACCCAGTGTAAGTATACTAACTGTCAAATTGAAAATTTATTTTAATCAATTTCTTTTCTTCTTGCAACAGTCATATTTGAAAGAAATTTTAAAAGAAATCTGTGTGTACAATACCAAAAACCCGCATAAAAATATGTGGGAATTGAAACCTGAATATCGTCATTACGAGGTTACCGATGAGAAACCAGAACAAGGTTGACTAATTTCATTTACGCTTGACTTGACTGGATTGTCAACATAGTTTCAACTCCCGCCATGTTGGAACTGTTTATCATCTTTCTTCATTTTACTTATTTTCACTTTTGTCTGCACTTCAAATCTCTCTCTAGATGGAGCTTACTCTCTCTCTCTCCTCTTTCTAGATTCATTTTAAACTTTCTTTTTTTCAAACCTATCATGCTAAACACATGTTATTTTCTTATCATTTCACTATTAAGACATAGAGACACATTTCTCTGATCTCGCAATTTCCAAAATTGTGACTTTGCTGCTTGTATATTATAATATTAATACTTATAAAATATTCATTGGCGTTATTCATGTATCAATATGTATTTGGCGCGTTTAAATTCATTGGACACTTTATAATGTCTCCTATGCGTAGAACAATGTTTTTCAAATAAACATATTTTAGTGAATCTTTATCATAACACTTTGGAAAACATTAATTTGTTTACAATCGATTTTCGTCAGATCAAATCCGCTTTATTTATATTTTAGTTCATTATTCAACAATAACCACTTTAAACCATGGAAATGGCTTCAACGAGCTCAACATCAAATTATTCTGAGAATGAGGAAAAAGATAATGATGATGAACAAGATGGAGATGACTTGATTGGATACAATCGGTATGATACAGTTCCATCATCTAGGGAAATTGAGTTAATTCATGGAAATAAAACGGTATCAGCCCTTGCATTAGATCCTAATGGTTCAAGATTAGTTTCTGGTGGTTATGACTATGACGTGCGATTCTGGGATTTTCAAGGCATGGACTCTCGGCTTGAATCTTTTCGTACCATTCAGCCATGTGAATGTCATCCTATCAAGAATCTTGAATATTCATCTAATGGGGATCTTATTCTTGTTGTGTCTGGAAATTGTCAAGCCAAGATTGTTGATAGAGATGGTTATGTTAAAATGGAATGTCCGAAAGGGGATCAGTATATTCGTGATATGGCAAGGACGAAAGGCCATACTGCTATGTTGAATTTTGGTTGTTGGCATCCTAGAGAACGAAGTGAATTGATGACTTCATCGAATGATGGTACACTAAGGATTTGGACTGTTGAAAACGAACTCAAAGAACAAAAAGCTGTGATCAAGTGCCGTAACCAAGGTGGTCTTAAAGCTATACCCAATGCAATAAATTATTCAAAGGACGGTTTACTTATTACAGCTGCATGTACAGATGGTTCGATTCAAGCTTGGGATCATCGTCGTAAAGTTTATGTAAACAATAGCTTTTTAATCAGAAATGCTCACCAAAATGGATCTGAAACATCTTCTTTGACATTTTCTTATGATGGTAAATATTTTGCCACTCGAGGAATGGATGAAACATTGAAATTGTGGGATATCCGAAATTACAAAACCTGTGTTAATTCCGTAAATAATTTGTTTAATTTATTCCCTAACACTGACTGTTCCTTCAGTCCTGATGATCGACTCATATTGACGGGAGTTTCACTGCAGAAAGGGGAAGATATAGGTTATCTTAAATTTTTCAATAGAGATACTTTTGAACTAGAAGGCGAGATGAAGGTAGCTCCGGCCAGTGTTATTCGGTCTATGTGGCACCCTAAACTCAATCAAATTATAGTTAGCACCAGCAATGGAATTGTCAAAACCTATTATGATGACAAATTAAGCGAACGAGGTGCTAAACTATGTGCTGTCCGAACCAAAAAGAGATATAACGATTCATTTGCAGTTTCAGAACCACAAATCATAGCTCGTAAGTATTTTCACTGTCAAACATCAAACTATATATTTTTTTCATATATTTGTTGATTTCTTCTGAATCGGCATTCTTTCTGAATATATCTTGGTACCTTGGGTTACTTTGCGAATCGTAATAATCTTACATATTTTTTTATCCTTTAGCTCATGCTCTACCAATGTATAAACAAGAGAAGAAGAAGAGTTGGAAAGTGGAAATGATGAAAGCTCGTAAAGATCCAGTCAAATCTCGGCGACCTGATCTACCAGTTACTGGACCTGGTCAAGGTGGTCGAATCGCCTCTACTGGAAGTACCTACGCATCTTTCATGGCTCAAAAGTTTGCAGCAAAAAACAGAAAAATTGATTCCAATGAAGATCCCCGTGAGGCTTTGCTGAAATTTGCTAAAAAAGCTGCTGAAGATCCTTACTGGGTAGCTCCTGCCTACCAGACCACTCAACCCAAACCCATATTCAGTGAAACCAATGAAGAAGAAGATTACGAACCTCCAGCAAAGAAATAGCTATCTACAGGTATTTTTGTATTTCATCTCAGGATTCATTTTTCCCTGAATTTGTAATTTTATCATCAATCTCTTTTTTGTATCATTGACCACATTCAACTTGTAATATTTTCATATAAAATCAATGAGCTTCGTGCTGATTATTTGAAACATGATTGCATTCAACCTTAACTGTATAAACTATCTTGACGCAGTTTGAACATGTCAATATTTTTTTCAAGGTTTTGGATGTTGATCATAGTAACGTGTTTATCAATTAATATTCTAACTTCCGAAATTATTGTTTAATATTATTTTTATTGATTCCTGCAATGGTTTTATTTAAACCACTCCTAGTTTATTTACTTTTAACAGTTTACTCTGATAATTGGGACAATAATCGAGTGATTACCCGTTAAATTCGTGTTCTTTATCTGCAATGGTTTCAAATTGCTGAAAATGCTGGCTTTTCAAATGCTGGTATCCATACAGTAAATATGTAATTATGATTCCTATCTCCTCTAATTAGTGAAAATAATGTTAAACGATTACAATTTGACACTTATCTTATGGACACTCAAATCCAGCTTGGACAAAAATCACTAATTTTTCGTCGCTATGATCTTAATGCTAAATCTTATTTTGACTGCAAATATCATTTCATGCAATTTTTTGCTAAGCAAATTATCTTTAACATAACTTAAATCAATCAAATGATTATAGATTCATTAGTTGATCTTAATCATGGCCATAGACGCTACTAATTCGCTCCTGTCTAAGTAATTCATTAACTTTAATCAAGATCAATTGATAAGTGATCAATTAGCTAGATAATTGAAAGATAAATGCTTACTCGACGAGGATAACCCAATCGATCAGTGTCTTCCATTAATATTTTAGTGTATCCCGTAGCATTGATTTCATGAGTTCATCTCCATTAAATTGGGCATTCACGAATGATAATATTAATGTCAACCAGTAACCTTGCAAATATCAAATGTATTATAATAATATGACGTACGATTAAAGTTTCAACTAACGATAAATTTTCTCTCTCATTCTTCTTTAGATTGATGGAACTTATAACAAGTTAATTGTATCGACAAAACAATCACGAGAAACGAAATTAAGAAAACTGTTACAATACAATTAACATGATGATATCACAAAGTTGCCATATGATGAGAGCTCTAACATACAAGAGGATGAAAAAAGGAAGACGAGAACGGTAAAGAAAGGAAAAGAAAGAAAGAAAAGAGATGAAAATATTAATATCAAGATGAAGATCAAGGAATGAGAATCTCGGGAAATAAAGAAGATGAAGAGCAAGATAAAGAAATACAATGAAAAATTGAGTGCATTGAATTCTGGACACAATAATAACATTCGAGTTTATTGGCTCACTATTAATAATATAAACCTTCAATTTGAAACTTATATCAGCGTTAATCGAGACCACTTAATTGTAGTTGCCAACTCTTCAAAGATATTAGTGATTTCATTTTCCACCTAGTTGCAGTCCTCCTACTGTAACATGCATTACATTTTCAGTACCATCATTTTCCCCGTTAATTTTTCCCTCTCTACTCGTCATCTCGCCTTGCCCACTATCTTCTCTATCTTCTCTATCATCCCTATCATCATCTTCTTTAACTTTTCTCTCTTCTTGATCTCTATTTGATTTTGATTCGACTTGTAGCTCCAATGGAAGCAACTACTAATTACTATCATTTACAGTTCTAAATTGCTTAATGTTAATCGACATTCATTAACAAGTAATTTAGTCTATTCTTTCTCTCCTTCTCTTACACATTCATCATCACCGAACAACTCTATTATCTTTAAAAGTATCATCCACGACAAACAATAAATCCCGCTGTTTTAATTACCATCATTAGTAGGTCTAATAACTTCACCAATAGCATCTGTAAAAACCATGGTTAGCAAATCTGGTTAAACTTGGATAAAAAGAGACGAAAAGATTAAAGTTAAATTCACTGTCAATTTCCCACTTGGATCCATTAATTTCTTACAATTTTCAATCTTGAAAAAACCTCATTTTACTCTCATTGACCCTGATTCAAAGTCCACTAATTGCAACTTTACATCTTTTATTGTCAACTTCATCTCGTTAACCAGCCTTTTCGCTATCCAACAAATCATCTTCCAGTCGGATTAATATCATTGACAATTTAAAAATCAAAGTTTGCTTGTAAAACCATCAATTTCAAATGGATGATCAACCAAATAGTCGGATCAACTATGTAAGGACTGCATTGATTTACCTCTCTTTCCTCGGTGTTGGTTCTGGCATGACAGTTCTTGGTTCCTCCATTTTAGACCTACAAATTCAAGTTCAAGAAGAGTACGAGACAATTGCCCATGTAATCCCAGTAAGAGCTGCCGGTCTTGTTGTCGGATACTTTTTTGGTACGTAAAGTTGAGTTTTATCATCAATTTGCCATTAATTATTCACTATATTTAACTATTAGCTGGTCTCATTGGTGAAAGAATGAATCCTCAAGTGTTGATGTTTTTAACCAACATATTTGCCGGAGTTACCTTCATCTCAGCTCCATGGAATCACCATTTAACTGGATTAATGATCGACTTCTTTCTGAGCGGGGTTTTCCTAGCCGCCAATAAAGTCTGTAAGTAAAGTGTTTTTTAAAAAGTTAAATTCACAATCTAAAGATAATAAATCAGTCATGGATTGAAACCAATTGATCTACAATTTGCTCGTTAATGCCTTTTCCATCACTAATTTATATTTCTCTCTTCATAGGTTGTAATCAATTTATATTTTCAATGTGGGGCGAAAAAAGTCCGCTTTTCATTCAATTCCTGTACATGTGCTATGATATTGGCTCCTTTTTGGCTCCATTCTGGACAAAACCATTTATACTTCGAAGCAAAAGTGAATTGCTGGGCAACACAGCGGCCAATGTAACCTCTTTACCTTACAAACCGTCCGATGTTAAAATTCAATATCCAATCATGATTGTTGGATTTGTTTACACTGTAGCAGCATTTGGATTCTTGATTCTTCACTATACCAAACCTTATATCAAACCTTTACCCAAAAACACTGTTAAAAAGGCACCTTCCCATGTTAAACAATTTGATGGTAAACGATCGCTCAAATGGTTCATCATTATAATGATGTGTCTCTTTACTCATGCAGCCCAAAGTACAACCGATTTAATTGGTAAGCATAAATTTATTGCCAACCAAATAATTTCCAGTTTACATCCATTTTAATCCAACTGTGGTTAAGCTTGAAATTTTAACCACTGGCAACCATTTTAAACAATAGATATCAAGTTTAACCATACAACCATCAATCTAATTGACTCGGTAACAATTGTAATCAACTTATTAATATTCATCTGAAAAGTTTACCATTCTAATGACTCTAGATAATTGACAATAACATTAAGCGATATTTAGCGTGGTTATCTTTTTGTTTAAATTTTAATACCAAATCACAATTGATTCATTGTCACAGTGAAATCATTTTTTGCTGACATTCACTTGTATTTTAAACTCAAATTGCTGCAAAAAAATAACCTTTTCAAACAATTGTGAACAACAAAATGTCATAGAGAGATCTAATTGTCCCTTGTTACACTTTAAATCATTTTGATTTCAGCAATTTAACAACAATATCATCTAGGAAAAAATGTTCATCAGCTCTTGAGCATACAAAGGGTAATCCCGGTACAAGTTATTCAAGTAGCGATGAATACAAAACAATTACTTGAATCAACTACTAATGATCATCAAGTTACTCTAATATACATCTCGTGATTGTAAACAAAAATTATTGTATTTAAGTATCGATGATGTTTCAATGAAATTATAACAATTGTATCGAAAATCAATTGACATTGTTTAGGTTTTCAATTATTATGAATGATTGACAAGAGAGTGATTTAGATTAATATTTATGTTATGGCAAAAATTTATCTTCAGTACCATAGTTCAATTGACAAGAAATCTTAAGATGATAACTTAATTGTTGCTACCAATCATTTTCATGTTGTTAATTTTATTCTCAAATCATTTTCCAACCAAAGCCACTCTTGGAAAAGGTCAAGTAAATCTAGTTGATTGTCACAATTATCAAAGTTACCCTCAATCCCTGAAAATTGTATATCGAAACAAATAACTTATTAGTCCAATAGATTGATTAACCTTGTTAAAGTCACTATTTTTCAATTGTTTTATCCCAAATTGGAGCAATGTTTGATGCTATAAATATTTCTATGTTAATTGTTTATGTTGATTATTCCCTTATTGGGAGTGATTAAAATATTCATTCCCATTATTCAATTGCCTATTAACAGTTGAAAATAATCAAAATAGTTCAACCTTTATGCGATTCTGGCCTAGAACAATTTAGATTCTTGGATAACCCAAAAACTAATCTTCCAATCATCAATGAAAATCAAAAGAAACCTTTAAAGCAGTTAATTTTAAATAATAAGTTGATTGATTGACTTGAAATTTTAAACATTTAGATATGAATTAGTTAATTTAGTCATCAAATTTCCTAGAGATTGAAAAATAATTTCTAAAATTGGTGTTAAATGGAGGAAATTTTAAATTTTTGGTCAAAGTGAACCAGAAAATTGGTTAATACCAGAAAAAGTGTATTGAAAATCTGGTCACCGATTTGATCCATAATTTTGAAACCTAATCTCTCTACAGTAGCATTAGTTAAGGTTTTAATTTTTTGTGTTAATTAGTTGCAGCAATTAATTCATCTTTTTACACATTGAATGGATCTGATCTTTGGTACCTATGAAATAGCAATAAAGATTAAACTCTTTGACTACTTGATTACAGTTAATTAATAGTTTACCATTCCTGGTTAACCTTGATTTTCAATTTATAATTATTTTGCGCTCAGCAAAGTTCACATTGATATGTCCTACAATTAACATTCCTGATATGCACATTTCTTTAATTGTTTGCACTAATTTGATGTATCATTGAGATGGTACAGCTGATTCTTTTCAATCAAAATTACAATTCTGATTTCATTTTTTGGTTTTAATTCAACTTTGACTAATTTTGTTCTTCTTTATTTTCATTTTTTCAGGTGAAATGGGTCCGTCTTTTGCAGTCCATTCTGAGCTGAAATTACCAAATGAAAGTGGACCCACCTTGGTATCAATATTTTGGGGATTTTTCACGATTTACCGAGTCATCTTCATTGTTTTACTTATGTACACTACAGCTGAAAAGGCTAAAATCATTAACGTTTTACTTCTTCTTGTTTCTTTGGTTGTTTTGGTTCCTCATGCAAACACTCAAAAATCTTGCCTTTATGGTGGAATCATTTTGCTTGGTTTTGGAATGTGTCCCATTTTTGCTGCTACTTACGGTTCAATTACTCGCTATTTCCCGGTTACAAGCCGAATGACTGCCGCATTTTTCATATCAACCTGTGTTGGTCATCTCATTTATCCTTGGGTTGTTAGCCAATACATCAGAACTTATCCAGTTATATTCCTTTATGTTATCGCTGGGTTGGTTGTCGCAACTTGCATTCTGACTACAATCATACCATTTATCGGACAAAAATATTTACAATATGCGGATGAACAACGAGACAAGGATGAACAAAAATCTCAATACCAAAGCAGAGCCACCATTGAAACGATTCGAATTAAATAAATTCATTCTGAATGTATATCTTTTTTTAAACTTTTAACATCTTTAAGATGAGTTTATTTTGTAAAAATAAATCTATTCTTTTAATCTGTCCATGAATAGCTTCCAATTAAAGAGATTCCGTTCGAAATCGATTCAAACTATCCTATCAAATCGTTTTCTGGTCACAAAATCGTTCGATAATAATTTTGGATTTTCAAATAGTGAACCTGGAGCTTATTTTGACTTGACTTTGGGTTGTTTCTGGTTTAAAAGTTGATTTACATTGAAGAAAAATCAAATACAAAGTAAAATGCTCAGACTCAGGCAAAGAAACCGTTGTAAGAAGGAATAATCAGTCGATAATTGAATATCACTTTAATGAAAATTTTTGATTTTAGCAAATATTTCTACATGTACAGTTAGATGATTTTTATTGCACAAAAGTCAAAAAATATAGATGCGTTATCAACCTTTCCAAAAATGACTCTCTTCAAATTGACAATCAATTTTATGAAAGGCTACATCAAAAATTCCGTTTACTATTGTTTACCTATGAATAGTGTTTAAACCCCGACCTGAAACTTTAATCAGTCGAGGTGATTTTGAATAACTTGAGGTGGCCATCCGGTAAGTTCTCCATCGTCGTTGGCCATGTAGTGATGGGCTTCCTCAGCTCGTTCAGGAGCGTAAATGGTTACTTGTTTCCTCTTTCATCATGTGTCATATAAATCTTGTAATCACCTTTAAAACTTAATGGGTTAACGGAGCCATCGTCGTTATCTTGAAATGTTACTTCTGACCTGGACCTGACCCTTTAACTCCAACTGCTAAACCACCGGTTTTGTATAACGAACATGTCCGAATGATCGGTGTGCCTTTTAAATGTATTTGGATTACCAAGAATGACTGATATCAAACCAGATCCATTAGAGATTACTAAAGATGTCATCTTATTAAGACTTCTTTCCAATTTTCAGCTGTTTTAAGAAACAAATGGGTAATTATGCATTCAAGTGTTTTACTTTATTTGTTTTCTAATTAATTCGTTTTCTATCTATTTTATCAATTGTTATTTAACCATGTGATCCTGATTTATTATTTAAACCGTTTTTACTATTTTCAGTGGATTTGGGTGATACGCTTCAAGCTTGTTTGTGCAACGCATTTTTCCCGGTAAGTTGCTGTGATTTCTTTTGTGTCTATAATAAATATTTTCTTGATTCGCAAGTTGATGATTAATTGTCTTTATATTTATTTTTTCTTGTAATTTGGTTTTTACAGGCATTCTAGGACAGAATCTAAAGCTTAATTGATGACAACATGAGCTTAATGTTAACAATTGGCGAAGATAAACTTGGCAATACAAGATATGGAGACAGTACGCGTAAATGCTTAAGGATAATAGCAATAATCATGATATAATTATGTTTTGCTTTCATACGAAGCTAATTTTAATCTGGATATCTGCGAACACAACTCGCAACCAAATCAATGGTTATCATTAGCAAAAACAAAACAAGAAAAAAAGCTTACAAGCTTAAGCAAAAGGAGAAGAGTTAGTCTTCAAAGCAACAAGAGGTGAACAAGATAATAAGATTATTGGTTTGGATGAGTATATCAATTCAATTTTAAACATGATATTATAATGATGATAATAATAGTAGATAGTAATAATAACAAATTTTGTGTTTCTTTTTCTTTAGGCATTTTCACCATTAATCATTTGTTGATCATCACATTATTCGTAGCTTGAAAGGACTTCCAGGAACATCTTGTTCATTGAATTTAACTTTTACAATATATAAACCTCGTGTATCGGCTATGTAATACAATTTGTGTAGGCCTGAAACTATGTGAACATGGCGGGTTTGAACGTTACCAGGGCCACTTACTGTCCAATTTACTCGACCGAGACCAGCTTTACGGGTGTCAACAATTATTTCACTTTGAACATTGGTTATACCTCGAAATAAACCTCTTCCAGAGACCTTTACTTTATTTGGATTACCAAATGGACCCTCCAGTGTTAAATCATCTTCTGGTATCAAAGAGTCGATTATATACTGTGGTTGATACTGTGAATTATGGTTATCAGTGCTATTTTGATGGCTGTTATAATTTACTGAATCATCTAGATGAGGATATGGTTGATGACCGGCAAGTGAGCTTTTTGGATAAAATGGCTGCTCAGGTCCAGTCTTTGAATCGTATACTGGAACATCAAATGGACTTCCTTTCAAGTGTAATCCATTTTGTTTAACAGATATTTTATAATAACCAGGAACCATTGGTTTATATTGAACCTTGATTGAACCATCTTCATTATCAACGTGTCTCATTTGGGCGTTTGATGGACCTTCAATTCCAATTGATATTCCTGATTCAGCATCAATATTGGTGTGGACAATAAAATCGTTGAATACTTTGACTTTACCAGACAACAAGCCTTGACCAAGTGCTATCCCTTGACCAAACATTGTGTTTATATGTTTATCTGTGGAGCTCAATGGTTGATTACTAAGGTCACTTGGAGATTTCCAATCTAGTTGTTTTGGCAATTTGCTGATTAAGTTTTCTTGATTATCTTCCCTTTCAAGTAACAGTGAAAGCAAGTTAACTCCTGTTGATCTCCTGAGTTATTCCCAAATTCAATACAAGATTCGTTCCTGAAATGATTGGTGATTAGGCTTAGTTAATTGGGCGGTTTTTGGATTTCGGTTTGTTTTGTTCTGTGTATTTTTTTAATTTAATCTAAAGCTAATTAGGGTAAAGGAAACGTATGGACAAAGGGAAGGACGAAAGGGTTTGGGTCAAGATGATCGCGATCTGATTATTGAGCAGCATCACCAGGCAAATCAAAGTGAAAAATTAGTGCTTGTTGTCAAGTCGTTAGTTGTTAAAAATTACCATTTTTACAATTTCTTGCAACAAATCAGTCAAAATGTTTGTTTTATCTATTTACAGTTCTATGGTTGTTAATTGTAAGCATTGAATTGGCAATAATGGCAGTAACATACTTTAGCTTTTAGTCAATCATTTGGATAAACGACGACGACAATGATGGAACGGAGAATCTGAATGATGAATAAAATGGTTTGTCATCATGCTCATCGGGTCATATGACAAATTGAATAGGAAATGTAATTTTGTTTTTAATTTTGCTAATATTATCTTGACTTCGTTTTTTCCTCTCTTTCTCTCTCAACACTCTCTCTTCCTTCAACATTATCATCTTGAATCTTGAATGTCTTTGCGTCTAAAATAGATTCTTAGGTTAACCAGAAAATAAAGACACAAGTGGAAATAAAAGTAAACTTCCCCAAAAAAAGAGGGCCAACCAAAACATAGAGGAAAAAGTTTAAAATTGAATTGGGTTGATGGATGAATGGAGATGACGATGAGGACGACAACGATAAAGATTATGTTCAAGACGATTCGCTGTTGATCATGATGATCCCAATGCTGATTTATTGTGAGTCGAATCAGCTTTTGACTATTTCCATTCAAACCAACCTAATGGGATGGCTTAATCATTAACCTTGTCGATAACAAGTTAATTTTGTTTTTCTTACATTCTATTCTCATTATCAATTAGATTTATTTTATAGCTTCTTTTCTGGTTCATCATTTATTCTTGATTACGTGTTATTTTCTGCCAGAATAACATGAGCTTCAATCAATAAATTAATCAAGTTTATTCTATTACCCTGAATTTAACTAACTTAATGCTAATATTTCCTCATTTATCTTTGCAGAGCTTAACATTCTTTGGAGACGATAATGTAGATCGAGAGATAGCAAATAATCCAGAATCGCCATGCTAGGAATCTGAAGCCTTTGGATCTTTTCACCATCAAGAGAAACAGTAAAAGCTAAAAACACAGCATTTATATACTTTAACACGTTTGGATGTCACTTTCAAGACCAATTTGAACTACTGTTTATCAAGTTACACCAATTAATTTGCTTCCAATGATCCGTGGTCTATTGATTTGGATAAGGCGAGCAATTTGGCAAATTCAAATGACTTCAATTCACAATCAAGATAAATCTGGAAAAATCAGTGTCAACTGTCAAGTCCATCATTTAACAATCCAAGATTTACATCTCTATGCTCGTCCAATCCACAATATCAAATTGATTTTCCTTGATTTCACTTTGGTCATCTTTATGGTAATTTTAAATTAACATTCAACTGGATTTGTTATCCATCGGCAGGTACTTTCAATATTTTCAAAAAATTGAATAAGACTGATTGCTTTAACATTATAAGGTCAGATGGTTGCATCATGATAATTGTTATTGACTTTTATTCATTCTTAATCATTATCAGACTTTGTTTTCTCTTGAAAACTTACAATTGACATTATTGATAGAAGCTATTATTAACAGTTTACACGGACAACTTTGATTAACAATGATTAACTTAAAGATGAAAAAAGTTATGTTAGAGCAAGAAGAAAACAAAAATGAAATAAATTAGCTTGAAATTGATAAATTAATAGGCAAACTAACCGGCAAAATTAATAAAGAAATAATGAGTTTAAAGATAAAATTTTGAATGCATTAATCATTTAAAATTAATGCTATAACAGAAAGCGATAGATTCATTGAAATTTAAACATCAACAATGAGTGAAGATTAACAAGTGTTTTTTTTGCCTCTTTCACAGATAACTTGACCCAAACTGGCGAGTATTTATCACGGATAGTGGTGTAATGGACAGAATAATCAACTAATTTTAGACAATTCTAACATTGAATGGACTACCGGGAACATCTCTTTCATCATATTTAATCTTAATGTTATAATTACCAGGTGTGTCTGGTTTGTAATATAACTTGTAAACTCCATTTTCAACTCCCCGGTTTTTGGTTTCAACATTGCCTGGCCCTTCAATTGACCAGTGAAGCCGACCTGAGCCACAATTTTTAACATCAACTACAATCTCATTTTGAACATTAGTGATTCCAGAGTAAAGACCTCGTCCAGTAACCCGAGCTCGAGCGGGTGAGGAGAAACCAGATGAAGATGAACCAAAACCTTCATAGCCAGTTGATCGAGAAGAGGAGTAATTGAAAGGTTCATCTCCTCGTATCCTTACTTTGTATGGACTTCCAGATAAATTGATTCCATCAAATTTAATTGTAATCATGTATTCACCTGGTATACTTGGTATATAAGACACTTTAATGGTTCCATCATGGTTATCAGTATATTTAATTTCAGCTCTTGAAGGTCCATCAATACCAACCGATAAACCATGATATCCACTGCGATTGGTGTAAACAGTAAACTCATTGGTTGTATTGGTTCGACCCGAGATCAAACCTGAACCGATTGCCATTACATTAGGCATTTTGGACTATAGACAGTGAACGCTAACACTAAATACACAAGGAAATTTGTAAACAATTGACTGATTAACGATCCTGGCGACACAATAAATGGCCAATTATGATTGTTGAAATGCACAAACAAATTGAAAAATTGAGTTACCGCAAACAAAGAGGAAAACAAATGATAATTTGCAAGAAACAAATAGTAAATCCATGGTTTTAAATAACAATTAATAAGTGTATTAATTAATTAAAAGGTGTAAGTATCACAAGAAAAGGTAAAATATGCATGAAACAGCCAAGCAAAAAAGCAAATATAAAAAAACAAAGAGAGAAGAAAAGTAAATTGAAGAAAAGAATGGGTTAAAAGGTTTTGTTTTGTTTCGTTTTTAATTTTTATGTATAAGAGTTGGAGTGGACGATAAAGAAGATGAGAAGACAGTAAAGAAAGAGAGATGAAGAAAGACACAGAAAGATGATAGAGTTAGAGTGAAAATTAAGAGAGTGAGAAAGAGCAAGAAAAAACAATTAAAATTAGCAATTGGCTTACCTCAGATGAAATGTTCACAGGTTTGATGCTTTAGTCCAAATGAGGTTGAATGGGGAACAGAAAATGTTGACAAGAAACTGAACAAAATGAACAAAATTGGTTGGTTTAACACTAAATCTCGTACTTGAACTAACGATGCAAATGTGAATTTCATGAATTTCAGAATCTCTGAGAATCTCTCTGAATCTCTCGAAATTTTCACTTCTCTCTTTAACTCACTTCATCTTGACTTTCCTTTCCCTCATGTAATGTATCGTTGTGAGTTGAAATAAACTGTACAATGACTTTTTTTGGGCTAAATCTGAGCTCAGTTTGAGCCAAAGAAACTTTCAGATTATCATCATCTTCCTCCTCCCTCTTTGCCTCTCCACTTGTCTCTCTTCCTCCCTGTAACCCACCATAATAAACTTGTATATTATAATAATTGGCAAAATTTTTGAGCCCTTCATGTTTTAACCAAAATGTCTTTTGATGTAACACTTATTCATTTTTGCTCTATGAAAATATTTCACTTCTTCATTTGTTTCATCTTAAATTGTTGACAATTTTAAGCAAAATTAATACAAATTTAGTAAAATTTGGTTGACATTTCGTCTATTAAGTGACACTTTTTGAGACAACAAATGTTGAATGTCGAGATTTTTGCACCAAATTGACAAAGATTTACTTTTACGTCTATTCATCAGTAATCATTATGTAGCTGAATAAATTTTACAATTTTAACACAATGAGGTTAATTGTTGAGTAATGTTCAGTCATTTTTCCCATTATGTGTTAATTGTCAACAGCACAGCTTGCATCAACAAATATTGTTTTGGCAATCTAATCTACTGTAAAATTACGAGATTTTACTGTAAAATATCTCTATGTAGAGCATAAAATTACATCAGCTGTTAGAGTCTAAATTATTCTTGTTGATGTAAAGTTGTAATATCAAAATAAGGAAAAAATTTTAGGAAAATTTAGGTTTTCAAAAAGCTTAAACTTAGGAAATACAGTAAACCCTCTCAAATTGTCATGCAGTGAGATTAGCTTCTCTACTATTTCACCAGAATATTTCAGATGAATAGATTTGTTAACAAAGAACAATCAAGAATTGGAAATTGAGAGCTTGCAGTTGACATTATCGCTGATTTGCTGATTGCAATCATTACCATGGCTTAATTATTGCATGATAATCTGAAATTTGCTTAACATTAAACTTTCATTCCAAGAATTTCCCTTTTCACAATTTGAATAAAACTTCTGCAGAAAAATATTCAAAAATTAGTTTTTATACAAAAAAAGGTTTTTTCAATCTTTGGATATAAATATAATCTAATAATGATAATCAATATAATTTTTATGATGAAAATAAAAAATTGTAATTTAAAGTGCAAAGTGTAAATCTAACAAGGCAAATGTCCAAACGATACGAAAAATTTTAACTTTTTTAAGCTTAAATATTCTAATGGGTCAGAATGAAACTTTGTCAATCCTTTTAGATAGCAAATTGTCCTTTTAAAAGTTTCAGGATGGCAAAGGTTCAATTTTTGCATAGGTTAAGCCTAATGAATGCTTAATGCATCAAGAAATATTGAAAAACAGATTTTACCATTTTATCATGGATTTACTAGCATTAAGCACATAAAGCTATGAAAAAAACAACTTTGATACCCGAGACTTTTAAACGGAGCATTGATTAAAGGCTTGACAAAGGTAAAGCCCAAAAAAGTTCACAATCTTCTTGAGACACTTCCCTTGTAAGTGTGAAATTCAATGGATTCATTGCGCCATTCCATGTTCAACAACCTAATACTTCGATTGATGTATTATCATCGCTAAAAGCGAACCAATTTTCTGTAAATCAAAATGCTTGGTGTTGATCAGCAATGGAAATATTTCTTTCTGAATTTAGTTCATTTTCTGAAAGTAAAGTTAAAAGTAACATCAGGAAAATCAGTTTGAAAACAAATCTGGTTTCTCAAAGGTGCAAATCCAATTGAAGTTTGAACTTGGAACGCGATTTAACCAAAAACTACTAATTACTAATTTTTAATTGCACAAATAGACTCAACTCTATCCTCATACCAATGTTTTGAACTTATGTTTACCATATTGAGAGATTATTAACTGAAATATGATATTATCATGAAACAAGATAATTCAAAATTGAAATTTGATTACTTATTCAGTTGTATCAAACGCTCGAAATGACTGTGTGATTCGTTTCAGTCTAACAAAGATTGTTTCATACTGTGAATAGTTAAGTTTCATTTATATTTTCGTTCTTACTTATTTTCATTTTGTATTTTTCAATGAATTGACAGTTAATTGAAATTAGTTGATTTGGAAATTTTAATCACATGAGAAAGTGAAATATGGTTTTAACAAAAATATGAAATGAATTACAATAGAGTCAAAATATTATGTTTAAGTGGTAAAGCATTGAAGTATAAAAATCAAATCGCCAACAAGGTGATGTTCAAAGGTAAAGTGTAATTTTATGGACAAAGCTGGTGTTGTTAGAAGCATATTTTGTTCATTTTTAAAAAAATATTTCATTGGTTCTTAGCTTCAGAAAAATTCGGGTTCTAACCCAAAAATGTCAAAACTTTGCCCATAAAATTATATTACCTTTTGTTGAAAGCATTTTGGGTTTTTAGGTTCATCTCCCTACCAACGTTAATTGTTGATCATCACTAATCACCACATTGTCCACAGGTTAAACAGTTACATGTACAACAGGCAACATCCCAAACGCATTTAACAAGGCACCAAATACATGAACCGAAGACAATCAAGACTCCAAGCACAATAAGTCCAATTATAAGTCCTCCCATTGTTAAAGTTGATTGTTGATGTTTATTTCACTAGACTTTGTTACTTGTTATACTTGATGGTAGTTACGGTCTTATGAATAGCTATGCAAGTGAAACTCAAGTTTAAATATGATTTTTTCACCTCAAATTTGGTTCAAGTGTGCTGACAAACTTGATATATTTGTGACTTGATATAGATTACTCGAAAAACTATTCAATAAATGATTAATTGGAGGCTGGATGTGCAAATTTCTAGTTAAAAAAGGTCCAATCAATGAATAATCAACAGCCATTTCAGATTATATTTGGTATCAGTTGGATTGAATGACATCAATCCTACAGGATAATGGATTTCCCTTGAATTGAATTATATTAATATCTATGATTGTTGAGCCAGTTACGAATTTCAAATAGCCTTTAGTAATCTCATGTCAACCCAAAAGTCGATTGTTGAGCCGATCTTCTCGGAAAAAATCGGCCTTATTGTTGAAGCTTTTCTTGGGTTAGCAACAGTTGAGGCCAAATAATACAAATAAAACAATAAATTTTCTATCATGAGTCAGTGATGGATTAATGAGATTAAATTATTACATTGATTCTGTGAAAGAGATTAGATACAGAATTATAAAAAAAACCGATTCTTCATCGTAAACAGCATCAACCTTATCCTGATTCTATCAGTTCCAAGAAATAGACTTGTTACAGCTTGAAGTACAAATTTGCTTTTAATAAGCGTTTAAGATGTTTAGATGTTTCCATGTAAATATTAATGGCTGGCTTTAATCGAGAAGGGCTTAATAATAATTAAACTCTTATTAAGTTACCCAAGAAACGGTGATTGACTATCATTGAGACATTGAGACTAACAGGGGGAAATAGGGAGACTGAGGGAATAAAAGTAACCAACACCTTCAAATGAAACAAATCTTTGTTACTTCTTCATCATAGTTGAGCCAGAGTTTGAACTGATCATTACATAGTAGCCAAAACCATAATTACCCATTTTTTAGTAAAATCAACAACATCAGTCAACTATAACGATGAGTGGGCTAATAATTACGCTTATTGTGCTTGGAGTCTTTGTTGTCCTTGGAGCTTGTGTTTGGTGTGTCCTCAGGTGTCTCTATGATATTGCCTGTTGTACATGTAATTGTTTAACCTGTGGACAATGTGGTGATTAGTGATGATCAACAATTAACATTGGTAGTGAGATGAGCCTGAAAACCTAAAATGCCTTCAACAAACAAAAGGTAATCTAATTTTATGGGCAAAGTTTGGGTTAAAACCAGAATCTAAAGCTAAGAATCAATTCAAATATTTTTTCAAAAATGAAAATTCAACAAAACATGATTCCATCAACACCAGATTTGTCCATAAAGTTACATTTTACCTTGAAACATCACCTAGTTCCCATTTTTATTTTTGGCTGAATCATCGCTCCAGCTTCATCAACAAAACCACCATTCCTGAGTTTATCGTATTTTATCTGTTTTATAATCATATTTTACCGTCTCATTTAATTAAATTTACACTTAAAATCATGGCGCCTTCATCAATCCATATGTCTATTTTGAATAATCAAAAGTTTAATTCATATGAGCTGCAACTTCAAGTTTATATGCGATAACTGAAGTTGTATTATAGCCAAAGACTTGAACAATAAAGATCCTTTGATTATTTTCATTCTCAATTGTTTCATTACTTGCAAAACAATGGGTTTATTTTTTACTCTGATCTGGTCCAATTGATTGGTTTAAGGTCATTATGGAGTCCTCATTCAAAACATCAATCAGTTTCCTGTTAAGTGTTGAAGAATGATTTATTAGTAAAAAATATTGAATTCAAGATTTCGCCATCAACATTTACCTTTATTTGTTGTTCATTGTAAATATTATACCTGATAAGCTTGATAGTCTAGCTATCTAATCATATCATTTCTGGGAAACGAGATAGTTTCAATATGTTCCGCAATCAATTTTGTTTAATTAACGATATGATACTCATAAATTTATTGACGTTTAACGATGATGGTTTTGTTTTCCAAACATATTGCAATAAGCAGATGGTTCAGATTATCGGAATCGGTCAAGTATATCATATCTTTAATACTCAAAATGGTATTTATCTTCACCATATAAACCGTCAAAATAACAACAAAAAACTCTTAAACTCTGAGTGTTCCATCAAAATGAAACTTAACCAAAAGAAACGTTTCGTGTAAAATCATTAGGAACACATAATAACAATCTATTCACACAAAATCTTGCCATGTCCAATGGTGTGACATGATGGAATTTAATTTGACTTGAAATAGCAACAAAAATTAAGAATTAGAACAAACTAGAGCCGATAACAAAACAATAATGCAAGTGGCATTTTTAGATGGATTAATAGACGACATATTCAACAGCTTTCATTTCATTACACATTTATATCCAATAAAGTTGCAAATCTCTGGGTTTCAATTCACAGGTTTTGAAATAGCCACTGGCGATTTTAGGCTGAGTAAATCCATTTTCGGATGATATGAGGCTTAATTATAAATAAAATAAATTTGACTTAAGTTTAGTGGATAAAGTAATAAGCATTAAGAGTCTAGTTTCCACAATTTTATTTGAAAACCAACCCTGACTGAATTATCACGTGACTGCAAAACACATGTTGAAGTTTTGTTTTCTTTTTTGATCGAAGTCTTCTTAAAACTTGATTTATGGTGTATTGAAAAATTGATTGTTGATTATATAAACTGTTTTTATTAGCCTTGACATTGTATATCAAAATAAATGACTGATACTATAGTATTCCCTGGTTTCTCAATCAAATCATTAATCGATGAAGAGAATGAAGCAAAGGATAAAAAGATCGTCATCGGACCAGGATTAAAACGGCAAATTAATGATGTGAGAGCCATTAAATGTGGCATACTTAGGAGTCGAACTAGTAATAATCTAATTGTTTACTGGATTGATTCTCATCAGAAACGAGTAAGTTATGAACCAAGATAATTTCCATAATTGATTTACTCTTGATCTCTATCCACCTATTTTGTTCATCTGCTAATTAATTTAATTGTTTTGCTCTTTTTTCAAGTATGTCGCTGTTCGTGGTGAACGAGTAATTGGTGTTGTTGTTGGTAAAGGAGCTATGAGTGTTAATGTTGATATTGGTACCAGCGAACTTGCCTCACTTTCCCTTTTAGCTTTTGAAAGTGCCACTAAAAGAAATCGTCCAAACATTCAGGTAATTATTAAACGATTGCTAATCATAAATTAGATTGCTTTCTAATTTTCATTATGCAAAAGTAATTCTGTTTTCGAGCTAAACCATTTTTTGTGTCGATAGACTAAACAAAAGATTTTTTACCCCAAATCCTCATGCTTTTGCTAATTTCGATTGTCTTTATCTTTATTATAATTTGGTGTTCTCATATTATACTGACTTCATTAACTTAATCCTTCGGCTTTCTTTTTCAGCTTGGCGATCTTGTTTATGCACGAATACTTTCTGCTAACAAAGATATGAAGACTGAATTAATTTGTGTTACGAGTCAAATGAAAAAAGACGGTCTTGGAGTACTTCCCCAAGGAGGATTCATGATCAGTGTTCCATTAAGAGTCTGCAGAAGGTAATGAAACAAAATTCACCGCCAAATAGCTTTTTGCTTTGAAATTATTTTAATTAACCAATTTTTTCACTTGAACTTCTACTTCACCAGACTCCTATCACCAGGTTGTAAATTAATAGAAATTTTAGGATCTAAGTTCAAATATGAGATAACTGTTGGTCTGAATGGCAGAATCTGGATTCGATCACCATCTATTACGGAAACAATTTATATTGTTAACACTTTTCTATCCGTGGAAGATAAAGATGAACAAGGAATGTTGGACTTGTATAAGCAGATAACTGATAAATTCCAAGTTGTTCGAAAAAAATAAACATTCATAATTTATTTTTCCTGATTTTATTGTCTGATATATGACTGATTGTTCTGGAGATTGTTAGGTGAAACTTGATCAAGCAAAGTGCATCAACATTGATTCATCATTTGGTAAATTTTTCTTCATTATAAGATAATGAATCCAACAATCAACATTTTTTCCCTTCGGCTTTGATGATTAACACTTGCCTTACCCTCATTCAGTTGAGAAGTGAACAGATGGAAGAGAAAATAAAATGATAAAATCTGTAAACATGAAAATGACAGTAAAGCTGTATAAATGTTCTGCGTGTATTTCATCGATCGATAAACTGTTTTCAAAGGAAATAGAAAGCAATTTTATTTTCTCTTTCTTCCTTTCTCTCCCCTTTTCTCTAATTCTCTCCCTCACCTTTTCTCTAATTCTCTCCCTCACCTTCAATGTGGGCTCAATTCTGATCCACCATTTCCATAGAAACTCAAGTAATATTCATCAAAAGACGGTGATGATGTTTATAGGGACCAGAATTTTCATCCTCTCTATTTTCCTCTCGCATTCTGTTTCATCTTCCTTTCATTGATTCTTCATTATTCTATTTTTTTACTATCTTCCTCTGTCTTTTCTTCATTTTATCTCCCTTCTCTTTCAACTTTCTAGTTATGTTGAATGAATGAATCGATGATTCTCATTTCTAACTGTAGTAGAACGTCTATCTCTATATCTTTGTTAATCTTACCAGTTGTTCGTGTTTCTTAATTGTTATACCTGGCATATGGTTAAATTTGATAACGATCAAAGATACTCTAATTCATCATTAAATGGGCAATTCCGATTCCAAATTGAACTTTCGTAAAGCTGTGGTCCAGTTGAGCAGTAAAACTCATCCCATTGATGCCAAAGAAGACTCTTTCTGGGACCAATTCTGGTGTGAATCGATCAATAACATTCAAGATGTTTTTACATTAATACCATCACCAGAGATTCGAGCTCTCAGAGAAGAATCGCCTTCCAATTTGGCAACACTCGTCTATAAGGGAGTCGAAAAATTAGTTTCCTCCACTGATACTCTGTGTAATTCAACTAATCAACAAACATTGGTTCTTAACAGCACCCGTTTATTAACTCGGATATTACCATATATTTTCGAGGATCCCGAATGGAAAGGTTTCTTTTGGTCATCACTTCCACGAAGCTCACAACAGTCTTCATCCCTTGGATCATCCAAAGGTACACCTTCTCATGTTGGTGGTAAAGGAGGAGGAAGAAGATCTCAAAGACATAGAGGAGGAAGAGGAAGTGGTATTGATGAAGACGATGATAATACCGATGATGATGATGAAGTCGCATCTCGAGATGATAATTTACCATTAGCCCAGTCATTGATCCTTGCTCTCTGTGATCTCCTTTTTTGTCCAGATTTTACTGTGGCTAGTTTACCTTCATCTCGAAATAAATCCTCGGGGCCCTTCGGATCACCAGACTGTCCGCCAGAAGACTTGCAGTCTATTGATTCATGTGAATACATCTGGGAATCAGGTGTAGGTTTTACTTCCCCAACTTCATCATCAACTACTTATGATAAACATCGAACGGAACTTCTTCGCCTTATCCTCACCTGTTTCTCAACCACAATGTACAAAACACCCAATGAAGCTCGATTAACCCCTAATCGTTGGATTACTTTTTTCACTTCACCAGATAATCGACATGCTTTACCTCTATTTACATCCTTAATTAATACTGTGTTCTCATATGATCCTGCAGGTAAGAAATGAAAGAAAATGATAGTGAAAAGTCATGATCACTGTCAGTAAGACAAGATTATTCAATTTCTTTAAATTTAAATAATTTCATATTCTTTCATCCTGCTTCCTGTAATTAAAACAATTTTTTGTCTCTTTCAGGTTATCTTCCATTCAATCATCTACTATTTAGTGACTCGCGTGAAAGTTTGGTCGAGGTTTGCCTTCAAATACTAATTGTTACATTAGATCATGATTTTATTACGGAATCCTTGCCTGGAGGAAACTCTGCTGAACGAACTCCTATCGATCCAACAATTCATGAAAATTTGTTCATAAATTATCTTTCTCGGATTCACAGAGAAGAAGATTTTGCTTTCATTCTAAAAGGATTTACTCGTTTGCTGAATAATCCACTTCAACAAACATACATTCCTAATTCAACCAAACGAATTCAATTTCACCAAGAATTGTTGGTTCTATTTTGGAAAATATGCGATTATAATAAGAAATTCATGTTCTATGTTCTCAAGTCAAGCCATGTTCTAGACATTCTAGTGCCAATTTTATATCATCTAAATGATAGTAGGTCTGATCAATCTAGAATTGGTTTGATCCACATCGGAGTTTTCATTCTTCTCCTACTTAGCGGTGAACGTAATTTCGGTGTTCGTTTAAACAAACCTTATGCTGCTTCCATTCCAATGGATCTTCCTATCTTCACTGGTACCCATGCTGATTTACTGATTATCGTGTTTCACAAGTTAATCACAGCTGGTCATCAAAGACTTCAACCTTTATTTGAATGCTTATTGACAATAATTGTCAATGTAAGTCCCTACCTCAAGACTTTGTCAATGGTTTCGGCAAATAAGCTTCTCCATCTTTTGGAAGCTTTCTCAACCCCTTGGTTCCTCTATTCTAACCCGATAAATCATCATTTAGTTTTCTTTTTATTGGAAGTTTTCAACAATATTATTCAATATCAGTTTGATGGCAATTCGAATCTTGTTTATACTATAATCCGAAAACGAAACATTTTTCACAATTTAGCCAATTTGGCTACTGATTATGGCACTATTCAAAAATCACTGAATCGTTCAAGTTCATCGTCATCGTCTGCATCTAGACGACCACGAAAGTTAACCTTGTCATCTTCCCAGTCAACTGCGTCAGCTTCATCAATACCACCTACCAGCTGTCAATCTCCATCAGCTAATTGTAAATCAGCGCCTACAAGTCCTCTGTCTGTTGATACTTGCACCTCACCTAATGTAACTTCACCTCAACCTCAACAACAATTCAATGAAAAGGTTGAAAAATCTGAGCAACAATCAGCACCATCAAACACAATTGCATCAAAGTCTACAACGCCAATCTCCAATAATAACAATGATTCAAATGAAGTTCAACAAGCTTCTTTAACTGATCTTAATGAAGGATCATCGCCAAGCAAAACTGTTAATCAAGAATCGTCAATAAAGGTTTCTTTAGCAGCTACACCTAAGATTCACAATATGACTGAAACGACTCATCCTAATCCAACCGGTGATCCAGAGGAACTATCGGAAAGCTCAATTAGGCGAGAAAAGTCACTTAGTCGCCAATCAAGTTCATCATCTAATCACGGTCCTTGGCAACCAACATCCGAATGGGTTTTATCTTGGAAGCAAAAATTACCCCTTCAAACTGTTATGCGAATGCTTCAGGTTATTTCACCTTTTCCATAATTAATATGATCGAGCAACAATCAGAACTATGAATTATCAAGTTACATTTCTTAAAGAAGATTATCCATTATTTTATACTTCATAGTTCTTTCTGAGATTCATAATTCATTTACTAATATAATCTTTTAAATTTCAGGTTTTGGTTCCTCAAGTCGAAAAAATGTGCATTGATAAGGGAATAACCGATGAAAATGAAATTCTCAAATTCCTTCAACATGGAACTCTAGTTGGATTATTACCGGTTCCTCATCCAATCCTTATCAGGAAATATCAGACAAACTCTGGCACAACTCTTTGGTTCCGTACTTACATGTGGGGTGTAATTTATTTAAGAAACATTGACCCTCCAATTTGGTATGATACAAATGTTAAGCTGTTTGAAATTCAAAAACTCTGATGATTGAAGCCAGCTACTAGTAAAGAATCCGTTGGATGTAAACTGGATATCGACCTAAAATTATCTCAAGGATTCTAAAATGATATTGAAATGAAATTTAGCGTGATGATGGTATTTTTTGCGCACAAATAGATTGCTGTTAAATTGAAAGTAACTACAATTATAAAAGAGGATCTTCAGACAACCCGATCAGATGAATAATTGGTTTTTTAAAGAAAATTTTCCTTGATTGTTTTGGCTTTATTTGAGATTGGGTTTCAAAGGTCTGAGTTCAAAATAGGTATGTTTTTATCTGAAACATCTCGATGCTGATTTTAACGATACCAATCTTAAAGACTATTAAATGATTGTCCAAATGGAGAGACAAAACCAATCCATAAAAACCCCAAGACAACAATTTCCCCCAAAGAGATACTATTTAATTGGAAAAATGAAAAAAATGACAATGAATTTCTCCCTTCCATTGTTATTAATATTGTAAGACAATCTATGTGACATTTTTAACCGACAACATACTCTATTGTATCAATCTAATTTTCCTTATTATTATTTTTTAATTCAATTTCGACTCCGAGATCTTAATTGATGTTTATTTTCGATTCATAATTTCGTGATTAGGAATGAAAAAACGTATCCTTGAATGAAGGAAGAATGAAACAAAATACGAATTGTAAGAAATGATTTATAAACATTATTAAAACGTTTACAATCATCTAATAACTTTTGAATTATATTTTGACCCCAGACCATTTCTTTATCATATTATTAACACAAAGGAGTACATCAAAGTTATTAATAATTCAAGATAAAAATAGATGAAAACGATATAAAACTCCAATTGCTTTTTCAAATGCACAAACACATTGTCAGAGTAGCAAATGATGAAAAAATTATTGAAAAAACGCTAAAATGTTTAACTACAACAATAATAGATGTTACTGTTCCAAGCTAATTAAATTGATTGGTAACATTTAGACATTATCAAATAATCCACTGAATGCAAAATGAAATCGTCTTTTTATTAATACCTTTTAATCTGATGTTCATTTGGTACGAATGAAATACTATATGTAAGAGTGCAATAAACCTAAATTAGGAAAACAATTAAACCATTAAACGGTTCAAATGTGAATCTTAGATATAAAAGATGAATCTTTACTAGTAATCTTGTTTTATTGCACTTGAATAGCTCTTGTTACATGACAAGAGTCATCAGAAATTGGTGAAATTGTAGTTTAATTACGGAATTTACATGGTCGAGCTTTGAATTGGGTTAACATTTGAACATTCAGAAGTAAAGATTGGTTTGGAATGAAATTTAACTCAATCGGAAAACAATTAATCAATGATAAAGACTAAGTTATATTGAATAGCTGATAGTGAAGGACTGAGCTATCAATTTTGTGTCAGATAAATCAAAACAAAGTGCGTTTACAAATCTAGACGTTTTCGGTACTAACAATAATAGCTTGGGATGCTATCTATTTTGATTGTTATTGTAAAATGCATTTATGAAAATGAATAGGAGAAGAAAATTAACGAAATAAAAGAAATTTTCTATCTTTTATGGTAGATTGATGAAATTTGTTGAATCAGTTTCCTTCAGTTTTCTTCCTTCCACTTGAAGATTTTATCTAAATTATATTAATTGCCTGATAATAAACCTGGTATTTGAAACTAGTTATCATTTGATTAAACTTAAATGCAGCTGAATAGTCAACAGTGTTTTCACATGTTGTCAGCTCAATCATTACAATCATGAAGATAGTTACAGCTCATTAAAATATCATTCACTGTGTCTTCACTTTGGTGATCAACAAAATTACCTTTCCTAGACTGTGTTAATTATCAAACCTTTAAAGTTTTGTTGTTTTTTTCCCTGAAAATGATCTCATCCTTAGCCTTAAATTTTACCCATTTTAAACTGAACAACTCTGAACTTTCTTCAACCAAATTTGTATAAATTTAAATAATTTAACCAAATTAATTTGTGACAGCTTTGAATTGACTAATAACAATTTTCTGGAAAGTGGATAATCAGCCTTTTCCAGGTCAAAATGGATCGACGAGCAGTAGCCCAAGTTTGTGTAGATTTAATTTCGACTGGTTTGTTGATTGCTGCAGACCAAGGGATTGATTATCTGGAGCCAGTTAGACGAGGATTTTGGTGCTCAGATGAATCAATCAACTATCCAAGACAAGATGAGACTGTACCATACAAAATGTTGGTTCAAATTTCAATGATTCTGCCGGTTGTCTTCTTGATTGTATCCGAAATAGCTTATGCTCAAATCAGTAGGCGAAACAAGCTATTTTTAACAAGCCAAGAATTTTGGTATCACCTGATAACTGTACTTTTTTCATGGGGCTTTTGTTTTTGGTTGAATCAAATAGTAACAAGCTTCATTAAGGTGAGAGTTGGTCGATTAAGACCAGTATTTCTTGACTACTGTAAGCCAAATATTGATTGCTCGGATCCACTTTATGCAAATACGTATATAACCAACTATACATGTCATACTGGCCACTCCGATGAAAAATTTGCTCGCACTTCTTTCCCGTCTGGACATTCATCAGAATCAATGGTTTCAATGGTTTTCATCATAATTTATCTATGGAAACGTTATTCCAAAGACTCAACTCGTTACTTTGTTGCATTGGTACAGATAGTGGCTCTGTTTATCGGGTTTTTCGTGTCTTTATCCAGAATCTATGATAATATTCATCATTGGAGTGATGTTGCTGCTGGAATGGCTCTAGGAACAATATTTGCTTTCATTGGTTCTCTTTTGCCTGGAAGATTGGACAGATTGAAAGACGATTCCGAAGATGCTAAAGTAACCTCAGCCTCATCCGCAACATTCCGAAGCTTTGCATAGTATTGACCTGTTCAATAACAAATAAAAGAATTAGTAAAATGATTTAAATTGAAAACATCAAAATACTTGTACAAACCTCAATATCAAGTGTTTCCACTATCAATCCTTGAACGGATCAACATTAAAGTCAATTTGCTGTCAAATCTCGTGTTCATGATTAACCAAAGTGACAACAATCAGCAAGCTATTCAAGGAAATAAGGATAAATGTAGGGATTAGTAAATTATTGAATCAGTATTAAAAGTGAAGAGGATAAGGATAAGGGTGAAAATAACAACATTTAAATTTAAGCAAAATATAATTGTTATCCTTGTTTACAACTACTTCCAGTTACTAATTAGTAAATTATTTCAATTTTAGCTTGCTATCATTTTCAAGATCCGATTGAAAAAAGCTGCTAATTTTTATCCTTCAAATCATTGAAGCTAATAATAAAAGTAAGTAAAAAGTAAAAGTAAATTCAGTGAAACGATAAATTGTTCAGAATCATTTTTACACATCATTTTAAACAGTTGAAATGATAGTCAAATAATACAGTTAAAGATGACTTTAACGTTATTTTTTGGTACAAAAAAAAGTGAAATGGTTCAAATTGTTATGCATATTATTATCAGTCATTAGATAAACAACAACATATCTTAAATTGATAAACATGCAATTAAGGAATCATCATTTGTATCATGTTTTACTTTGGTTATCGTTCTTGTCAGTATCGTTATAAACGCTGGTAAATCACAATTCAGGGAGAAAAATGTTCAAATTAAGGAAATAACAGTTTACAAATTGTTGTACTTGTTGGTATCAAACAGTAAATCAAAGCAACAACTTCCCATTTGAATAATATGTACCATTTAGGTATCTATTGCGATACAACTGTTTATTAAATCATCTAACCAAGTCTTTATTTACCTTGATAAGGTGACTTCAATTACAAAACATTTTCTCAATGTAGATGTTTCATGTTGATCTCAACCTATTCAGAAAAATCAAAGTAAAACACTTGAAATAGTCACTTGAAAGCAGAAAAAACTGAAGACTCGGAAAATTGCATCTTCATGTTTACCATGAAACTTATCGACTGGTTAGATTAGCATTTGATTATACAAGTGTTAATGCGGCTGGAATCAAGATAAAGGCGATAGCTTGAAATAAATACAATAGATTTGAAGTCAAGGTGTATTTATTTGACAAGAAGTCACCAGCAATTATAATTTACCATTACAGTTGTGATTTAACCCAGACCCTGGAGCTAAATTAAGGACAAAATGCAAGTGAAAGGTCTCATTACGTGTTAAATGAAATTACCGGCAATTAAACCAACGGTTAGACAGTTGATAATTGATTTAGCTGGTTAAAAATTAGATTTGCGAGCAAGTCGTAAGAGTCAAGAATAATGTTGTCATAAATAATTTAAAATGGGAATCAAAAGCAAAAGATATTAACGAAATGTTTCACTTTTGTTGCTTGCTATTGTTTGTATTTCGCAAATAATATGATCGTTATTATTTTGGCATTTAACCAGGTAAATAGTCTTAATTGAATAAAGATTTGATTGTGATTACCATTGTTATTGTTGTGTGTTATTTGTTTCGGTATGATGTCATCAAAGAGGGAGAGAAAGGCTTTTGTCTTTTTTTGGTGTTAACCAATGTTTAACCAATGTTTATAAAGCCACTTCTACCTGTAAGAAACAATCAACAAACGTAAAGTACAGTGAAAAGAACAAAAAATGAGCTAATGATTTGTATTAAGTAGACAGAAATTAAGGTAACCAAGCAAATTAATCAAAATTAGACGGTAAAGTTAAACTTGTTCAAAAATAAATTGACAAAAAAAACCAATTTCTGTTCAATTTGGTTTTAAGACAATGAAAAGAGTGGAAATTTTGGTTAACAAATTGACAGTTAACTTTGAATGTTTATATTCTGAGGTCAGGGTCGGTGTTTAAGATTATTCATTTCAGTTTCCTATTGACAATCAATGAATAATTTACCAATAACATTTACATTAAATTTAAATTCATTAAGCTGGCTCAATACATCGATGAAGCAATTCCATTAAATTTACTGACTTGCAATCAATCTAACAATTTTCAATTGAAATCGAGTAGATTCAATCAAATCGGATGATTTCCTTTGTTCACGATGGGCCATGAATTTGTTCTGTGTACAATTATTGCATCCAACAAAACATGATAAAATTTAATTCCAAAAATTCGTACCTGTTTAGGCTTGAATTTTATGATGAAACATGCAGCTACATTTACGTTCATCAAGCTAAGGCCACGTTTACTTTAAGGTATTATTACTCATTTATCCTGCGATGTTTCGTTTTCAAGGTAATGTGTGCAGTGAAACTTGTTTGTTAATTTTGGCCAGTACAATTTTTCGGGTTCATGATGATGATGAGATTGATGATTACGGTTTGGCTGATGAATGATGAAGGTAATGTACGGATTATGATGGTGTTGAATAACAGAAGTCTAATAATAAAAAAAGTGAAAACAGAAATATCAGTAATGATGTTTATCATGAAAAGAAAAACTTACCATTTTATTTAAAGACAATGCTTAAAATCTGGTCAAAAAAGAGAAATATTCCAACGGGTATTACCCTGGGAATTCCGAGTAAAGATTTGGTGTAATGAAGAAGAGGGAAACAATATTGATGGTGTTTTAAGTAGCCTTAGGGCATCGCCATTAAAACTGTAGTCAAGGTGAGTTCCGGTGTGGGGTAAATAAATAAGATGAAAGTGGTTATTATTATGGCAAGGTTGATGGTCATGATTGTGGTGAGGCCAATGGTGAAGGTGATTCAGATTGATTTGGGATAAAAATAGAAATAAGAAAACATGATTAATATGGTTTTCTCTATCACAAAGAAAAAAATAAACATAAATTTTACACAAAAGTAAAGGTCGAGCTTATTAATTATACACTCTTGATTGTCAGTTCAACTTTCGTCAGGAGGAGTTTATTTTAAGAAGAAAAGGAAAGAAACAGGCAACTCATGATGATGACGGCGATGATTAAAAAGGGGAAGAAAAAGCGGTTTTAAAGCGAAAAGTGAAAGTGAGACAAAAAGTAGGAGGCTTTCAGTTTCTGTCTCTCTCTCTCTAAAATCTTATCTTATTTCTCTTGAAAATCAAAATTCATGTGATTAGCAAACATGTTAACTGGGCTCTTAACGTTCAATTTTGTCAATATTTTCAACAGTTGAGATCATTCCTTTGCTAGCGTTTCTCTCCTTTTCTCCTTCTCTTTTCACCTCTCAGTCATCACCATATCATCATCCTTATCGCCATTTGCAACAATTTTTTCCAACTCTCCTTTCATTTAGCCTTTACTGCTGAACATTAACACAGCAACAGTTTAGTCAACAGTTGAAAAACTCTTTGTTTCAATTTGGTTGCATTTTTAATGTGTTCAAATCAAATCAATTTCAACGGTTTTACTCAAAGTTGAATTGCCAAAAATTGTTCTTTTTTCTACGCCATCTTTATCTCAGTTGTTCAGCGATATTTTGCTATTGCCGTTTTTTTTGGTTTCCAGAATTAAATTGCCCTCATCGACAATACTTTCCATCATTATTACCGTCATCATAACATTTACCAACAACGATAAAACCTCAACAAATTCACAGAAATCATGACAGTCGAAGTAGAGGTAAGTGAATCATTTTTCGATCAATCTCACGTAACTTGTTGTATAACCAGTGTCATTTTGTGGACCAATGATTACCTTTAATCATTTTTGATTCATTATTATGTCATTTTTTTGTTATAATAATCATCCAATTTCGATAGAAAATTGTAATCTTAGGAATTGATTGCTTACAAATTTCAATTTGAAGGCTACCAGAATTTGATATTTGTTTGATACATGATTGTGTTTTTTTGTACCAAACAACTTCTAACTTTCAAGCTAAAATAATGTCTATAATTTCAGATCAGGTAAAACCACCGTGATTTAAAAAGCCACCTTATTTTTGCAACATTAGTGTAATTGGAAAAGACCTGAAAAGACGCAAACTAGTCAACTGAATTGCAAGACAACTCGTTACTTAATTTTGGAGTCAAAGCTATTTGAGTTGAATTAAAATTACGTTCAAATTTCAAGGTCTCCTCAACGAGTCAAAACAATTAAATCCAAGTTTAATTGAAACCGCAATTACTTTATCACATTAGAAATGGACTTTTTTAATTCCTTCCAACAATCAAATCAAAATCTTAATCGCTATAAAACGATTTTGTCCCTTAAAATTGATCAACAAAATTGTCTTGACAGCTTCAGCTTTGAATTTTGATCCTTTAAAACAATTCAAAATTTCTTGAATCAGTTGCATCCAATTAGTTAACTGATTTTTAAGGATTGAGGAATCAATAAGTTGCAAGGAAAAGTGACAATGATAGTGATTATAAATTTCCTTGCCCTGTTAATCCATCAGTTAATTGTATTAATCAATATTCTGATTAATCATGACCAGAAAGAGTCATGTTGATCCAAAATTGTTATTAAAATCAGGGTCATGTGCAAAAATGATTGGAAAACGAATGATAAATCTGAGAAGTAACCAAAAAAACCTGAAACCTGTTGTTTGATGTAATTTCTCGTGCTGATCAATCAGCCATTCAGTTCAATATTGTTTTTCAAAACAATCAATCTAACTGCTTTAATATATTTGGGAATAATAGTAATCATAATAATGATAGTTTCATAAATTAATGATAACAATAAAGAAAGTTAGACAATATCGAAATCTAATTTAGCATGATTATCACTTTATACCAATACTTGGACAGCAAATTTAATTGATACTGTTGATATTTCTTTCTTTTAATTTAATGGTGAGTAGTTAATTGATTGTGATCATGATCTTGAAGTTAAATAAGACTATTAGTATTCATAATTTTAATATTTTTCACAATCAAACGTCAAGTTGAAATTAAGTAATCAGCTGAAATGTTTGTGATCAAAAGGTTTTTCTCAAAGTTAAAGGTAACATGAAAAATGAATGAGCAATTATTAAATTTGAATTTCAAATTTTGCTGTAAAATAGATCAATTTTACTCTTGATTTTGTTTTATATTACTTTCAATTGTGATTTGATTGATTCTAAATTGGACAAAATTTTTCATTGTGCTGTATGACCTTCTTTGCAAATCAATTAATCATTACAATTGCGTTCTTGTCAACTCGTAATCATGTTAAAATACGGTTGTTTATTATACTTATTCATGACATTTTAAGTTTCCAAATCGTTCCAATTGTCTATCAATTAACTAATGACTTTAATCTTACAATTAACTTAGCAGGTATATGATGAACCAATGGAGTCTGCAAGTAGTGGATCTCAACAGAGCTTGTCAAGTTCAACCAAATCAGATGTTAGCTTTTGCACCACCAATTCTGGGTAAGTGTATTAGAATATCGAATCATTTTGGTTCCATTATTTGCTTTGAAGTAAATTATTTGTACTAATTGATTTTTCTGCTTCATAGTGACCAGAGTTTGGACGATGCTTTGGAGGAAGGACGTGAGCTTATGAAGATGTTCATTAACAACAAAATGGATGAAGTGTTGCCCATTTTACAAGAAAAGGCTAATTCATCAATGATCCATGCTTTAGGTGTTGCTGCAGTTCGTTTCTTTGAAGCCATCTTAACATTGGATAAAAGTTACCTTCAATCAACTATCGAAGCATTCAAGTATTCATCAGCATTCGCAGACAGTTTAAGACGAAAATCTTACACATCATTCCTTTTCTCGCCCAATTACAATGGTTACACCGATGAAGAGTGTCATGCTGAATTGTGTTATGCCAAATCACTTCTCCTTTGGGGTTTAGTGACTGTTTTGGAGGATCAATCAATTTATGGTTTTATTAATGGTGCACTAAAGATTCGTGCCTCACACCAATCATACAAAGAGTGTTTGGCCATTTTAAAGCACAAAAATACATGGGATTCTGAAATTTCCCGAATGCACTTTGAAAGTGGAACTCGTCTTGGTATTGGTGCCTTTGATTTGGTTATATCTTTCTTTCCCACTAAAATGGCCAAATTATTGGAGTTTGTTGGTTTCAATTCAGACCGGGATGTAGCTTTGGAAGAGCTCAACATGTCTGTTAATTTGGTTGATGGACTTCTGTACGATGTTACTTCAATCCTTTTATCTGGCTATTATGGATTCTTGGAATACTTTTACGGTCTTGGTGAAGGTGATGTTGAATTTTTCAATAGATCATCAAAAATATGGCTTGTTCGTACCCCTGAATCAGCAATCGTTAAACTTGGTTTAGGCGTTCGTGAAAAGATTATCGGTAATCCAGATAAGGCTATTGAATATTATGTTGAATGTATTAAAGGTCAATCATTCTGGAGGCAACTCAACTTTGCCTGCTACTGGGAAATCATTTGGTGTTATGCGTAAGTAAACAATGTTTTTGTTTTCTCCTAATTGTTCAACTGTTTCAGTCATTATCATGCCAACCTCTCTTTACATTGAAGGTCGGTTAACTTGATTTGTTTCTTCAATTTTTCTCTTCACATGAAACACCGATTAAATCTCATATCAAGTGAGTCTACTTTTAAGGGTAATCGGAATTGTTAAATGAACTTCTGGTTAGATGTTTGGAAAGATTTAGATGAAGGAAATTATTTCAATATTGTAATAATTGTTTCCATATAATCCCTCAAAAGCAGTATGAATAGTTTTTCACAACTGATTGCTCGTGTGATTGATGATATTAGTACCATTAAAATTACTGTTGATTTGTAACTGTCATTTTTAGGCTCAAATTAAGTTAATATTTTGAGTCTTTTTCCAGCTTTGTCGCAGTTAACTTGCTATCAAATTTAGGTATTAATCAAAAATCAACTGGAAGTACGTGTTTTACCCATTAAACACAATTAACTTTCACTTATGGAAGTCACTTTTCACTATTTAATTGTCACCTTAATCCTATCACTGTTGTCACCATCAAAAGTCATCTTCCTGATCAGCAAATTTTTGTCACTAAATATTGTCAAATTGTAATTTCAAATCTAAACCCTACAATCATTGAAAAATGGATTGTCTTTTCAACTAATGGTCGAGTAAAAATTGAATTTGATTGTGTGATTTTAAATCAATTACATGGCAGAGTTGACTTCACACCATTGATCTTTCATTAATGGCAACATGGGAAGAAAATAAAAGTACAAGTTGAGATTTAATTGTCTTGAAGATGAATTAACTGTTATCATGCTAATGAAGGCAATACAATGAAAATGAACCTTAATTTTCCAGAATACTCTGAAATTTGTACGCTTGATTACCTTGTAAATATTCAACATAATGTTAATGATGTTCAAAATTTGAACCACAAATTGTGAGGTTAACTCCATATCAGATATTACAGCTGATTACATGAAACAAGGTCAGAGTAACATTGTTTATTTTCATGGTATTAAGTTAATAATAATTTCACTCTTTTCTGTCCATCCAACTGATCGCATTTGAATTGCAACTTTAAATTGCTACTTAACCAAGCAATTGGAGAGGGAAAGTTGAAGCAAAAAAGCTAACAATTTGATTGTTTTAAACTACTTGTTAATCTGCTCGATTAACTGAATCAACGTCAAATTAGTTTGATCCATTTCAATATCAACCTTGACCCAATCAATTGCGTTTATAAATCAATAAATCAATATAAAAACTCAGCCGAAGTAAAAGTTAATTTTTCAATATCAATTGTAATCACAATTCATTTACTCAAGTTGCAGTCGCGTCAAAATTTGAACAGACATTTTGAATCATTCAATTTTGTCATCGTTTTAAAATATATTTTAATAGCATAAAATATATCATTTGATTAGCTTTTCAGATTCATCAATGAATGGAAATTTATGCGAAAATTGATTCTCAAAGATTTGTCTTGAAAAATTGAAATAAAAAAACAAAATGATGACCAGTTTAAGCCTTTCAATGTTACAACAGGAACCGTAAACAAAAATTATGGTCAAGTTCAAAGCAAAAATATACTTCTCTCATTATCATTTGTTTCTCATTACCTTTGATTGTATTAACCTTGATTATTATCCCGTTTTAATCAGGTGAATTAAAGATACTTTACACCTCAAAAGCTAGAGAGTTGAATAGCTCAAAGCTATCACTTTCAAACTTCATATTTAATGAGTTATAACCTCGAAGTGAATCTCAACTTCCTAGGTTGCAACACTAACATTTCCACTTCCTTCATGTAAAAGTTTAGCTTTTCAGGTAATTTTATCATTACCTGTTCGCTGCTAAAAATAATCTGGACTCGTTTGAGTGAAGGTTGTTAAACTGGTAAATTATCAGCTGAAATGTAAAAGCAAAAGTTGATAAAAGCCAACAATTTGTAAAAAGTTCCTTAGTTGATTAGCATTCCATTTTTATCGTCTGGTAAAAGGTTTGAAAATTTGGGTTGTCTTGGTTCATCAGCATTTCATTTATGATATTTCAATATTTTCATTTTATACCTTTTAGAAGTCTTCTGATGAAAATCATTGATCTAATCAATTTAAGAGGTAATTACGAGGAAATGTCCGTTTGATTGTTGATAATGATTAACACTTGTTATTCACATGATTTTTCCGATACATGATAGAAAACCTTGAAATTGAAATGATGAGTTACGATGTATTGAGTGTTGGCGAGTTTACCAAATGTCAATGATTCAAGTTAAATGGCCGTGATTGTTGCTACCAAAATAATCATAATTTTAAAACAATTTATTTCAAGTGTTTCAGTGAAAGGACATTGGCTTCTTATATTAGGTTTTGTATGATGATTCAATATTTGCGAGGAAAAGTTAAATTTATTGAAACTGTTTCAATTTCAAGATTTTTAGTTGAAAATATTTCCATTTACTGATTTGAACTTTTTGTGTTCATCCAAAATTTGATCAAAAATTGATTGTAACACATAATTACAATAAATAAGCCTTAGTGACAAGTTTATTGGCGATGTTCAAGTCCGACCTTGGCGTTGATCTACTGACCTTTTTTTGCTACAAAACTGAATCTTTACTTACATTAACTTTAATTGCAAACAAAAATGTGTTTTTTTGTTTATTTTTTCCCTGTCAAAGAAAATCAGTGAATGACGATAAATCAGTGATCGTAATGAAACTCACATGTTTCACAATACAATTTTACAATTAGGGATTACAGGGTGTTGTACTTGAAATTTTTCAGGTCAAAATAAAATGAACCTTAACTTTCACTTTTGGGGAAACAATATGTAGTATTGATTTTAGACTGATTGTAGACTGATTGTTTAGTTTGTTGACTAAATCAAACCTTGAATATTAAACTCATCTTTCAGTGTCAACCTTTTATTGTTAAAATTATTCAATTTTGAAAGATTGACATTTCCAGTTGTCATCTGTTGGCAACATTATGCTCAATGTTTTCAACAGCAGTGAAAATATTCACAAATTTCCTCCGAAAATAACTTATCTATGGGTTTTTTACTGAGTATTTGGATTAAAATCACTTCAATAATCACCAATAGATGAACTATTGTCAATTCAAGCCAAGATTTCACTTGATAAACATGAAAATTGCAATGAATGTAAATACCCAATAAAAGACCATTTCAATTGTTAGTATTTTCATATTTGTATTGGTCTCAATGTCACAGTCACTAATCTAATTGTATCAGAAGCAACCCTAGTTTGCATAATTATCAACCTTTCTTGTTGATCTAATTTACCTGAATGTTTAATTTCACAATCAATCGTAAACAGAAGCAAGACAGACGTAATTATGATTAACTTGAGCCACTCTATTGATCCATATTCAGCTGATTACACAGTTGAGCTTTGAAGCCTTTGATGTCGTATTGTACATTTTTTAACACCAAAACAGCCAAAAAAACAGGAAATAATTATGAATATGAATAAATGAAAAGAGTCTTTATGCCAATTGAATATGTATTTGGAGGAAAAGTTTAATTGTTAGTATTGTTTTTTGTCAGATTGGTCTGAGAAAAGTCAATTGATAGTCAATAAGTATGTAGTTTTACAGGTAAATTACATAAAATTTTGACGATTGATTTAAATGATGTAAATGATAGTTGAAAGCTGTACCAAGGTGACCTCAATTTGACAAGGATTCAAATCACCCGAAGGTTGAACATTTCACTGATTTGACTTGATTTCCTTTCTTATGTAACTTACATTCCTATTTAATAATCAAAATTGCATGTAAAATATATCACTTGATTTTTTGGTCTTTTTCAGCAAGATAATTGATTTTGTTTGTTTGTATCGCTAAAATGTTACAACCTAAATGTACCAGGAAAAGCTGAGTATAATTGACTATCTGATTACTGTATTGAAACCCAGTTGACTGAACCAAAAATGTGAACAAGTGAAAATAGAGATAACTTGAAGGAAGAAATGAAACTTTTAATGTAACATATGAAACCTGATGAACATCAATCATTACCAGGGAACAGTTTTAAATCTCACAATTTGATTAATATAATTAGATTGAAAATACTTGATGGTCTACTTAGGCTTTACGATACACCAGGTCAAGGTTAACATGTTATTTGGATCGTTTGGTGATCAAGAAGATCATCTTTAATTGTGCTTCCTTCCTTGTCCTGAGGTAATCTTGAAATTGTAATGATCAAGCTCAACTTGTCGCTATTTACAATTTCAACAGCTGGAAAACCTTGATTAACTTTGCATGATGATTAAACTTGAAGCAACATTGAATAATTAATAGCACAATTTAAGCATATTTATATTAATTTTATGTTTTTCTTTGTCTCTTCATTAGGATGAAATGTGATTGGGAAAAGGCTGCCAATTATGCTCGATTGTTAAAGGATGATTGTAAATGGTCACCAGCCATGTTTACTTACCTTTATGCTGTATTTACCTTTATGGTTATGGAGGAAAATGATCGTCCCGATCTTGAACAGGACATTTCAAAAGCTTTCTTAAGAATACCTCAATTAAAACGACGATTCGGTGGTAAACGAGCTTTCCATGAAAAGATCGTTATTGAACGATCAAGAAAATACCATGATAAGGTTAAACAAATGCTTCTACCTCCTTTTGTAAGTTGATTGGGCCTAATTGTAAATCAACATATTAATTTATATTGTAAATGATTGATTTACATCTTTCAATCTATTTCACTGTTGTTAATTGTCTTTTAATTTTTCAATTTACCAGGAATTATTGTATATCTGGAATATATTTAAAATGATGGCCAGCAATCAAAAGCTGATTCAAGCTTACTTAGACAAAATTGATGCCAAGTTAGCCATTCACAAAAAATCTAAAGGTAAGATACAAACTAATGAACAATTGACTGATTGCTCAGAAACAATTGTTGCTCATTTCATTACTAATCCGCCTTTTATCTCCTTTTTTATTCAGATGATCAAAGTAGTCCTCTTGATGCTTATTGTTACTTGAAATTTATGAAAGGTGTTTGCTACCGACATCTTAATCAATTAGTTAAATCAATTGATTGTTTCACTGAAGTCCTCAATTGGTAAGCATTTGCTGTCAACCAGATTATCCAGCTTACGACTTAAGCTTAACGTTATTGTAACTGTCAGAAATGATAAACACACTAAACATGACTTTTATTAGTGAATTTACTAATTTATTTAAGAAATAAATCATCAAGTTAGGGTTTCAAGCAAATGAAAAACAAATTAAATTGAGTTAAATGTGTTTACTATTCTGATATTTATAATCCCGATTTAATATAAGGTTGTCTTTATCCTTGCCCGAACAAGTTTTTTGGTTTAAGAGGGTGATTTTTTTCGTATGTTTTACTCATTTCTGGTTTTTTTATCTATTTCAGTAAAAAACGAATCGACGAGGAGACCCACCTTTTACCTCAATCAGCTTTTGAACTTGGTTTGATTCATCGATCAATGGGACAAAATGTTGAGGCCAAGAAATGGCTTAAAAAATCACGAGATGATTACAGTGGATACTTAACTGAAACGATGATCCATTATCGTGTACAATGTGCCCTATCATCGCTCAAACAGTGATCAAACTAATTCTAATTATTGTAAATTTAATATTGTAATTTACTTGCTCACTTTATACTCTTTTTTTCCTCACTTTATCTTAATTCTACCTTTAATTCAATGACGAAATGAAAATTGTATCAATTTTAACAATTATTTCCACTATAATGCTAATGATAATATTGATTTATTATTAAATGACAATAAAAAACTTAATGAAATATAATTATCTTGTACACAATAATTTAATGTTTTCATCGTAGGCTCAAACCCTGGCGATGATCAAATCACAAGCTAAATCTTGTAAATCAAAAATTAAAAGCAAAAACTAGAGGATTCGAAATGATAAAGCTTTTATACATCCATTAAAAACCGTGGTTTAAAGGCAATTTTAACTCTCAGTTATAATTACCATTCTAATTTTAAACTAAATTTTATGTCTTACCATCAGAATGGTCGTTAAATCAAATCATCATCGGAGCAACCGGTCAATACCAATCAACTGGAGAAACGTTATTTGCCGGTCTGATCAAATAAGTGCTGGTAACTCTCACAGAAACAAAATATCTACTCGTAAATACACTTGGTTCAGTTTTATACCTAGAAATTTATTTGAACAATTTCATCGTTTGGCGAACTTTTATTTTCTAGTTTTATCAATATTACAGTTAGTTTTTGCTGGACCCTTTAGTCCAACCACATCCATATTACCATTATTGTTTGTGATTGGGACAACGGCAATCAAACAGGCATACGAAGATGCACTTAGACAAAAGAGTGATTTGCTGGTCAATCTACGTAAAATACCAGTTTTGGTGGGACAACAATTTAAACGTATCCGCTCGGAAAACATTATTACCGGTGATATTGTCAAGTTGCGGTCACACCATGAGATTCCATGTGATTTGGTATTTATATCATTTACCAATGAACCAGTAAAGGCTGGAATAATTACTGCTAATCTTGATGGTGAAACCAATCTTAAAGTGAAAGATTCAATTCCATTACCCGGAGATGTTATTGGAAAGAAAGAGGCAACAATTGATTTTCATTGGGAAACACTCAATGGTACCATAATTGTTGAAGAGCCACATGAAGATCTTTATGAGTTTGTTGGCGTCCTCAAAATGGGCCCATTAAATGTCTCTCTAGGACCAAATAATTTATTATTGAGAGGATCTCGACTTGTATCACCAGACCATGTTTACGGGATTGCTGTTTATGTTGGTGTTGAGACTAAAATGGCTTTAAATAGTAAAATTAAGGCTAATAAATTTACATCCATTGAAAGACGGGTTAATGTTTACCTTGTTGGCTATTTTATAATCCTTTTCTTGATGACCACTGTTTCTTATATATTGTCTAAAACACACAGCATTTTGTTGGATGCTGATGAGAATGATTTCTGGTATCTTGCCGATTACCTGAGTTCACCAGATTTAAAAATTTCCAAAGAAGCAATTGGAGATTATTTTTCCTTTTTCATTCTCTACTCTTTCCTTATACCAATCAGCTTGTACGTCTCTCTGTCTTTGGTTAAACTTATTGGCACCTATTCGTTGATTAATGATCGATCCCTCATCAATCCAGAAACCTTTGACCGTCCTATTGTAAATACTTCTGACTTGAATGAAGAGCTTGGACAGATTGAATATTTATTTAGTGATAAAACAGGAACCTTAACTCAAAATGTGATGAATTTTAAATGTGCCTCCATTGATGGGGAAATAATTGAACTCTCTAGTGATGATAGCTCCTTTAATTTAATCTCATCTTTAACGGGAAAAAAGGCTGAAAAGGTTAAAGACTTTTTTGTTTCTTTGTGTATATGTAATTCGGTGAGGGTCAAGAAACCTACAGTAACCGTTTCACCACCAAAAGATGATGGATTGGATTATATTGAACCGACAGGGACATCCAAAGAATCCATTTCATTCAACATAGGATGGGAAGGTGATTCACCTGATGAAACAGCGTTAGTTGAAGCTGCTGCTCGTTTTGATGTCGTCTTGGAAGATTCGGATGAAAAATTTTGTGATATTGTGGTCAACAATGTCAGAAGTAGATACCAAAAGCTCAATATTTTTCCCTTTGATTCTGATCGAAAGCGTATGTCAATTCTGGTTAAATCAGAAACCGGTAAGTACACTCAACCGAACCTACATTACCAATTACCGAAAATTATAAAACAAAAATTTAACCATGTTATACTGCTGGTAAACTGTTTATTAATTGATCAGACTATTTGTATTTTAGATCGACTTATTTTCAGCTTATATCAGGTCTCAACAGCTGAGCTTGTTTGAATATTTCAATCTTTGTATTTGCTGAAACTCTCATTTGTTTGACTGGTGATTTTGTTTCTTTTTAACAGGTGAAATAATCTGGATTTGTAAAGGAGCTGAAAATGTCATGAAACAATTAACCAGTAAAGGTAAAATCAAGGAAACGTATCGACATGTTGAAGATATGTCTAAAAGAGGAATGAGAACTTTGATTGTGGTCTCCAAAAAATTATCAGCTGATGAATATCAATCGTTTGCGGGGGAATTTAAAGATGCATCATTGAGTTTACATAAACGTAAAGAAAAGGTAATTTCAATAAAATAGATCTGATCCAAGAGCATTAGACTCTTCCCATGTAAGATCTGTATTTAATAGGGAAACCTTTTTCCATGTTTCTTTATTTCTATTTACAGATGGAAAGTGTTATGGCTAATCATGAGACTAATTTTAGGATAATTGGAGCCACTGGAGTTGAAGATCTGCTCCAAGAAGGTGTTGGAGATACAATTGCAGCTCTGAGACAAGCTGGAATTAAGGTGAATTATGTTCATGTAAAATGTAATCATTTGCAAATTTAATTAACTCTTTGTTTATAATTTACATAAAGGTGTGGATTTTAACTGGAGATAAAACGGAAACTGCTGTAAATGTTGCTTATTCCGTTTCTTTGTTGGACAAATCAATCATAATGTTCAACTTGACCAATTATCATGACACTGAAACATGTTCCAATTCAATCAACATTTATCTCAATCGCATTGCCGCAACTCTACATGGGACTGAAGTTAGTCCAGAATCAAATCAATTTGCCTGTATCGTTGATGGTAAAACGCTATTTTTAGCAATGAAACATTTAAAATCGTCTTTCTGTCAACTCTGCCTTCAATGTTCAGCCGTTGTTTGTGCTCGAATGTCTCCGATTCAAAAAGCAGAGGTAACATCATTTTAGCCGCACAATTCCTTCCCATTTACTCAATTTTTATTCCTTTTCCAAATAGGTTGTTCGGATGATCAAGAACTGTGAAAGTCGACCAGTAACAGCAGCAATAGGCGATGGAGCAAATGATGTTAGCATGATTCAAGAAGCAGATATTGGGTTTGGTTTGATCGGTAAAGAGGGTCGTCAAGCCTGTAACAGTAGTGATTTAGCTTTTGCTAAATTTCGATTCCTCAAACGAATCGTATTAATTCACGGTCATTACTATTATATTCGTGTGACCAATTTGATTCAATATTTTTTTTACAAAGTAAGCTTTAAATCGTTGTGCTTATCTACACAGTTTTATCCTTACAATCTCAAGCTGTCATTGTATTAATTCAAGCTGATCCTTGAGTCAACTTAAAGCTGATCCTACAAAAGTCGTTAAGGATTGTCCGAAAAATTGACAATTAACACTTATATTTACGCCTTTATTACATTAAAGTAATTATCCGTAGCTTTATTTTTCTTCAACAGAATTCAACTTTGGTCACTCCTTTACTCTATTACTCATTTGATAATATTTTTTCAGCTCAGGTAAACTCTTCAGTGTACTCCTCAACAATTTGCAACTAATTTTATTCAATTTCATTCAACTTTTAGACAATTTTTCATGGTATTCTCCTGATGCTGTTTAACATGATGTTTACAGCTTTTCCTGTTTTGATTTACAGTATTATCGAGAAAAATATACCCGAATCACTATTGGAAAAGGAACCCCGATTTTACTGGTAATTTAACAACTGGATCAAATCAGTCAGCTCAATCATTGTCCTTAATATCTACTCATATTTTACATTCTAGGCTCAATCATAGGAATCACAATATGAATTCAAGAAAATATCTAACATGGCTAGCTTTTGGCATTTTTCATGGATCAATTTGTTTTCTGACAATCAAATATTTATATTTAAACAACGAAGATATCGTTGATAATAAGGTAATATTGAACAAAATAACACAACAATTGAATAGTCAGACTGACCTTTTCATTTTACTATTTCGTTAGGCTGGTGGGATCATCATTTTTGGTAATATGTCTTTTATGGTGATGGTCTGCGTTGTCAATTTTAAGGTAACAATTAGATGCAATATTTATTTTTACAATAATTTTGTTTACCATGCTAATCGAAGATAGAATCAACTGCGTCCAGTCCATTCAGTCCATTCAGTTTTACTTCAAGTTCAGTCCGAGAAGCTAGAATATAGAATGAATGTGTTGATTCTTAATGGGAATGTAATAACAGAATTTAATTAGTCACTGAAACAAGCTTACCCTACAACTAAATTTTACTTGATTAACTGTTGGTAAAATTTCTTATGAAATCTCTAAATTATTTCCGTTAACAGTTATCAGTTGCAACAATTAGTCTTGAATTGAGCCTTTGTCGACTTACAAACCGTTGATTCACTTTCTTCGCTCAAAATTAAATTAATATTCATCATCTATTAAAATAATTATGATAAACTTTCATCTTTTCATTTAACAGCTATTATTGATGGCTCGTATTAATGGCTACCTTTTACCTGGCTCTGTGATATTGTCAAATTTTTTAGTCCACTACTTTTATTATGTATTCAGTCAACGCCACTGGTAAGTAACAGAGATACAATTAAATCAAACAATGAATGAACAAAGTAGCCTATGAAATGAAACTATATTCAACAAATTGCCCAACAATTTTACTGAAAAATTTAATCAAATTCTTACAAAACTGGATTATTTAAAAAAAAGAGTTGAAATGTTTAAGCTAAAGGTGATGTTATTAGCTTAAATTAAGATTCAATTTCAATCTCAATTTAAATTTAACCTGACATGTTAGGTCCATCTAGTGAACAAAAAAGGAGTTGATTTGAAATTAAGCGCGTAAACTGAATCAGCAAAGTTAAATAACATTATTAACTGACAGATAAATTGTTGTTTAAATTGGCAAATCAAGTTATTCTTCTAGCAATTAAATGAACTGCTATTAATTTAATTTTATTTTTTCTGTCTCTTTCTAGGGATTTTTATTTTGTTGATGACGCTCTTTTCGGATCATATCTACAAATTGTACAGGAGCCTGTTTTTTGGCTTGTATTCCTATTGACTCTGGTTATTTCATTGATTCATGAGTGTATTATCATGGAATGGAAAAGAGCCTTTACTCCGACAATTAAAGACAAAATGGTTCTTTGATGATCATTGATCAATAAAGATTGGAATGGTGATAAAAAGGTGGATTAAAGTGACCATTTAACATATAGATTAAATTTTTACGCTCAAACGTCAATTAAGATATAATTTCCGATGTAACCTGAGTTGATATCTGCAACATAAATATACATTTAGTTTTATCGATGAAATGAATACATTGAATGGGCAACCGTTCAATTAGCGAGTAAAAGGTTTGAAAAACAGTTGAATTTCCTTGATAAGTTTGTAGGTCAGTTTATGTTTAGTTTGAGCAAAAATTTTACAAAAAAAAGATAAATTGCTTTGTTGGTTTTTTTAATTTAAATGTTTACCTTTAATCGAGATTGATTGTCGTCCAATGAAAAGAAACAGTTAGAGGTTTGTTTATCATGTGAGTATGCAAATTGTAAACGATACTTTTTGTGTGTTGATTACAATTGATTATTAAAACTCAATCAAGATCAAACTCATTCTCAAGGATGCTTTAATAGGCTCTCATTATTATTAATGATCAAGTTGAATTTTCATCGAGTTGATTACAAATACTAAAGAAACTTAACTCTAAAGTTGAAGCGTAATCTGAGCGTAAGCGAAGACTTTGCTATGAAAAATGTTGGGAAATTACTCACGCTAGGGCCAAAACTACGGCCAATCTGACCTTTAAATTTATCATCCTCATACCATGGAGCGTTGGAGATAAAATTTGATTGAGATTGGATCGCTTTGGCCACGAAATTAATTATCTTTGATAAAAACAAATGTTTCAAAAAAAGGATTTGAGCAAAAACTCTGACTTAAAGGTTAAGAGTTGAGACTTTGTGTGTTTGTATGGGCATAAATACCGAGTCCATTAATGCTATTAAAAAATTTGTTTGATCAACAGTATTCGATTAAATCGAGGCCAGATTTTGTTGATCAAAATTGCCACTTTAGATGGGCAACCAGAAAATGCGCTTATTAGGATAAATAAAATGTTTCTGTTTTCTGTACAACAGATCAGTTCGATTTTCAGTTGAATCAACCGCTTTCCGTAACCGTAACAGTTAGAGAGCTTAAACTTATCCGTCGATGAAAATTGTAATTACAAATTATGGGTTGAACACTTTTTTCAATTTATCGACAGTTATCTTGATTTCGGCCATTGACCTAAAACTCTGAGCCTCAATATTTCGAGGTTGGAGGCACCTAAAATCAGCATTCTTTGGTTAATCATTAGATTTCATTATGGACTATAACATAATATGACTGATTATCCAAGAAAATCTGATTTGATTTATTTGATAATGAATATCCTTCTAACACGTCATTAGATTTGTGTGTTGTATAACCATTTACCTTTATAAACTAAAGTATCAAATGAGACAACATAAGTAATACAATGGTATAACTTTTTTTCATAGCATTTTAATGATTGAACATTTCAATATGTATCAATGTTTGGTCGAAGAATGATGATCGGTAGTTTATGTCATACTCGAAATATTAAATTCAAAGTTTACAGGTAAATGGCCAAAATCAAGAGAACTCTCGATGAATTGGAAAAAGAGTTCCTTCATTGATATGTACCAACAATTTTTATAGACGAATGATAGGCACAACTTTTACAGCCGCAAAATGTATCTAACGATATATATCGAACTGTTTGACAAGAAATAGAAAACTTTATTTCTCAAATAGATGCATTTCCTGGTTGGCCATCAAAAGATAAATCAGGAAAATGTCTGACTCCATAATTGAACAAAAAGGAGTCCAAGTTCCCCTTGCACTTACTGGAAAGCTGTCGATCATGAAAAATTGTGATTATTAAATTGTTATAAACAGGGCCTTTTAAAAGGCATAGACGTCTATCTCTACCTAAACTACATTTTTGTTTATGAATGAAAGGTATGCAGCGTAATCAAAGAAAGTAGATTGTTATTATGATACATTAAATTAGATGAATTTGCGCATTTTCAGAAATTTTTTGTCTTTTTAAGGCGACTTCCATCAAATCTCAATTCATCGAATCGAGATTAATTTTTTAAATTGAAAGAACCATGGAAAGAAGATGAGAAGGTGTCATGTCACACATGTCATAGATAACGACATATTGAGATTTACTATTTCAATAAATGGTGGATATTTTACTTATTACGAACAACTTAACCAAATACATCCAACGCTTTGGTGAACCATTTAGTGTTGTTGGATCGACAATTTACTGCTAATTGTGTCACTCTAAATCACATGTTAATCATCCTACTCAAATTAAACGACACATCAACACAACGAAAAATCAAAAAGCCATTGAAAGAAATGGTGAAAATATTGAAGTTGACCAAGATGAATTCACCTAAGATTTATTTCATGCTCTGATTAAATCGGACAAGATGAGCAATGAAAGCTTCCGAAATATCCGAAAATTTGAATTATGATGCCGAGGAACTTTTAACTTATAAATTTTGTTAGTTCAAAACTATTGTCTTCATAGATTATGACTTGCTGTGCCGCCATATTTGAATGCTTTCACATTGTATTGTTTTATTGAGTTAAGTTTTGGGTGAAATTGATTCTAAATTTGGTTCCTAATCTAAACTTTATTCAATTCAAGTACTGTTAAATAGATTAAGTTTAAGTGCTTTTTTCATTTATGATTTTGCAGCTTAAAGCTATTCAACTTTTGGACATTTACCTGAGCATCTATCTGAGCTTTATTGTTTCAAAGCTCAACTTTGTATCTTTGCTGGTTAAAGTTTGCACTCAATTACTAAACTTATTCATGATGCCATCTACATTAAGCTACCATGTCCAGTTAGACCAGTTTTGAACGTTATTGTCTTAAGACACCTTGGTCATTCTTGTGGTTACTAATCCTGGTAATCTTGGTTAAAAGTAAAAGTAAAACCCTAACAATAGTCCAAGACTCTTAACAATTGTGCTTTTGTGGTGATCCTAAACGAACCTGATATTCACCATTTGAAAGGCTTAATCAATCTTCTGAATTGTGTTAATTGTGATTAAAGTTAATTTAAATCAGTTTAAATTGTTTAAAACATGAACTCTTCCTTTCAAAACATTAAAAATTCGTGATTTTTATTTCGATTGATTGTATCCTATTCGTGTCGAAATCGTGTTTAAAGCTCAAAGTTTGATCGCAAATATGGAATCAGATATTTATCAAATTACTCTCAACTTTTTAAATTACTTTTCTCAAGTCTGATTAGTTACTCCAATTGTTCAATCTTAATGCAAACTGTAAAATCTTTAGTCTTATGTCCGCTCAAACTTGACTGTAATCAACAGTAGTCTAGTTTTTATTACTATCTTTATGATTATCATTAATATTATCATTTCCATTCCAAGTGAATCCACATTCAATCACCATTTAGACACAAGTAAAGTGTTATGGTGAAAAGATGAAGATGAAGATGAAGGAAACCAAAAATTGCAAGTCAATTGAAACTGTTAAGCTTAATCTTTTGTTAATTGACCTTCAATAGAGAGTCAATCCATCTTATAATGTATAACAGTCTCTCTATTCAAATGGTTGGTCAATGCGATTTGAATGATTTCAAAGAACCGGTGATTGATTTGAAGTTATCCTTGATTAATCAGCTTAGAAATCAAATGATATCAAATTGATATTGTTGCCGATTCAAAAGAAGTAAAGGTTGTCAGAACAAAACATTTCATTTTGTTCATTGATAGATCTCAATTATCCGAGTGAAAACTGAAATACAATGATTCAGATTGTAACTAGAAATGTAACAAAATGAAACAAAAAAAACATTCAACTCAGGTCAATCAGTTGATATAATAGTAATTTTGGAGGACGCCATTCCAATGGAATACTAAATCAATGACATTCAAGTTCACCATAATCCTGCCAATTTCACTTCAACAGTAAATCTTGAAATTTAAATCAATGATAAGTTAGATAATCTGAATATTCTTTTGGTTATCTGGTTTTGTGGGCTTTCCTTGATTTCCATCATTACTTGATTTTTACAGTCGATTGAAATTGTTGAATTGAAAAAAAGAGAAGCAATTGTTTCACTATTAATGGATACATGAGAGTAAATTTAAAACAGTCAACAATTCAGTTTACATCAGTTCTGATGCTTACAACCATGTAACAGCAATTAAGAAGCATCATCATATGGTTGTCGATGGTAATCACTTTCATGATGGCTTTGTTATAACTTGCATTTGATTCAGTTAACCAATTTGAATGTGATCTGAAAAAAGTTTTGTTCACTTCTTCTTCGGTCATTAATCAACCGGCCAAAATTTACATCAATTGCTCCTTGTTTTTACTGTAATCCATCAATTGTTGACCAACCATTTGAAATATACATATGGTCTAACACCAATTGGGTCAATGAAAATGATAATTTGGTTGAACCTTGATTTTGAGTTGAAATTAATCATTTTGTTATCGGTGATTTGTGTTGGCATGTTCATGCTTTTCAATTACATCGATAATGAACAAAATGAGGGAATAAACTGTATTAATCAATTTTTGGCTTTCAATGAGCTTTCATTCAATGTGGTCAATGATTTACAATCAACGGCCAACATTATAAAAAAGCAAACTCTTCAACAGGTCTTGTTTATGATCAGATTAATCAAATGAATTGTTCAATGAATAGTTTATCACTTTAATTTCACCTGTCAATGTTGATTGTTCCCATTTCTTTTTCCTTTTTTTGCTGGTTGAATGCTGAAAATGCAACAACTAATAGTAATAATAACCAAAAAAAAAGTTAACAAATCAACACGCAAATTGATAACAATTAAATGTGTTCAATAATTGAAGGATAAAAAACATTTCACTTCACGTGATTGCCTTTTTAATAAATCAAATTGACAATGATGTTGAATGGCCACAAATCGGAGATTGGATTGGTAATTAAAATTGTAAGCCAATGTTAATTTTAACACAGATTGAGATTTAAATAATTGAAGGTCTGTAAAGAGAGAGAGAGAAAGATAGTTAATCAAGTGCGTGTGAACAAATACTTTAACCCTGAGATCATGATTTATCTGATTAATCAATCTGAAACAAAACCGGACTAAGGGTAATAATTAAGTGAACACAGATTTTACTGAACAATTTTTTCTAATTATTCTATATGATGATAATAATAACAACAAAACCAGCAACAATAATAATTTTATCCAACATTAGATTGAACTTAATGCCTGATGATGATAAAGATTATAAGAATGAGATGCTAAAGGAAGATAATTTGATTGAATGAAAATCAAATGAAAGTTGAAAATTCGAAGCCAGTTCTGACTGCAATTCATAAGCAAAAAGGTTAGAGTTTGCTGTTGAAATAATATCGGCTAATCGGAATGATATCATTTTACTGACGAGGAGAAGTGGTACCTTGAGCGTCCTGATAGAATCAAGGAAAAGGCCATTTTATCGAAACGGCAAGGTAGAGGAAAAGGAGTTATGGTTTGTACAGGTTTTGCTAACGGTAGCACAATTGCAATTGCTTTTTGTCTGAGAAAATGTCGGGTAAAAGTTTTACCATGGCCTGCATTGTCACCTGAGAACCTTCGTGGTTGGTGACTAGGCAGGTTTATGGTAAATGTCGTCAGTTTAGGTCAATACCAGAGGTTAAAACTGCGATCATTGAAACCTGGTCCAATGTGCCTTCTGAGCTAAGAGAAAGCTTAATTGGTTCAATGAAAAACCGTATGCTTAAGGCATCATACAAGCCAAAGGTGGCTTAATTGACTTTTAATCAAGTCTAATTCAATTTAATTGCTTTGGTGCTATATTTGTGAAACATTTTACGTCTAAAGTTTAGACCACAACTCACATGAACTAAAACTAAGTTGAAAAAAGTTGATTCATTTACTGAAAAAAAAATCTCTCGATCTTCGTCTTATTACAATTTTAGCTTTGGGGATAAACTTTTTGAGTTGTTTGCATCTTTTCATTTTCTGACAGCAATTCAACTTCAATATCTTGAATATCAGCGGAAAATAAAGGCATAACAATGAGATGAGGCAACAAAATAGACAAATGAATGAGCCTTTTTCTTACCTGAAAAGATCCATATCATACCGTTAAAGACCTTATCTGATGGTAAGCTAACTGATGATCCATTATGTATGAAAAACTGGTTCAATTTTAGAGTTAACTTGCTTTAATATTTACAACAAAAACTGGTGCGATCATGACTGATCACAAGTTTCTTTTGACTTCCTACGATAAATTCAATGCACATTTAAAAGACTCAAATTGTTGATGCAAAAAAGCCATCGTCAATGAAAAACTAAAAAATAAAATAAAACCTAAACAGCTAAACAAAATGAAATCTGATTTTCAACTTTGAAAGTTAATCTATCAAAAACCTTCAGATAATCAGAGAAATCTTATAACTATACGAATGTTTTCAATTCATATGTCCCTAAAAATTCATCAGTTCGCAACCCTTTCACCTTTACTCTTGATCAAATGCAACTCAATCAATACATGGTTGTAAGCATCAGAACTGATGTAAACTGAATTGTTGACTGTTTTAAATTTACTCTCATGTATCCATTAATAGTGAAACAATTGCATCTCCTTTTTTCAATTCAACAATTCCAATCGACTGTAAAAATCAAGTAATGATGGGAATCAAGGAAAGCTCACAAAACCAGATAACCAAAGGAATATTCAACGAGATTATCTACTTTATCATTGATTTAAATTTCAAGAATTGCTGTTGAAGTGAAAATTGAAGTGTTGTTTTCCGTAGATGTAGCTCAATTAAGGCTTCCATTCTGTGTAGCGCTTTTTAGGACCCGCTTAGTTTGGCTACAATTTGATTGTCTTTATATATTGTGTAGATGTATAGATAATAGATTTGATCAAATTCAACTCAATCATTTCATCATTTTTTATTAGGATCACAATTTAAAATATGTCCTTGTATATTGAAACAAATAATCATAAAAAACAACAAAATAATAAGTTAGTATAAAAACAGCTTTGTTACATTAACAAGTTGTAATAAAGTATTGAGCTATGTACTGTAAGTACTGTTTTGTTGTCCAATAATTTGATACAAATTATTAAATATTTGTATGTCTTTGCATGTGAAGTGATAAATGATCTGAACGGGAAAATCGCCTTTCACACAGTCCACACTTGAATGGCTTATCGCCCGTGTGTTTACGGTAATGACGGGTCAGTTCATCTGATCGAGCAAATTTCCATCCACAAGATTTCCAAGTACAATGGTATGGCTTTTCCCCTGTATGAGTTCGCAGATGAGCTTTCAAGTGAGATGATTTGGAATAACTTTTACCGCAATTAACATACGTGCAACAATGTGATGTAACCTTTTTTCGACCTGAAATTCGACGATCTCGACGACTTTTAACCACAATCTCTAATGTTGCTGGTGTCGCTCCGGTGGTGGTTGATCCGAGGACTGATGAGTTGACTGGAGGCAGTACAAGTGAATTGAGGGGTGAGGTTAAAGATACTTGATGGTCACCGTGTTGATGTACGTTATGATTTTGTGCTTGTTGTTGCTGGTGTAGATTAGGGTTTGGTTGTTGCACTGGATGATGCTGATGCTGTGAGACATCAACATGTGAGACATGTTGGTTGGGCTCATTTACGGGTAAAACATTGATTGTTGATTGGTTAACCATAATATTGGAAGATTCAAAGTAACCTTCATTGCTATTGTAACTCATATTATTATAACGAGCATGATGCTGGTGTTGAGGGTGTTGATGAGCATGGTCTTGGGCTTGTTGAGGCTCTTGTTGATGGCCTTGATGAACATTTTGATGACAAGATTCAATTGGTTGATCTAATCCATTGTCTAGGTAAACATCTTCAGAGTAATTAGCATTCGAGTTTGTCGATTGTAAACTATTTTGTTGATGTACCATTTGTGATTGGTGAACCGGTTGATGATGAATCGATTGCTGATTATTGTTGAAGTTTGAATTTTGGTGAAGAGCAGAGTCATGTTGAAGTTGATGAACAGGCTCAAGTTTAATTGCATGTTCAGTGTTATTCAAATATTGCTCGTGATTATTGTGATGACCATGGCTATTCTGATGGAGATGAGGATGAAGATGGTGATAATTATCGATATATGGTTTGTTCTCGTTTTGGGGTGAAGCTGGAGGTGACATTTGTGATCCAACCAGTGGTATCAAAGTAACACATAGAGACGACACCAAGCTAGAGCCAGTGTCCAAGGGTGAACAAGATGAGGATGAGGATGAGGATGAACAAGATGAAGAGGAAGATGAAGATACCGAAGACAGTGATCCATTTAAAGAAGCAATAATATTGTTTGTTGTTGATGTGGACGATGGAGTTGCATTTGTTGTCGATGATATCAATGGGTGAGGAGGCGATGCCGGAGATGATGACGAGGTGGGTGAAGGTGAAAAATATTTACAAGAGTAACCAGTTGAGCCCAAAGGCGAGGAATAGCCATGAGCTTGGCCAGCATTACTTGATCCATTTATGTAGTTGTGTCGTTGTTGTCCCTGTTGATGGTCAGAAAGATGATAGTTTTGATGAGATTGGTGATGCTGTTGGGAATGCTGATGATCATTTAACGGGGAATCACAGAAGTAGCTTAAAGTTTCAATGGACTGAAAATCATTGCCATTAGAGGATATCATTGCATCTTTGGCACTTGAGACCATCTCATGAGTCCATGAAATCCCACTGAGATCATCGTTTGTCTCTTCACTGGGTACATCACAAGTGATACCAGAATTGACACTTAATGGACTTGAATGGTTAATGTTGTGATGATTATTGTTATTACTTGTAATCATTCTGTACGATTTTCAACGTTTCTCGTTGAGGTCAACTTTTTTCACTAACATGCTAAGTAACTTGGTTTGTTGAAGAAAGGTAAAAAAGTGAGCCAAAAATGATGATAAAAGATGATGAATGAATGGGAGCTGCGACGCCGTCTAAAGGAGAGAGCCAATATTAACAATTACCAATGGAGGGAAGGATGATGATAAGTTGTTACCTGGTTTTATCTTCACATTTTTTCTTGCAACTTCTTTCATCTTACCAAGTTTCCACTCATAAACAGAAAGAAAACAATTTATCTTGATTAACAAGTAAATGATCAACATGAAAATGAATCCATAATAATTACCAATTGCTTGGCGCAATCAAGCAAATTTTAACAACAAGCAAAAAATTGATTAAAGAGGTCTTTTACAACTAAACTTATTCAGTTTCATTCAACTTTTAGACAATTTTTCATGGTATTCTCTTGATGCTGTTTAACATGATGTTTACCGCCTTTCCTGTCTTTATTTAAAGTATTATCGAGCAAAAATATCTAACATGGCTACTTTTTGGCCTTTTTCATGGATCAATTTGTTTTCTGACAATCAAATATTTATATTTAAACAACGAAGATATCGTTGATAATAAGGTAATATTGAACAAAATAACGAAACAATTGAATAGTCAGACTGACCTTTTCATTTTACTATTTCATTAGGCTGGTGGGATCATCATTTTTGGTAATATGTCTTTTATGGTGATGGTTTTCGTCGTCAATTTTAAGGTAACAATTAGATCCAAAATTCATTTTTACAATAATTTTTTTTATCATGCTAATTGGAGTTAGAATCAGCTGCGTCCAGTCCATTCAGTTTTACTTCAAGTTCAGTCCGAGAAGCTAGAAAATAGAATCGTCAATTCTCAAATGGCAATGTATGACAATAACAGAATTTAATTATTCACTGAGACAAACTTACCTTCAACTAAATTTTACTTTTAACCTAATTTAATTGATAGCCTATTAGCAAATTTCTTATGAAACTGTTGAATTTCGTAAATTAAGATATAATTTCCGATGTAACCTGAGTTGATATTTGCAACATAAATATACATTTAGTTTTATCGATGAAATGAATACATTGAATGGGCAACCGTTCAATTAGCGAGTAAAAGGTTTGAAAAACAGTTGAATTTCCTTGATAAGTTTGTAGGTCAGTTTATGTTTAGTTTGAGCAAAAATTTTACAAAAAAAAGATAAATTGCTTTGTTGGTTTTTTTAATTTACATGTTTACCTTTAATCGAGATTGATTGTCGTCCAATGAAAAGGAACAGTTAGAGGTTTGTTTATCATGTGAGTATGCAAATTGTAAAAGATACTTTTTGTGTGTTGATTACAATTGATTATTAAAACTCAATCAAGATCAAACTCATTCTCAAGGATGTTTTGATAGGCTCTCATTATTATTATTATATTTCACTATTATCATGATTATTACCATTCGTTTTCTTCCGTTGTTATTTAACTTCTTTTCATTCCTTTTTTCGCCATCTCGGTAATCATTCTCATCATTATCATTCTCATTATTATTACCATTATACCGATTATTATGATTATCATTAATATTATCATTTCCATTTATCTATCTATTTCAAGTGACTCCACATTCAATCACCATTTAGACACAAGTAAAGTGTATGGTGAAAAGATGAAGATGAAGATGAAGAAAGGGAAAAAAGTTTTCAACTCAATTGAAACTTTTAAGCTTAATCTTTTGTTAATTGACCTAAACAATAAATTGACCTTCAATAGAGGTTCAAACCATTTCATGTACAACTATGAATATGTACACTTTTTTTGTTCAGACTGTTGTTATTGCTCTTATCAAGCCTTACCTTAATGTGCCATTTAAAAGATAATCTCTATTCAAATGGTTGGTCAATTTGAATGATTTCAAAGAATCGGTGATTGATTTGAAGTTACTCTTTGATTAATCAGCTTAAGAATAAAATGATATCAAATTGATATTGTTGCTGTTCAAAGTAAAGGTTGTCAGAACAAAACATTTAACTGATCTGGAAAAGTCAGATGAATTCCTAAGGTAGACTCCTTGGATCTTAAATTGATTAATTTTGACCCAAGCAAATAAGTAAAGGGTATCGGCCACCAAAAATCGAACATCTCAAGAAAGAAAAGTGATGGAGCTGGTGAAAGATGATCCAAATTTGAGTCTGAGGAATCTTTCATCAAAATTTCTTTATGTCGAGTCGTTCACAATTTCGTGGGAGTTTATTCAAGTTTGATTTCAAAATTCCATATTGTGAAATTCATTGCATACATTGTATATTTAGGATATACTCGCATAATATTTAAGTTTTTCGAGCTTTGATGTATTTCAGCACCACAGACGACTAGATTTATGCAAGTAATTGTATCTCATAACTGAATAGATTTTATAAAAAAGTGGGAGCACTCGAACATAAATGCTCGTAAATTTCTTCCAACAGTATACAATAAATTCATTCTTTATTTAAAAACTTAAATTTTTGATGAAAACCATCGTCAATGTGAAAAACTCATAAAATAAAATCTGTTTTTGAAGCTGAACAAATATTATTATGCTATTATCCATCTTTATCCATTATACGATTATTTGTAGCTACTCAAAACTATCATATTTATTTTAGCTATCATCGTTAACATTTGTTTTATCTTATTATATAAAATGGAAAAAACTAAAAATTAGAAGAAAAATCAAAGAGAAAGGAAGAGGAAAATAGATGCTGAGGTCGCTCAGACATAGGTTGAGAGCGGCAAAGCTGACCCAATGGATGGCTAAAAAAATGCTCCGAAAAGCTAGAAAAGAGGAAAATAGAGCGGCGAAGAAATTCAAGCAATCGCTTGAGACATTTGAAAAAAATTCTCAACTAAAAGTGGAGATGCCACTGAAACTGAAGCAGGGGCGAAGCCGCGAGGGAGAATGAAAAGCAAGAGATTTCCAAGACGCTCAAGAGCTTGGTACGGTGACAAGTTCACTGCAGGGTGAATCACCAAATACATCAGGATCTTCTTGAGAAGATCTAATAAAAAAACCTTGTTACTGACTTAGTTTCAATATCAGGGCGGTCATCAAAATCCACTTCCACCTCCTTGTAGTGATGACTGGATAAAATTAACGGGGCTCTGGTACATAACTGTTAATTTTCTATGGCAAAACTTGAAAGTAATAATTACTTTTAAAGATAAATCAACTGCGAATTCTACTAAACCAGGAAACTCAGCTAACACACAATAGGCAAGTTCATATGTATTTGGCTAACGTAAGAATTAATAGTCATTCAATAGATTTAAAAGAAGCATATTTCAGAAGTTTACCCACAAACACTTACATTTTTTTGTTTCTTTTCCTTACATATTTTAGAACATGGATGATGTGCTGTTTGTTTGAAAAAGTTACATATCTTGACTAAGAAGATACAATGTAAGCGTATACGAAGGTATACAGGATTAAACTCGTGAAGTATTCAATCGATATTCTGGTGAATGAAGCAAGCAGTGAAATGGAAACAATGTGCTTAAAGCCACTCTTTTGCTGGAAACACAAGAATAACAAACGACCACTTGGAAAAAACCTGAAAAGCACTGACCGTAAGGCAGTTTTGACCTCAGAGTAGGAAAGTTGAAAGTAGGAATCGTACGTTACAGTAACCTTGTCAGAAAATAAATTGAGTCTTCATGTTTTTGTTTTTGGTACTGAATCTCAGGTGAGATTGACAATAGTCAAAGAGATAATACATCAATATGAATACAATTATGAATAATGTGTTTGAATATTTATACAGATAAACCTTTATTAAATACATTAATTATAATTCTAACCATTGTGAATAAATTTTTTCCAATTGTGAAATTCTTATTATTGGAAAAATAATTGAGTACGTTTTGCGGTCAATCATGGCAATGTACAAACTGAAAGAAATTTGTAATTT